CAATTTTCTATTAGCTTGTTGAAATTAGGATTTCGGAATGTCATTTTGCCTCTTTTGTTTTCATGGACAATCTTTTTATCATCCTTTTTTTTTTTCTTGTGAATATTGGTTAATAGATAAAACTACATAAATATTTGCCTGTTCTTATTTTTATTTCCTTAGTTTTCTGTCTGGCCACTGTCAAAGTCGATTAAAAATGCATGTGGCCAGCAAAGCTATCAAGAGTTGAGACTCAAGACCTACCTAAAGGAATTAGCCTTTTTACTAGCCATGTTGCCATGGATTTGGGCTCATAGTTTACTACAGTAGTCTAAAGTCTAAAGGCATCAAAGGGTTCTGCCTCCAAATGGGTTGGCCTCTATATCAGCAGGCCTACAATCAATTCATTCCACTTGAAATGTGGGCTAGGTCTAGCAAAAGTATCGATGTTGAGCAGAGATGAACTAACGGCTGGATGATTCATCCGTTGAGGAAAACATAAAATTTATCATCGAGCTCAAACATAGATAAGTTGTCAATTAACATAATTTCTTCCCATCTATATACATATATTTTTTTTTTATACTTGCTTAAAAAGACAAAATAAGGAAGCATGGACAAGACCAAACTTACCTAAGGCTTGGTACCCGGCATAGAAAAATGTAAATAACCCTAGGTGTATAGCATTCTATAGTCTTTTGCTGAAGCGATATTGTAATTGCTTTACATTTACAACACCTGTACAATGGCAGGCATGCTATAGCAGAGCTTTGAACCTGTTAAAGTCATCATTGAACCGATAATTTTGTATGAATTATTCTAAGTACCCTATCCTGGATTTTGGCATCTGAAAGAGATGTTTAATGTTTTTGAATCAACCAACTCTTTTCTCTATTCTGATATAGATAGGTTACAGATTAACTGTGCTGAAAATCATTAGTTCAAAACTCAGTTTGGAGAAAAACCTAGCAGTTTTCTCATATTGCTGTATGCTTAGCCCCCCTATATAATTACCCTGCCAACTTTAAACAATTAAACTGAAGATTTGACGACTCTGAAACAAATCATAGAAGTAATTCTTGATTCAAGATACTGGATATTTGCAGATGGGACAAAGCCATGAATTGAGAATTTGAAATCATTCAATCAATTGCAGGTAAAAACAACAGGGGTAAAAAAACAAAAAAAAAAAAAGGTCAGGATGTAGAAATAATGATATGGGTAACGAGAATTAAATTTTTGTTTATCATTTTAAGCAACCACATGCATGAGATATTTTTTTCTAGCTGTCAGTTCCACCATATATAATCCAGGAAAGTGCACATGCCATTATCAGGGGAACATATAGGTAAACATAAGCATAGGCATCGGTCATGCTATTCAATAATGCAACATCATTCAAGACAGTCAGACAGACTACACGAGAGACCTCAGCTCTTTAATAAGTCCTACAGACCAGTATGAAAGCCTTGAGGTTTTCAATTGCCTTATATATATATAGCTGACTGCGCTAAAGCCTACAACCCTCTCTATTCCTTTTAAGAGAGTTAATCTAACTAGGCAATCTGTACAAATAGTTTTACTCATTTCAATCCCCTCAAACCCAACTTTTTCTCTTTCAAAAACCTAACATTTTTGCCATTTAATTAAGCAGCTGTCAATCACCAACTTTGGCCAACTGGATAACCAATATAAATAAATCAATGCATACATTTGTTTTCTTGCTATCATCTATATTGGGTTTGATGGGGAAGGAGTTCTGAGTACCCTTCTTTTTTGCTTTTCTTTTGACATAGATAGGGGCCCTTTGGCCTAGTTGAAAGAGTTATAGTTATTTGCATAACATATGGCATGAGAAGTTGGGTAGAATAGTGGGCACAATCTCCATTAGGATTCTGTAATTGGTTTCTTGTCAATGACAACAAAGATTGAGACTCCCAATGTGTTTTGATGTAAGGTAAAAGACATTTATGTTCCAAGCTTTTGGACAATTGGACTACAGCATGATCTGTGATGTTTGCTGTACATGAGCAAGGATATTTTGTCCAAACCCCCTGCATTTGTTGGCTCACTAGGCATCTGTCATCCCTGCTGTGTCTTTCTCCCATGATTGCTAGCTATGGGTATTCCAACCCAAGCACCCCTTGAAAGCCTGAATTTTTTTTCGATTTTGGGTAATTAGGGAACCGTAGATGCTTTCGATTTGATGATGAAAGTTTGAAGTTTTCTGCCAAAAGTGCAAATTTTGGGAATGATATTTACAAAAAAATCATGGTGATTTAGATAGGGGCTTTCCCACGCAGAAAAAAGTTGCAAGAAACCAATAAGGGAAAAGGAATCAACAAGGTTTAACCCTGCCGTTTTTCAGTCTATGTTAGGTGATTTCAAGCCCATCATGAAAGTGCTCCCAAGCAACAATTACAACCTTGGCAAAAATGGACATTTAGACAATTTGTGGATTGACTTTGCATTGCACAATTATAGTGCCAATAACCACCATGCATAAAGCAAAATTAGCTCAGTTAAACCAACTCTCTAACTTCATAGCAGGTATTTTTAAAGATGTAAAAGAATAATTAGGTCAGGTTCCAATTCCCTGCCACCCCAAGTTTCCGTAAGTTAGAAGAATTTATGCTATCTTCTTTCATATATGGCCATGTTCATTCATGTTTTTGTCAAGCAGAACCCACTATGTAAGAATCAGAACCTACTGCCAGAGAGCAAACAAGATTTAGCTACAATAATCTGCATTATCTGGGTTAAGGTTATATCACCCAACAACTGTGAACTTTGTCTTTGAAAATGAGGAGGAAAAGAGAATTTATTCTCAAAATTGGTGATAGGGCAACCTCTCTTTCATTTTTAGGGATAATTGGTCAATGCTGCTGACTTGAGGGAATAGATGCCTTCTCCTATTGTCATTAAAGCCCTCCATTAAGTTATGGGGCATAAACAAACATCGCTTAAACATGGAGCACCACATCATAATTACATATTAATACATCAATACAAGGAACAAAGTTTTCAAATTTCAAATCTAAATTTGTCTCTACTTCGTGTAATCACTTTTAAAATATGATATTTAATAAATTTAAATTTTAAATATTAACGTCTATAATTTTTTATTATATTTTATTTTTATTGTATAAAAAAATTTTAGATAGAAAAAAATAAAAAATAACATTGAGAATACCAAGTTTTAAATTTGGAAATCTTAATAATCTTAATTAAGAGTGAATAATGGGTACCATGTAAGTGATCATGGGAATGGAAAGGTCCCCAAGATTGTATATAAAAAGATGGGGCAAATTAAATGGAATTATTAAATATTCATAATTGCAAGTTGTTGAATTATAAGCGAAACCCTGCAAAAAATAATATGCACTCTTACAAAAGGCAATGCCTGTTGGCAGGCACCATCACAATTGACTCCATATTAGAACAACCCTACAAACCTTTGACACATTTGGACCAAAGAAAAGAGACATAAAAGGGTTCAAGCAAAAGGAAAAGAGCAAAGCAAAAGTGCATTGTTTGTGACATGTTTGATTGGAATTAAGGAGAAGATTAAAAGTTTATTAATGCAAAATGATAAATGTATTAATGAATGAAAAGCAAAAGTTGTGCCATAAAAATTAGATAAAAATCTAAGCCTAATAATTTATGAATTTGTATTATATAAAATATTAAAATTTATATATTTATATCATATTTTACATAAAAATTATATATTTTAATTTATATTGATACAAAAATATATAAAAAAAAAATTCAAATCCTAATGGGATTAGCAAATTCAACCACCCCTGTTATTTTCCATGATGGAATTACTCATTATTTACCTAAATCAAAAAGGGGTTTGGCAAAAAAAAAGAGTGACTTTGGTTTGAAAATAATTGGATGATGATTGATGCTTTTAAGCATTAAATTCTGTTGCTTAAGAAAGAAGATATAGATTATTCTTAGGAGGGACAGTCCTTAATAATGATAAAGTAAAAAAAAATTGGGTGATTGATTAGACTATCAATCATTCCTACAAAGCAGAAAAAACAAATTCGAAACTTTTTTTCTAAAGTTTGAGTCTATTCATCAAAATTCAAGTTTGTAATTACTTGAAATGACTTAAGCAACAAAAAGCGGATTCCAAGTATGAGTTGAATTTTTAACCAACTACTCTATTTTTTTTATTAAAAAAAATAAAGATACATATATATTAATGAAATTTTTATATTTTTTATTATTAAATTAAAATTAAATTTATAATTAATTTGAATTAGAATCATATTATTTATTTTTATTATTCTAAATTAAAAATATCAAATTTATAATTTACATTAATATAAATGAACTGCTTTTAAAAAAAACATACTATGTGTTTTTATGTACTTCCTTGCCCCTCATCATAATCATAATAACTAATTATATGTTTGTATGAAGGTCCAAATTTACCATATTTGTGTTAATTTTATATTTATATTATGTTTCAAAATTGACCTTATATTTTTTAAAGACCCTTCACAACAAACAATTTCGTAACATTTGATAAAAGGGGAAAAAAAAAAGAAAGAAAAGAAAGTGAAAAGAAATAATAGAAAAAAGAGTGAATTTGTATATTTTTTTCAAATTCATTTTTTAAAATGAAAAAAAAATATATTTAACTTGAATTGACGTTTTATTTTTTTATCAAATATAAAAAAGAAAAAAATAATATTTCTCTCAAGCTGATAAATTCATTCCTATTTCGAATAAATTCAATTCCTTTATTTTTTTTCCGCTTTTTCATAATTATATATTACTTTAAAATAAGGAAAAAACAAAGAAAAAAAGTGAATTAAAAACACATACTATATTTGTTCACAAAAATCATGTGGTAATTTTTAATTCGTCCATTATCTTTTTACCACTGTAAAACAATACCATAAGCAGGCTTTTAGCACTTTTTTTTTTTTTAAAGAGGTTAAAAAAAAAAGTAATTAACAATTTTCTTCCTTTTTTGGTGGTTAAAGTTTATTAAAGAAAATTTTTTTTTCAAGCTTGGCTTGGAAGAAGAATAGACAGAGACTCTTCTCGGCGAAACCTCAACTGTTTTGCAATGAAATTTTCGATCGTTTGTTGAAACTCTTCATTGCTCATCTCGTCTTCCGGAAACAATTCCTCGTCGATGTTTTCAAATTTTCGGCATTTCTGGGTCTCCGATCGTCGTAGTTCCTTTTTCACTTTCTCCTCACTCTTTTTTATCGCCAACTTCTCCGACTTACTTCTATATACTCTCGGGTTATCCACGTCAGCATCGGAGTCCGACTCCGACTGCAGCTCCATTTCTTCCCACGTGCAAGTACATGTGTTCACTTTAGAGATAATCTCCTTGTTTTGAAACGCAATCTCTTGTTGGGACTCCGATTTGGAGCGACTGTCAGGGTTTTCGATAATTTCCTCGTAGAGTTCGGAATCGGCATTGTTAAAGGCGGAGAAGATGCCGTACTTAGCACTGAGAGTGACGATGATGACGTTACAGACGACGAAAACGAAGAGCGGACTCGCGATGACGCCGCCGAGTTTCAAAACGTAGTCGCAGGAGATTTTGACGGCGAAAGGCACGCGCTCGAACGTCCGCGCTAAAAACAGCAAAGCCAAAAGCAATTCCAAAAAACGAAACACCTTCGCTAAGCTTCGAAGCCGGTTGTACCTCCTTATCGCCTTAACTTTCTCTGCTTTCACGTTATCGAAATCAAACGAATCCATAAATACAACGATTTCGCAAGGCATTCAACGGTGAAAGGCCGAAAGAAATTTGAAAAGTTTAAAAGTTCTGTTTGGTTCTCTGGAAGCTAATTTAATTTTCCGGGAAAATAAATGTAGGGTTCGAAAAAGACAAAGAGAGTGCGTACGGTTATGGAGTTATACAATAAGAGCACTGAGGGTTTTTTTTTTCTCGGAGAGCTGAACCTTAGTAGAGAAATGCTTATATAGAGTGATAGACAAGATATAGTGATGGAATTATTTTTATTTTTAGTAATTATAATTCTTAAAAAATGTTAAGCAAATATTACTATTAAAGATTAAATAGCCATGTCCAATAATTTAAGGTTGGATAAAGTAGAGGCCCACCAAATACAAGACCCGCGCAGATTTTTTTTTAGAGGTATCTTGATTTATAATTAAAAAATATTTAATATTTAAATATTTTATTACAATAAATCGAACCCCCTATTTTTTATTTAAACTCAATTAAGTTTATAATTAAATAAATTTTAGTCATATCATAAAATTGATTTAATCAATTTTCAAATTATAATTAACCAAATCGTTGAAGGAAAAAAATAAAAATATTTATTTTATTTTATTTATATATATTAATTATGCGGTATGTGATAAATTTTTATTTGATTAATTAATGTCAAATTAAATTTTATTTTATTTGACAAAAAATTTAATAATACTAACTTTTTCATCAAACACATATTTAATCGAATGCAATAAATATTAAAAGGTGGATTAATTATAATAAAAAATTTTAGATGTTTTTTAATTATTGTTCAAAATTTTTTTATACCCTTAGTTTTTTTTTTTGTTTTGTCCATTCTTTGTTTTAATCTAAAACATTATATTAGCATCAAAATTCTTAAACGAACATTCCTTTTTATTTCTTCACTTTTCTTTTCTTTTTTTCCTATTTTTCTTATCCTAATTTCCATTGGCACTATTAATCCTCTTTCATTTTTATAAATATCAATTTATACATCTCAGCATATTAACTTAAAATTAGATTTGGTAATTTAAAATATAACATGAACATAATACGAATAAAAGATACAAAAATAAAATATTTTAAAATTTTAATAATTATTATATATGGGTTTAAAAAAATAAAATAAAATATTTCTTGTTTTAATATCAATACGAATTATAACATATAATTTTTATGTAAAATATAATATGAATATACAAATTTTAATATTTTATATAATACAAATACATAAATCGTTAAATTTACTCAAAATCATCATTAACTAACAAAAAATCTAAACATAGTATATTTCAAGTCAAAAAATTGTCATAAAATTTTCGCTTACAATTACTTGATTTTAGATGGAATGTTTTAAAATGATATTAAATTCTAGATTTAAATAAAAATTTAATTTAATTAATTTATATAAATATTTTTAAAAAATAACATCAATAAATCTATAATTTAAATTTTAATATATGTAATTTATTTTCTACTATGACTTCTTTTGAAAAAAATCATGATTCTATTTATTCAAGTGCCTAAATCAATGAAACATGGCTTGATTAGTCCAATTTAGGGCAGCATTACATGTTCAATTGTTTATCTTCGAAAGAAAAACCTAAGGAACAAAGGTAAGAGAAATAAATTTAATGATTCATGTATTTATATTATGTAAAATATTAAAATTTATGTATTTATATTATATTTTATATAAAAATTACATGTCATAATTTATATTCACATGAAAATATATAATATAATTTTTTATTTTATTAAATTAATATATAATAATTATTATAATTTTAAATATAAATTATTTTTATATTTTAATTTTATGTTATATTTTATTATATTATCATATCACATTTCAAATTATAAAATTTAAAATTATAACATGGTTGATCTTGGGAGCCCTTGTTTATTGAATTTTTATTCACCTTAATTTCCCTCTCACTGTCTTTTCTTTTCAAAATTTATTTATTTATTGTATCTCAGTTGTCGGTGATGATTTCTGTACATTTGATGCAAGGAGTTTCAGTACTTCTTTTGTTGTCATTGACGTGGCCACAGCTATAACAACAAGCTCAGGGACTTTCATATGCTTAGACTTCGTAGTACAAAAATATTATAAAATTTTTTTATAGGTTTTTGGTTTTATGTATGAATTTTGAAACATATATAGTATGATACTACAAAAACATATATATTTGATTTTAATTATTTTTATAATATAATCAATACCTTGGACTTTAAATTTGTATCCATTAAAATATTATAAATTTTTATATTTATATTTTATTTTATATAAAAATTACGTTGTGTCAATATAAAAATATGAAATTTATTTTTTTTATTTTATTAAATTTATTTATAAATTTTATTAAAATTTAAAATTATATTATTTTAATTTTTTATTCGTATTATTTTTACATCGTTTTATATTTAAAATTATTAAATTTAATCCGTGTTATATAAGTGCTATCACATAAAAAAAAAAAAAAAGAAGAAGACTAAATGTTTGCCAAAGACCTTTCTTTTCAAGCATTATTTATTTATTTTTATTTGGTCTTTCGATTAATTTAATTTAGATCTTTCGAATTCAGAAATTAAATCACCCAGTATCCTATCAAGGAAAAGTCAGTACTTCTAGCTTCTATGAATCGCCACTTTACCGGAGTTCTCATGCAAGTTGACTGTTTAGTTTTTTAGGCTATGGCTTGCTGCTGCGGTAGCCCAACCTTCTGGACCGAACTCATGGAACCTCTCCCTTTCTCTGATCGGCTCTTGCTTTCTTTTAATTGAGATTGAGATTACGGATAATTCACACCCAAGATATTATTTATTTTAATATAAATATTTTATAATTTTATTTCATAAAAAATATTAATAAATTTAAATTCAAATCTCATTTTATATATTATAATATATCCACGAAATATTTTAATTAAGATTGAAATGTCACGAACACCGACAATGTGAGGGGTGATAATAGGTACCTCCTTAGAGTTGCTTTCCTCTTAAGCCTCCACGACATCTGCTCCTAAGAGTTTATGCCATTCTTATTGTTAATAAGATATGTCTTTAACCAGAAGGGGCCCTGCCAAAATTTACTTTTCTAGGCCATCTCATCCTACAGGTCTAACTGCAATTTGTCAAGGAAGCCTAGGGGAAAAAGCCCATTTCAATTATGTAAGCATGGTTGATATAAAGATTGCCCTGACCACTGCAGATCAACGAATGCCCCACTTGCATAAGTTCCTGCTTTATTGTTGAAGAAGACATTGTGTTGATCCTAAAAGATTTTCGAAATATCTTTGAATTATTCCAAAATTTGAGAATAAATGTTTTTGAAGGGACAGATTTTGGAAAATTGGAGTGCATAGACGAGAGGATTTCCCAGGATGCATCAGACAAGTTATGGTAACTAAGTTCAAATACATATATGGATAAGAAAAAGAAGTTTCTTAAGCATAATAAATCAAGATAATCTACTTAGAATCAGATAATCCTCGGAACAAATGGATTGTTCATGCATTTAACAGACAAAGTCACAGTTCATACTCATACTAATATATTCTTCTGTGCCAGGCCTTTGATTCCAAACAAGAACAGATTTTTTGTGGGGCTCCATATATTCCACATGCTCTGCACCCTGAATTGATTCCTTATTTCCTACCAAGTATATTACTTCTATTTCAAACAGGTGTTGTGGTCCATACAAATCTAGATTATCTCAAAAGCATGAGGAGATAAGGAAGATCAACAACATCAAAAGGGATAAAGTGGATGATGATTCAATGGTGGGAAATTTGCCTGCGCAGGCAGTTAAAAGTTCAATGATTCTAGCATATGGGAAATTGATGGTTTCCAAGATGATGATCTCTAAAGTGATTTTGATCCAAATATCTTGCCTGTAAAGACCTAGAGAATATTTGTAAAGGCTGATGGAGCCATACTTCACTTTTAAGTTTATGTTTAACATGGATTATGTAGTGGAATGAAACCTGTTCCATATGAAGATGAAAATGACCACTGTTTCAACACTGAGGCTTCAGCTTCTTTTCATTGATTCATTTTCTTTGTTCTTTTCCTTTGTTTGCTTAATTGTCATAAGCATAAAGTATTGGTTTTGCATTTCAGAAAAATCCACAAGTCCTGCAATTGAAGCCATCTCATAGTAGCAAATCTAATAGTTATAGCTTATAGGATATGCAGCCCAAACGTGGAGACACCAAGGCAACTATGGGCAACTTGTTAGCCCACTCCAGAAGTCTAGTCAGTTATATTAGAATCGTAGGCTACTTAGCCCCTGTTACTAGTCTAATTAGGCTCATATCTTCCAGAAAATGGGCTAATTCATCACCTCTCATTGAGATATGGGCCTTTTAAAGTCTGATATGGACCTACATGTTGCATAAAATCAATTACTTTGGAAATTTTTTAATTATTAAATTTATGAAAATTTTATCATATATACCACAAAAATATCACCAACAGAATTAGAAAGTTGACGTATAAATTTTTAAGATATAATTAAAAATTAAATAATTAATATAATAAAAAAGTCACATTTTAAAATTGATTACTTGTGACATGCAATTTATGTCATTAAGAAAGCTCCAAGAACCATGATTAAGACTTCAGTGTTGAGGGATTCTAGGAACAGAGATGATGGTCTTCAAGTACTTGAACAGGAAGCCTTCATCAACAGGCCAACCTTGAATCGTCTGGTGAGTGTATTTATGTACGGGATACGGATACGTATTTGGACATGTATTTTTCCATGTTTACTGAAATGGGGTTTAGGTTTATTGGTGATGAATAGAGCAAGTGGTTGGTGGCGGCTTTGTTTGGTGGGGTGCTTATCTGGCGGCATGACGCGGAGGCTTTATGGATGGCGATGGGGTCGATTGCGAATGGCCTGCTGTCAGTTACGCTGAAACGGGTGCTGAATTATTTGGGACATGACCAAGAATTAGTTAGGTTCTTCCATGGCTGTTGCTTGGATTGCTGCATAATCCAGTAAAATATCGGTTGCCTACTTGTGCCTGGTGTTCCTGCTGCGTAGACTGAAGATTCTTCCATAGCTTCTATTTGCTTAATTTGTGAGCCTCGGAGCCTTAACATAGTTTTATAGAAGCATCCACATAGATCTTTGGGCACCAAAAAGGAGGAGAGAGGAAGCACCGAAGCAGTTGTCAAGAATAACAGAGTCTTTTACTTGCAATATATCACATTCTAAGTCTTTTACCAGTCAAATGAGGGAAAAGAAAAATATTACAATAGATCAGCTTCTAATAGACCGGACAGAGTCTTCTACTCTTCCGCAACCACGTTCAAGTCATAGTCCAACTGGTTCCTCCACTTCAACCTTCTTGTTAAAAACAGAAAAACTGCAAACTTTCTTGCAGAAGACAACGGAAGCTAGCAATATATCACTTGGATTGGTGGAAAACTACTACTCATATAAACGTTTCTCAAATGAATGTAAAATTCTTAGCTAGATACCAGGTAAACTCTGAAGGCGTTAAGTGTCCAAGAAATGAAATTGTCACTGCTTGCCATGGACTAAAAGGCAAATCTTGCTTAAATGAGAGCAAATTTCTGAAAATCTCGGGAGTTTAAGAAATGCAGACTGCCATCACTTGCCTTTGGGCAACACATCAGGTCATAGGAAAGAAACATATCCAATATATCCTCCAACGCCAGTATCAGTGACTATCTAGGGCAAAATGTTTGCAGCTTACTTCATGATTTAAGCTGCATATAAAGATGCCATCTCATTTTAATTTTAAAATTTGTTTAAGCACCGGCCCATCAGATGCATGTCCTAGTCTTCATAACTTCGTTTGCACAAAAAATCAAGTGCTAACGGTTGTATGTTGTCACTGTCAACTACTGATTAGCTCCTTGCCACTGTTAAATGCAGCTTTCAACAAGTCACAACATCAAGAGTACGAGGCCAAAACCTGTAATGAAACAATGAAATTGAATCTTCACTTCATGCTAATCCTCAAGATCTAGAAGAGAACCTAACTCCTGGACAGTAATATCCACCCTTGAAGCTAGTAAATCCAACATGCCATATATGTCTTCACCCTCTGGATAAGATCGTTCACCTGCAACAAATGCAGAAACCCGATCCTTAACCTTAATCCAGGACCATCCTGGCTCCTTGATGACCCCCTTTGACCTCATCATCTTCCTAACATCTGCTGCTTCACTCCATTTTCCTTTAGCAGAATATATGTTAGCAAGAGTGATATGAGTCCCTGCACAATTTGGATCCATTTCAAGAAGCTTTTCTGCAGTGCGTCGTCCACAGTCAACATCACCATGGATCCTACATGCTCTAAGAAGTGTTGACCAAACAACATCATCTCTATGAAATGGCATGCTTTTAATCATGTGCTCTGCTTCAGTTAGTCGTCCAGCTCGGCAGAGTAGATCGATCATGCAGCCATAGTGTTCTTTTGAAGGACTTATTTGGTACTCACTGCTCATTAAATTGAAGTAGTGGAAACCAAGATCAGCCAGTCCTGCATGACCACAAGCAGTAAGAAGACCAATGAAGGTCACAGAATCTGGTTTCAAACCAACCTTGGAAAGCATCTTGAACAAATCAATAGTTTCATGGATATATCCATGTTCAGCATATCCATTAATCATGGCTGTCCATGACACAATATCATAATTCTCAGCCTCATTAAAGACTCTTTCAGCTTCTTTAATACACCCACATTTTGAGTACATATTAATTAAAGCACTCTGTATCATTGCCTCTTGTTCTAACCCAACAAAAAGAACTTGAGCATGAACCTGCCTCCCTTGCTCAAGAATTGCCATATTTCCACACACACTAAGCACACTAGCAAAAGCAAATTGGGTTGGCTTTGGCCCTTCCTTTCTCATCCACGACAGATACTCAAAAGCTTCTTCTCCGCAGCCTCCTTGGGAATACACTGCAATTATAGTGCTCCAAGAAATGATATCCCTTCTTGTCATTCCATGAAACACCATTGAAGCGGAAGATATCTGCCCACATTTCGAATACATAGTCACGAGGGAATTAGCCACTGATAAAGAATCTGCAAGACCAAAACGTAAAACATGGGCATGTAATTGCTCACCCCAACTAATTCTCACAAGACCAGAACAACCAGAGATGACTGTAGCGAAAGTAAACTCATTGGGACTCACGCCTGCTTCTTGCATCCTTATAAATGCCTCAAAGGCATTCTTCTCTTCTCCCATCTGAACAAAAGTCGTTATAACAGATGTCCACGAAACCACATCTCGTATACTCATTTTTTCAAACAAAAGCAAACCATAATCTAATTTTCCACATTTGTTATACATAGTAGAAAGAGAATTAGCCACAAATGAGGTATCATTAAAACCTCTCTTGACGGTATGAGTATGAATCTCCCTACCAAAATTCAAAGCAGCTAAATAAGCACAAGCCTTCAAAGCAATAGCTAAAGTATAAGAATCATATTCCACTCCTGATTTCCTCATTTCAGATAAGTATACCAAACCCTTCTTATAAAACCCACCATGAACAAGCCCTGTAATAATAGCAGTCCATGAAACTACGTTTTTGATAGGCATCTCATCAAACACTTTGATCCCTTGCTCAATTTTGCCAAATTTTGTGTACATATCTAAAAGCGCACTCCCCACGAAAACTGAGTTAACAAAACCAGATTTAACTAAATACCCATGAAGTGATTCTCCGTAATTCAAATCAAAATCGAGTGCACAAACTTTGAGTGCAATGCTAAGACTAAAGGGGTCCATGGAAAGCCCAGGTGAGACCCACATTTTGGAGAACAAAAGCAAAGCTTCTCTTGAGTTCTTGGCATTGACGTAGCCAGAAATAATGGTTGTCCACGAAATTTCGTCTCTCTGAGGCATTCTGTCGAACATTTTACGAGCTTCATGGAGATGGCCCGTTTTGACTAAGTGTTTGAGACGAGAGTTAACTTCAGGCATGGTTACATGATTATGAACATGAGTTTTGAGGGATGAGTTGACTAGTGTTGTTTCTGAAACGAGGATGCCTCTGTTTTCGATGAAAGCGATGTTTGGAACCGTACATAGTTTTCTGAGATTGTGGATTCTGATTGGTAATAGCATGTTTCTGTCGGAAGTAGGAAAGAGCATGACCGAGGAAGTTTGAAGTGCTATATGAAGCGGGCTTCAGAGGTTGATATAAGCCCAATAGTTTTGGGCTATAAATGGACTCATAACGAAGGAGGCCAGGCTTAATCTATTGCTATGTTCTAATTTATCTAAAAAATAAAATGAATTTTTCTTAAATATTCTTTTTTAGCCAAATTTCTAAAATGTTATATAAACTATTCAAGACAATTTAAAATATAATATAGTGATATTATATAAAAATAAAACATGAAAACGATACGATTTAAAATTTTAATAGTATGAGCTTAACAAAATTAAAAAATATATTTTATATTTTTTTTTATCGACACAAATTATGATACATAATTTTCATATAAAATATGATATAAATATATAAATTTCGATGTTTTATATAACACAAATACATGAATCATTATATTTAATTTAACTCTCTATGCTGTAGTGTTTCCCCTATATTAATTGAATTAAGTTTTATAAATTCTTATAATATTATTTATTATGCGATAGACGCTTGGTATTCAAGATATAAAAATACTAGAAAGAGTGGCAATGAACATTTTTTGGTAGATTTTTGAAACCATTCTAATATGGCAAGACTTGGTATGATGAAATAAGGTTTGAGTCTTTTATCTGTTTTTTTTCCTGCCAAACTAACAGTCCTAACAGCTCAGCTAAGAAAGTAAATAAAAATTACAGGAAAATTACTAGAGATGTTCATAATTTAATTTTAACTAAATTAATTCATCAAATTAATTTAATTTGATTAATTGATCAGTTACCAAATTAATTTTGATTTATTAATAAAAATAATTTTTTAAAAATTTTGATTTTCGACTAATTCATTTCGAAAATCAAATTAACCAAAATTTTAATTGAAATATAATAAAATTTAAATATAAAATGAAAAACATAAGAAATCGATCATTTTATTCATAAGTTGTTAGAATTTTTAACATAATACTTTAGTATTTGAATATTTTTTTAAATAATTTTATTTAGTTTGTTTAAAATAAAAAAAATTAAGAGTTTAAAATGTAATTTAACTTAAATATATTTATTATTTATTTAATAAAAAAATTAATCAAACTTATTGAATTAATTAAATTTGATCGATTAATTTTAGAAATTAATAAATTCAATTCAATTAACAAAAATAAAATATATAATATAATTTAATTAATTTAATTTTGAATAGTTCGATTCAAAATTAATCAAATCTACCGAACGATGATGTTGAAAATTACACTACCTAATGGCCAGCTACTCTCCAGGACGAACATACATTCATCACTATGAGAGAAACCATTTCCAAAACCTCACAAACTTCACGCAAACGATTTCACTTCAACATTAGAAATCTTACATATTATGCAAACATATTAGTTTTCAGTTTCCAATGCGCCTGCCCCCGTTTCTACCATGCCACTGACCCCTCCTCATGGCTCTTGCCCTCTTCCACCGCCCCACGTTTCTCATCCTGGTAAAGATCTTACGGATTTGGTCAAGCTTGTGGGATTGTTGTGCAATGACATTAGCTATTGAGGAGCTCTCACTCAAAACTATCTCATAACCATCCCTGAAAGAGTCCATTCCTTCAGTTAAGAGTTGCCAAAACAGGCCTCCAGCAGCTGGACCTCCTCTTTTAGCTGATGAGTATATGTTGTAGTAGACAGTGTTGAACAATTGGTCTCTCTGATAGGTGTTAAAACCTGGATCTTTCCATGATTTTCCAAATTCTGTGAGGAGTATCGGCTTTCGGAGGATGAATTGTGCATCTTGGATGTGAGCATGAAGCCAGTTGTTCAAAAAAGAGAGTTGATATTGATCATTTGAGCTGGATAACCTGCGCATGCCACAATAAGGAACTAAATCAAAGCTTTATCATAGGTGATAGTTTCCTATAACATTTCATCTCTAACCTACTTTTGAATCCTCAGTTGTTCTGTTTCAACTGACAATGGGACTTAAATTTCATAAGCTCAATGCTCAGATTCTTTCAAGTCATTGATGATAGTTACCATTGGTCAGGATATGAGTGGACTGTTGCAAAATCAATGCCAGGAATGCGATTATTTGCAATGAAATCTGTTCCAATATCCAATCTGGGATTGAGTCTCTTCTTCTTAGGAGTTGATTGTCCATAAAATCCTTCTAAACCAGCTTCCAGCAAGTGATTTCTGTCTATGGACTTGACATGAGAAGCCATTTCCATTATCCAAGCCTATCAAAAGCATCAATAACTGAAAGTTACAATCAATTACTGCACACCTGAAACTGAAAAGTGAAAACATTGCAAATGAAATACATTTAAGAGCTAGTTGTTGAAACAAATTACTGAAGGCATCAAACTTTTTTGGCAACACTAACATTCATTAAATGGGCCTACCTCACAAATGTCGGCAAGTGGGAAAATCTAACCAGTGTTAACTAATGTGGAAATGGGGATTATCCAATCACAAAAACCATTTTTATGGTAGAGGTGGGATGCATATGTTGGATAAACCTGTTAGCAAACTTTTAAGCAAATTAATTGACTTCAATGGCCTGGATTTTGAATCAATCAATCTCAGCAGAAAAAATTTAGCTTAAAAAACTACTTTTGAAAGAAAGTCAGATCTAGCTAGGGAAGATTGTGAAAACCTGAATAGTTTTTCCGGAGGAATCTGATGTGCATCTAGGCTCATTCATAAGCTCCCAGGCCATTATCGTTGGGTCATCTTTGTAATGCATTCCAGTAAAGCTGTTATATCTATTGAGAACAGTCTGCAAATTTTCAAAAAAATATATATATTCATAATTCATAGAGAAGACCAGAGAAAATATCTATGGGAGAAAAGAATTTACACAAAATTATATTTTCTTTTTGCTTTAAAAGAAAAAAGATGAAAAAACCATATGACATACTTACAATAACATTTAGCTATATAACTATAATCAATTCCAAAAAGACAGTAGATTTTACAGCTTTATCAGATTTAAGTCATGATTTTAAATTTTTTATCCAACCTGGGAAAAGTATCATAAATGACAATCCAATACCAAGTAGCAGCAAGAGAAATATAAATGCTTTCTGAGCATACCTTTACATGATTCTTATAGTAGCCCTTAACAACAGGATTTCTGAAGAAATCATCATCAGATGTCAGGTACTGCCCTTGACTTCTTGCCCAATTTACATATTGTTTCTTTCCTCCAAAGCTGTCATAGTTATTAGCTAAGCTGAGAATGAGCTTGATTCCATACCTTCTTGCCTCAGCTATTACAAAATCCAATCCCTTTAAAACATTCCAAATAGAAAAAGATCCAAATCATCTATGTCATGAACTTTAAAGATGGTAAAGATAGAAAGTAAATTATATAGAGGGAATCTGCATAAAAGACACCTTAAACATTTGTTCATTATAGGAACCTGGCGCATACTGTAAAGGTCTATAACCACCATCACTGAAAGCCCAAGTTCTAGCCACTGTGAGGCCATGACTTGTAGCTTCACGAAATGCAGCTGAGACTTTAGGCCTCTGCGATGGATCAGAAGCCACATACATCAACCAGTAGGCATTGAAACCATTTGCATAGTAAGGGTTACCATTCAACAGAAAATGAACTCCTCTGGTCCTGATAAAGTTATCCCCTGCTTCAACATGAACAGTAAGGTGTTGGTTGAACAAAACAGCAAGAAAAATGGCCAAAGCCAAATGCTTCATTTCTTTGACTCAGTTTCTGTTTTTCTCAGTGGAGAAGGGAAATAAGAGTCATTTAGCTGAATAAAGTGAAGGGTATTGTTTAAAAGCTGCAGGAAAGCAGATGAGGCTGTTGAAACAGTTTGTCCTCGTACAAATGCAAACGCATTAAAAAAAAAAACAACCAACAGTAACTGCCAATGGATGGAAACTGACGAGATTCCCTCTAAGGTTAATTTCTTTGCTACATTTGAAAAGGAAAAACATGGCCCTTAATTACATGATCATTAACATTATGAGATATGTCATTGTCACTATCCATGCTCTATTATGTTGATCATTATCATCATGCAAACACATGGGAAGCAAGTGGGGTCTGAAAGAAAAGGAAAAAAAAAAGAAACAAAGGGTTTCGAGATATGATTATTACTTTCTCATCCAATTCTGTTCATGCTTGGATTTATAATCTGTATTTCGGATGTCTAACAAAAAATTTTGTTTCAGTAACAAAGAAATGCGAATGAAACAAAGAACATGGACCCCGATGAGATAGCGAGAGGCTCCTTTTTCACCTGCCTAACCTAATCCCACAAACCATGGCCGTACACATGGAGTACGAGCCAGGTTTAGGAACTGTTTCAAAATTTGAAGGTTCGGTGGTAAGGCAACCGTTGAATGAATATCTTCACCTATTCCTTCTACTACATTTTATTCTGTACTATGGGGAAAGATACAGTCAAAAAGGCTGTCAAGCTCTTTGGGTCCAACCGAGAAACACCAGTGGTTGTAGTTTCTTTTGTTGGGAAAAACAGCACATACGTAACAATCACACATAAAATAGTAAGTTTAAATCAAAAATAAAAACATACAAATATATTTGATTCGTTTCAACTTAAAATAATCTACTCCAAACATAATCTACTAACAAATAAATCTTTACAACTGTGAGATTTTTAGAATGAGAAAAATCTCATAAAACTACTTACTCAAAATTTAACCCAAAACCCAATTACATCATTTAATAGCCTACTCACTTAGCTAACTTAGCTATTCTCTTGGCGTTTAACTCTCTGAGATTATTGGCGTTTAACTCTCTGAGATTATTAAATTAAAACCAAAACAAATCTTTAACAAATCTTTACAACTGTGAGACTTTTAGAATGAGAAAAGTCTCATAAAATTCTTTACTCAAAACTTAACCCAAAACTCAATTACACCATTTAATAGCCTACTTACTTAGCTATTCTCTTATAAAATTATCAAACTAAAACCAAAACATCTTATTTATAAAGGTAAAACCCCTTATACCTTTACTAAACTCTCGATGTGGGATACAAGACAAACTCAAACTCACTTAACTTTCGATGTGGAATTCTAAGATTTAAGCAAATCCCAACAAATCTTTCTTGACTTGAATCTCCAAACACTTCAACAGTAACTGCAAAACTAACACGCTTACCTTTTTTTTTTCTTTCATTACAGGCATCTCAACAACTGAACCTCCATCAAACATGTATAAATGATTATTGACCCTATTCTCTTGTAGAATCACACTAACATTCTTATACACTTTCAATCAATCATTACTACCATAATATGTGTACCCCTGAGAAGCTAACTCACCCAAAGCAATCAAATTGTAGTGACAACTTGGTACATACCTTACATGACGAAGCATCCTAATAATATCATCGTGAGATTTAAGGCGAAGATTTTCAATGTCTTGAATCTGTACCTTTTCTTTGTTAGCAACCACAATATCCTCATACTTCTCATTTTCATCCAACTCCATAAAGCAACTCCTATAATTACAAACATGAACTGTAACAACTGAATCTAAAACTCAACCTTTATCACTTTTCAAAGTCTGAGTCTCATCAACATAAGTTGTCAAATCAACATCATCATCATCAGACACGACAGCAGTAGTATCACTATTTTTTTCATCGGATTTTTTTTCATCATTCGCCTTTTTAAAAGCGGTCATATCCCTTCTCAGCTTCCTACAGCGTATTTGGATATGTCCCTTCTCACCACAATAATAACATTCTACGTCACTGAAATATTTGTCTCTTGACTTAGATCTCCATCTTGATCCATCAATCCTCTTTTGAGTCCTCTCTCGATCAAAATCCTCTATAGCTAGTGTACTCCTCTTAGGTGATGAGCTCTGAGCTCTCATAAACGCAACAAAACAGTCACATCATCCAACTTCAAAGTAGACCTACCCACCAATACAGTCTGAACTAAAAGCTTATAAGATTTGGGCAAAGATGATAACAAAATTAAAGCTTTCTCTTTTTAACTTATCAACAGAAATCGCTAGCAATTTAGAAACCAATCTATTAAACTCATTCAGGTGATTATGAAGATTCATACCTTCTTTCATCTTCAGAGAATACAGATCCATCTTCAAACATAATCTATTAGTCAATGACTTTGAAACATAAATACCTTCAAGTTTATCCTATAAACTCTTCGGAGTACTCTCAGTCAACATACTGTATTTTACCTTTGGAGCTAACGTCAATCTAATAGTACTAACAGCTTTCTTCTGAATCCTATTTCAATTAGCATCAGATATTCCTTCAGGCTTACTACTCTCTATTGTCTGATCCAACCCTTGTTGTACTAACAGATCTTGAATCGCACTTTGCCATAACATAAAATTACTCTTTCCATCAAATAACAAAATCTCCAACCCTTGTTCTCATTTTCTTTCCAAAGATCAATGATCCGTTTATTATGTCGTAGAAACTTTCAATTAGGAACTCTTCCATCAAATAATGGAATCTTCAACCCTTGTTGTACTAACAGATCTTGAATCGTACTTTCCCATAACATAAAATTACTCTTTTTATCAAATAACGAAATCTCAAACTTAGGCATAGGCATACCAACCATACCTTCTTCAGACATCTTTAAACACTGCTTCACAATCTCTTGAGCCCACGAACCTTAAACCTCGAACTTCGTTCTGATACCACTTGTTGGCTTTTCATCAAATAACGAAATCTCAAACTTAAGCATAGGCATACCAGCCATACCTTCTTCAGACATCTTTAAATACTGCTTCACGATCTTTTGGGCCACGAACCTTAAACCTCGAACTTCGCTCTGATATCACTTGTTGGAAAAAAACAACACCCACACGCAACAATCACACACAAAATGGCAAGCTTAAATTAAGAATAAAAACACACAAATATATTTGGTTCGACCCAACTCAAAATGACCTACTCAAAATGACCTACTCCAAACACAATCCACTAACAAATAAATCTTTACAACTGTGAGACTTTTAGAATGAGAAAAGTCTCCTAAAACTCCTTACTCAAAATTTAACTCAAAACTCAATTATACCCTTTAATAGCCTACTCACTTAGCTATTCTCTTGGCATCTAACTCTCTGAGATTACCAAACTAAAACCAAAACATCTTATTTATAAGGGTAAAAACCCTTATACCTTTACTAAATTTAACCAAAAACAATTTAACCAAAAACAACACCCACACACAAAATAGCAAGCTCAAATCAAGAATAAGAACACATAAATATATTTGATTCGGTCCAATTCAAAATGGCCTACTCCAAACACAATCCACTAACAAATAAATATTTACAACTGTGAGACTTTTAGAATGAGAAAAGTCTTTTAAAATTCTTTACTCAAAACTTAACCCAAAACTCAATTACACCATTTAATAACCTACTCACTTAACAATTCTCTTGATGTCTAACTCTCTGAAATTACTAAATTAAAATCAAAACATCTTATTTATAAGGGTGAAATCTCTTATACTTTTACTAAACTTTCGATGTGAAATACAAGATAAACTCAAACTCACTTAATTTTCGACGTGAGTTCTGAAATTCAAGATAAATTCCAACATCTTTTCCATGAAAAACTCACCGATTCTCTTCTTGATTTTTGCAGACAAAAGAAACAAAAAATTTGTGAAGTTTCATTCTCAGCAACGTACCAAACTGCCAATCTTTTCTTAAATTGAAGTGTCTGCATTTAACCACCACGCGGCATTGAGCCCATGTGAGAGTTGACATCTACAGCTCTCTTTTGCATGCCCCACCACCATTTCTTTTAGCCTAAGGTCCCATATTTTCTCATTTAATAGTTCGTGGACTGCATGTGCCAATGTCCATCAATGCTCCATCACTCAATGTTGAAGATTTGTTCTTTGACACCCAAAGGGTAAGAGAGAAGAAAAAGTTTCTCTTTTCAGCACTTTTAACTCTGTCCCTTCACTTATCTCAGTTCAGATTTTTGTTTGGAACTTATGGCTAACCGACAGTCTTATGTTACCCAACTCTACAATATTTGCATTGAAAGAAGACTCTTATCTTATTTTTACTTTATTCTGATTTTGCCACACTTAAGGATGAGAAAAAAATAAAAAATTAATTTAAAATTATAATATTTGATTGGATTTAGATAAAATTTTTTTATTCAATTCAAATTAATTTAAAATATTAAATGTATATATTATATTTGAATCAAATTTTAAATTTAAAAATAAAATATCCAAAACAAAATTGAATCAAATTAAATTATATATTTTTATTAATTTTTATAAAATAAAATAATTATTTTATAATTAAATTTATTTAAATATATAAAAATTATATTAACATAATATAAAAAACCAAAAAAATTAAATTTAAAAAACTGCTGAATCAAACCAAACAAATAAATTTTGATTTAATTTAAATCATATAAAAATTTTATTTGAATTTAAATTTAAATTTTAATATTTATAATTTTATACATTATAAAAAAATCAAATTAAATCTCATCCGAACATTTATCATCGCTACCTCACTCCCACACTCAAAAGACTTGGGCATTTCGCACGCATGCTCCACTTCTTAATGGTTTTAACAATTTTCTTTTCTTTTACCTTCAGTTATAAATTGCGTGAACCGACAGAAAAATTGGCTCAACCTAGGCCAATTAATGAAGAGTTCAATTTTCAACCAAAAAACATGACGCAACCTGCGGATCAATCACTATTTGCCGACATCTGGTACGTGATCTTCCGCCTTTGCCCGAAATGAACGCTGGAGACAGAGATCCCAACTACAGCTTTTACCATTTCTGCTCATGCAATACAATAATGGTTTAATGTAAACCTAGCAAACAGCTTTTAAAATTTATGCTCATGCAATACAGTTTACTATAAGTTTAATAATTCATATAATTATATCGTGTTTGATATAAAACAAGATTTAATAATTTTGATACAAAAATAATATAAATATTTAAATAACACAAATAATCTAAATATAAATATAACATACTTATTTTATGTATTACACATTACAAAATATGTTTATTATATATATTACACGTCACATAATACGATTAATACGCTTAAAATTAATTTATTTAATTAAACTCAAACAACACAAATTAACTCGATTAGATACAATTAATTTATTTATTTAAACAAAAAAATAATTTAAATTAATACTTAAATAAAAGATTATTTAAAAATTAAATGTTTACAATTTACCTAAACGCATTAAATATGATTATTAATTTATTTTTAAAATATATTAAAATAATTTTTATAGTTTGTATATTTTATATATTTGTGTAAACAATATTATTTTTTAAATGTATCTTAACCGTGTCATCACTGTTTGACATGAACACGACACGAATAATATCACGTCTTAATTGTGTCGATACAATTAAGATACAATAAACGATTACACTAAATTCATACATGATTTTTTTTGTATTATTTTTGAGTCAGTATTTAAAATTGTCTAAGTCTAGATTAATACTTAACCTGCAAAGAGTTTTTGGACCCAAGTCATCAATTCTCTTGCTCACACCAATAAGGCAAAGCCTGAGGTTTAATCTTCTCATTGATGAAATCTGCAACCACATCACACTTCTCGAACCCCAACCCAGTCAAAACTGATTAAAACATATTCACACAACTACTCTTTATAAACATACAAAAAATAACTTGAATTAAATGTGAGACGATGCTATAGTGCTCGAATCTGCCCTCCATAGCCATAATGTCTCAAAAGCCCTTCGTCTTGCCGCCAATTCTGTTTTACTTTTACTGCAACCTGTTTATTGAATTCGTTGGTTAAGGTTAATATATCTAGTAAGTAGTAACCATGCGTTACCAAATCATCGGTATCAATGAATTTTCTTGATGCAGAGCATTAGTTACAATGACAGTGAAAATGCTTTTGATGACATGCATAAACACGAGGCCCAAGAGTAAACCATGCACATTGTAGCACTGATGATTAAGTGAAGAATTGTGATTTAAGTTTGCACCTCAAGGAAGACTTTCTTCTGTAAGAAATCTTCAATGTCAAGCCGAGCAGCTGTTGCAAGTATTTTCAGAGCTTTCCCTCCCTTCAATAGCAGAGGACGCAAGGAATCAAATGGATGGCTAAGAATGTGTGCATGCACATGCATATGTGCATTATTTAGATTTAATATTAAATTAATTAATTTGAAAATATTAAACAGTGGTTAAATTTGACTCTTTTTTGTCAACATATTCATCAAGCTCAAAAGATCACTGAAATGAATCAAAGCAAATTGTAAAAAGTCTGATAAACACAGGATAATACTTACTTTTCCAATGAGGATGATTTTCTGGGAGTCTTTCTCAACAACGATTTCTACTTGTATAAAATCTTTGGCATTTGGCCTGGTTTTGAAGTTCACCACATTTACCTGGAAAATTTGGAAGAAGAAATGAATATGTACATATGAGAAATTTGGTTTGGTATGGTTGATGAGTACATCTTGCTGGCAATCTTGATAACTACAGTCCCGTACCTGACATGCATAAGGAACCTCATTACGATACTGCATAAATATCTTTTCTCTGATAATTTCAGCTACAAAGAACCTTTCTGGGTGCTCACTGACTATGTCCTGCCAACACATATACAACAAGTGTTCATAAGAAAGACAAAATCATTTTTTTAAGTCCCTCAAAAGCAGGGCAACATTTTTCTTTTTGAGGTAGAGTTGGGCAACAATGAACATAAAGCCTAATGTGACTGTTGATTTGAGGATGTCGTTAACAGAATAAACTGTTCCCAGCAAATTGTCAAAGAACATATATCAGCTACAAAAATGAAATCTTTGGTTATTGACATACTTGCAACTTTAAAATTTATCATTTCATGTTCCTAATATTGTATGATTTACAAGCCCGCGAAATGAATGCCCCTTCCAACTATGCTCTTGATTTGTTTACCTATCAACCAGTCCAGATCATCAACAACTTTTTATTGCTTAATAGGGTATTGAGGATACAATAAGAAAAGAACAATTTGTAAGCTCTAAAAACGATGACTCAAGAGCTTAGATGGTTCCTCCCCCCAACCCACCCACCCCAAAAAAAAAAAAGGTTTAGATGGTAAAAACATCCCTCAAGGCTCTTTTGATTCCACTCCACAACTGTAATCTGGCAGCACTTGGGTCTGGGTACGTTTGTAGTCAACTAAGTTCAAGATGAGCTAAACAAAGAATATCTAAGTCAACTGCAGCTTCTTGCTTTGAGTGATATTGGATAAAGCTTCGTTTTATAACATGATTTTCCTTCTAATATTACATAAATTTAAATATTAGAGAAGTTTAAGGTAATATTCCTGATAACAAGAACTACCACCATATTTCATTCTTGAAGATAAGCTGGTAAGGAATGCAATAAAAGACATATCAGTTGGTTTCTACATACCTTTGGATAGTAAGGTGGCCCAGTGGGAAGTTTTGACAATATCCAATCCTTGACATCATCTACCCCATGTCCATACTTTGCACTCACAGGTATGACCTCATCAACATCAGTAAATTTCTCATACCACTGCAAGGCATAGGATTTCTATTTAGGAAACAAACATCAGAAATACCAAACTTGAAGGCTGAAGACCAATTCAATGTGCTACTAAAGTTAAAGTACAGAACCTGAGGAATGAACTCAACAATTTGATGAGTGAAAGTTGAACTTGCATACAAACCACCCAATTGCAAATATGTGACAATAACAATAGCAGCAGACGCTGCTCGAAACATTTTAAGAGAGAACACCTTTTGCAAACTTTGGTTAAGCATCTAAGCAACATTTAAGACCAATGTTGGACTAATCATATCTGCTTTGTTTCTTTCATTTAGTGCACCATAAATTCACATAATCTAGACTACAGTAACAAGAAAAAGTAATTTGATAATTGTTTAATATTGCAAGAATGAAAACCTTTATATTTATGAATTTTAATGCATTTCACATGGTAGTTCAATTGCAAGGACCATAGCCTTTTGAGACAAGGTAAAGCAATACCCTAAACATTGCAAGAAAAAATGGCCATCACAGCCAAGGCCTTTACTCTTATTGTAGATATGCAGAAAAGCTTGTTCAGAAACAAAAGTGAGGTGAGAAACATTTGCATTTAAGAAATCAATTGGCAACACAGAGTATTTCTGTATCTATTTCTCAACAATCTCACTAGTGACACTGAAAAATATCCATCTTAAATTTTAAGGAATATCCACATGAAAGCACATACATAACTCAAACAGGTTCTTACCTCAAGCTTTTTTGCAATTTCACCAGGTTTTACCAGATCCTTCTTATTCAAAACCAGTAAAGTGGGCAGATTACACTTGAGATCTCCTACGCCTTCTTGCAAGACTTCATTGATCTAGACATAAGAAACTGAACTAAGAAAAAGGGGGGAAAGTTTAACAAAGAATTCTAAAAACCATGAAGCATACATTTTCAGGCACTTTACATGCATCAACAAGAACAAGTACACAGTCAGCATTTAAGCCAGCACTTCGGACATTCTTCATCATCATAGAATCCAACTTGTGCATTTTCTTCTCAATAACACCTGGAGTGTCATATAGTATCATCTGCAAGCAAAGTCCGGGACAGTATAAATGAGAAATGGAACATACATAGCCTTAAATCGCGAAGGAACTAAACAAAAAAATTGCTACTTAATCTATAAGGTTATTAACAACACAGATAAATGACCAAAATCTAACACGGGAAACAATAGTCATAACAAAAGAAAAAAAATTTCAAACCTGATACTCTGGGCCAGAACATATACCAAGAATTCGATGCCTGGTGGTTTGAGGTTTATTGGTAACTATAGACAACTTTTGACCAATCATTTGATTAGCAAGTGTACTCTTTCCAACATTCGGCTTCCCTAGTACAGCCACATACCCTGCATTTTACTCACCATCAAGATATAAAACAACCACAGACAATGTAATCGTTGGCAAGCTCAATCTGTGAAAATTCAAAGTGTTCTCAGTCTCACTCACCATTTTTTATTCTAATTCACAAAGGCCCTGTTGCCGTGCTACTTCTACTAAGAGATAACGGGCAAAAAAAAGTGCTTTGTGATTGGAAACAGTATTTTTTAAAAATTACAAATTTAAAACATTTTTTTAAATATGCTTAGTGTTTTGATCAATTGTGAATTTTTTTTCTTATCAAAGAGGAAGAATTAAACATGATATGCTTCATTGATTTTCGAATGACTTAATAACCGAAAGCAGAGAATTAAACACACAAAAAAAAGAGCAGCGATTAGCTAAGACTACAAACCACTACGATGGTTAGTAGGAGAGGCAGAATCAAGCTCTTCCAACTCGTAATCGTCAAGCAGAGCCATGTTCCTTCTATCTGGCTTTTCACTCAAAGACAAAAAAGACGACTCGTCACCGCTGATACTCATTTCTTCTTCTTCTTCTTCTTCTTCTTCTTGTGAATCTTCCATGAGACTGTTTCTTTCAAGTACTTGTTGGATTAAATCTAGCCGGGAAATCTGGTTCAGATTCCAGTTCCTGGAACTAGCGTTTCGGGCTTGGAATCGGAACCGCGATTTTCCGTGACAATTTGTATTGCAGCGACGGAAAAGAGAGGGGCTTTTTTGTCTGGCGAACGTCGGATACATGTGAAAAGCTACCAGCTCCATTGTCGGAGCCCGTTTTCTGAATAGCTTCACCGACCCAGGTTATCCATTTCTGCGTTTTTAAACAATGGGGATAATTCATGATTTTAATTGCTTATCCTTCGATCCAGCTTCGCATAAATAGAACGCAGCGTTTTGGACCCATCTTTTTAAATTTGTTTTAAATTTCTTTTTATAGGAAATTTGATTGCTATCATCTTTGATGTATCCAATTTAACAAACATCTCAAAGAAATTAGTAGATCAATTAAATTCATATATACTTTATAATTATTATAATACAATTAATTAATTATAATTTAATATTACGTAAGATCTATCAAAAAATTATGTGAAATTTATATCTTTAAATAGTGTATCTTTACATAATTATTAATTGTGATTAGTTAAGTACAATATTGTAAGAAAAAGATTAGTGTTAAAGAGTCTAGCATAGTAAAAATATCTTTTTGAATCATAAGAGACCTCAAAACAAATCCATGAAATTATATGTGCAGAACGCACAGGCCAAAATTGGATAACAAAAGACCGATATAAGAACAACTAGTAGTACTCAAAAATTATTTTGATGGTACTGTACATCCTCTGGATGGCCCATGGAAGAGAAATTGGTGCTCAACCAAAAGCAGGAGACTGCTATTCACAGGGAAGAATGTACCCCCGAAGAACCTTATTCTCTTGCTACGATGACAGGGTTATCGTAGTAGCTCTAGTGATCGAATAATTATCACTTAGCTGCATCATCACTGTCAGGAGTATGAGGAATACTAGCAGAAGATGATGCTTTTCCCGTTGGGAGGTAAGACCACGCCAAGGCTGCTGTCCCGAGGGTAAGTGCAGCGGCAATTGAACCCCAAACCCATCTCTGCCTTCTTTTCTTCCTTTGTCTATGCCGCCGTGCCATCTCTGTATGAAACAATAATAAATTCCAAAACTCAAGAAATGAAATCATGTGAAAGTCATGCAGAATTTCATATGTAAACATGCATATAAAACTCTCACCTACAGCTTCTTGGTTCCTCTGAGACATTTCCCGATTGACAGTCTCATAATAGTGTAGCCGGTCGCACAATCGGGCAATTTCAAAGTTCTTCGATTCAATTTGAGATTCCATCTCCATCTCCATCTCTGCCCTTGCAATGCCCCTTCCCACAGATAATGATACAAATCGTGCGAAATCCACTTGCTGCCTCAGTTCTTCAGCTGGATTCACCAGCTCATCCTCTGTCATATCAATAGGATCCACAGGCAGTGACAAGCCCACATCGGCCAACTCTTGGCCGATTCTTTGCCACTTACATCGCATCTTGTTCAGAGCTTCTTCTGCCTGCTTCCTCTTCTCTATCTCCATGAGTAAACTCAATCTTATTCCACGCAGTTCAGCTTCAATGTCACCAAGAATAGACTGTGATGCACTCTCAGAGGATAATACTGGAGGAAACAAGAAATCTAAGTAAGCTAGCCAAAACCACCACAAAATCATCACATCACTATCATGCTCCTAGTCGATGCATATCAGGTTTTAAAAACAAAATGGCAGTCATGCAAGAAAAATATGTCCCAGCGAAAAAAAGAAAGCACATACATTAATATATATGCATCTACATACCATCCCATGCATCAAAAAACTCTACCCTTGATGTAGCAAGCCTTGCAGCACTTTCTGCCTCAGTATCATCATCTCCCTCGGTATTACTTGCGACACTCATTGATTCATTCGGATCAAAGAAATCTTCACTGTCACCACTTCTGTCCAAGTTCAACAGTCCAACCTTCAGCACAGCACTATTGACGGCCAAACCATTACTCATTTGGCTGCTTCCAACTTCCCCATTACTGCTTCCAAATTCACCATTATGGACATCATCCATCTGCTCGTCTTGAATGGAGCCACCATGGACACCATTTGCCTGCTCCACATTGATAGGACCATTATGGACACCATTCTCATGCTCCTCTTCTTTAGGTTCACAAATACGAAAAGTAACAGAACCATCCTTGGATAGATCAACAGATTTGGTTTCTGCCAGCTTTGCATTACTATTAACCTCATCTTCTTGAAGGGTTTTTTTCTGAGATGATACATTGTCCTCAGAAAATCTCTTCAAAAGGCAAGGCCCACGGCGCTTGTAATTGATGATGTAAGGAGAAGGAGGGAAAGAGGATGGTGAATCAGGTAGTGGGGTTGCCTCAGGAGTAGCATAGAGGGCAGGTGAAATTTGGGGGCGATTAACCTTCCTTTCCATTACTGATATATTGTTCTTCGTCCTCTCCAGCTTGGAGTTAGGAATAGGCTTTGGGTTGGGGATAGGTGGTTTTAAATTAGGACCAGACTTGTTGACAGATTTGGAAGCTCCAGGTTCTAACAACCTATCCAAAGCTATAGCAGTAAATGTTGGCATGGCTCTGCAGAATCAAGCAAACAAAAGCTAAAGTCACTAAGCCATTTGTATCATTTTCTTAGAAGAAGATCCTGAAGGAAAATGAAAGTCGAAAATCCCATTGTTGCTACATTTGAAAACATTCTACTTTCCATGAACTTGAGAAGATTCACTCAATTAAGCTTATAGTAGTTAACTTTTAGTTCTAACAACTCAGCCCCAACTTTAGTCAGCTAAAGACAAAAATAATGGATAATCTAAAATTCAAATTTTAATTCTTGTAAATATTTTACTCCTGCCAACCATAAAAATCCTAAAACCAAAATCTGCGAACCAACATAGAAAAAAGAAAAAAAAAGAGAAAGGGATGCAATCGCTTTTCCAATGAACAACCAGAAAATTTCTAACAAAATTCAAAATCGCTCAAACAATCCTAAAGTTCCATTTGTTGGCTGAGGAAAGGAAGCGGCTATGTGAAATTCATATAAAAACAATTATTCAGCTAATTATTATAATAAAAATTAAAATTTTTTTCTTAAAAAACCTAAATCTAAAAACTAATGGCTGATTTTAAAAATCATATAGCTAAATTAAATCTTGAATTGCATAAATAAATAAAAGCTGGATATAAGTATGAGTAAATGAAAAAGTGAATCCAAAAAACCAGTGTTAATAGATACAGCCAAGTGACATGCACGAGAATTCCTCTTGATTTTAACAACAACCAAACAGAACGGAAAAATAAAGAAAAATGATATTTTTTTACTGTAAAATTTTAAAGCATTTATGTTAACTATTTGATGAATTTTAAAAAATGGAAAAAAAGAAAAACCTCAAAAATTATAATCCGAGAAATAACACGAGCAACAATACGAAAATGAAAAGGCCAAAAAAAAGGGTTCAAATCGTTCCTTCTTCTAGTTAACAACGCAAATAAAAGTAAAAATAAAGAAAACCTTGAACGATTGAAAGCTCCATTCTTTTGCTAAGGCTTCGTTTGGACGCTGAGAAAAGTTTAAAATGAAAGAGGATAAACGCAAAGCTAACAGAGCTATTAAGAATAGCTAATCCAAAAACTGGAGAAAAAATAAAGAATGAAAAACCTAAAATCAAATAAAAAGGAATTTCACATATATATATATATATATAACCCAAGGAGATTCATTACCATATATGCTATTCATTACCTTAAATAAAAAGAGAGAATCCTTATGGAAGAAACACCTAGGCCTGAGCGGCGGCGATAATGATGCAGATAGTGGCGCGTCGAGAGCGCGTGATGTAAAGAGACATATGACGGAAAATTATAAGCGATGCGAATCTGTTAGAAATGCAAGGTTCGGTTAGGAAGGGATAGTGTCGGGGTTTTCCGTATATATATGTGGGAGGTCTCCAAACTGTTCGGAAGATGGGGAAATATATCGACTCTGCCGTTTGTGAAATGATACGACATCGTTTTTGGAAAAGTATGAAATGCGAAACTTCCTTTCCTTGGGCAAAACGGCGAAATAATGAAGAGTGAGGGAATAGGTCAGCATGCATGTGGCGGCAAAATTAAGCAACTACTTTTCTCATTTTTTTCAATCTTTTTCCTTTTTTTTTTATCACTACGACGACAATATTTAGTAATGGCTGACGAAATGGAATGGAATCGGTCATCAAAAAGCTATCTAAAAAAATTCTTCTTCGAAGAAGCAACTATAATAGATTGGGGTGCTCAGGCCCATCAAAGCCCATGTCAGGGGTCAAAGAATTCAAAGCATGGGCCCAGAAAAAGCCCAAGTTAGCTCTGTCAATAGCTCTAGGCCAGACATGTAATTCAACTGAGTCAAGTCCATAAAATAAGAAGTTTAAATCCTACTCAAAATTTATTATTCAAAATTTAACTTAAAATAAAATCAAATTATTAAAGTTCATTTAATTAAATTTATTTAATAAAATTAAGCACTATTCTTATATTTGATTTCAAAACTCGAATATATATTTAATTCAAATTCATATTTAAATTGATATATATAAAATAATAAAATTTTAATTAAACTAATAAATATATATAAAAATTTAAAAATTCGATTAAATTCGTAATCTATTCATATCAGACATTAAAATATTTAAACTCAAACTTGTTTATAAATTAAAAGTAACTTAACTCGATAATAATTTAATTAAATTTAAATTTTATCTAAATCAAACTCAAATAATTCGTAGATATTATGGTATCATTGTCACTCTAAACTTCTCTAATCTCCAAGCAATGAGGACCGTAAATGAACTGATTGTGTTCAAACAGTGGGATTGGACAAACTTGGCATTGTGTGTTCCATTTTTGAAAGTAAATTCTGAATCCAAGGTGGGAAAATGTGGGTTTACTCAAAATTCTTGCACCTATTTCTTTTTGGGCTTAAATATTGAAATTACACTCAAAATTACATGGAGTAATATAAATATAAAATAGACAAGGATATACACTCACTAACGGTGTAAATTTTCATAACATAGTGAATTGTAATGATGCAATTGGCATCCATACCAAGTCTGGGCTACCGCTCTTCGGAATTGAATTTGTTCCAAGCTTCCTGAGATCAAGAAGCAACAGAAGGTTAGTGTTAAACATACTTCGGTATCCTTGATTTTAGAAACACCCCATCACTTATCAACTACAATTGTTAAAAGGGTTAATGGCACAAGCCAAGGCGGCAAAGGAAGTGGAACAACCGGTAACTGACCTTTAGGAGATCGAAGACCTTTTCACAAATGTACTTCTGCTGAATACTTGCACCACGTTGCTGTAATTTGTCAGGATGAACACAAAGAGTGGCTTTCCTATAAGCTTTCTTTACAGCAGCTGAAGTTATAACTTCTGTTAGTGGAATCGGCTGCCAACCACTCTCAGGCCCAAGGATCTGTCAATGAAGAAACCTCAGTTTTAAACTTTAAAATAACTCCCGCTAGAGCTTTAAATTATAAGAACTGAAGACAGAATGTCTTAGTCACTTATTTATTTGTCAGGCGAAACTCAACGAGTGAGAAAAACATTCTATAAAAGTACCAGAACCTAGCCCAGTTAGTCTGTAATAAATCACAAATTTAATGGTAATCGTAATCAAAAGCCAGAGCACCGAACAGCATTAGCAATAAGAAAATTAGATGGATCAACAATTGGAATGGCTCCTAATAATGGTACCTAAGCATCAAGCCCATTAAATGATCAGTAAATAAAGGAAATGATAATAAAAGCTTGTCTAAACAGATTTTGGATGCTATAACATACATATTGTAAAGTTGAAAGCAAGGCACGCAGGTTCCCTTCTTTCCCACTCGACCACCTCTTGACATCAGCATCCAAAGTTTCTGCTAATCTCTGCAAAGAGAAAAAGAAACAAGACAGTGAAGAATGCAAAGACTTTGTAATCATGAAATATCTACACAGGTAAGGACACCAAAGAATACATTTCTTTCCGCTTGCTCTCTTTGAGCAAGAAGATCACGCATATTCTTTTCTTCAAGAGCTTTTGCCTGCAAAAAATTCAAAAGCTAGATGTTATTTTGATATGCATAAATAAACACTTCAGATTTTTGAAAGAAAAGAATTAGAATAAAAAGTCATACCGCACGTTCGGCTGTTCGTCGATATCTCTCTAGTCTAGCTTTACACCTCTGAGCTGATTCACCTCCAACTCCTTCACGGACAGAGACACTTGTTCAGTAGCAGAAAAGCAAAATAGAATTCTTTTTTTCTTCTTTTTTGGGTGATCTTATAAAGCAGTGTATTAAAAGGATATAGCTAGTTCTTCATAAAAGAACCTACCATTGTATGCAGAGGCATACGGGTATCTTAAACCACCAAAGGAGCTGGTGCTCTGACAAAGCTGATCCTGTAGATCCTGCCAATTAAGATCCATTAATATGCTGTCTGTAACCATGAATTTCATATAAGAAAACAGAAAGTAAGGACACACTTACAGAGGATGAAGAGCTCATTTGCATTCCATTGTTTCTAGAAGTTGAAAATTTATCCGACATAGACCGTTCTGCTCGTTCTCTTGCCTCAAAAGCAGCCCTTTCAGCCATTGCTTTTTCCACAGCACGCTCTCGAGCCTCTGCAGTTGCTCTCTCCACAGCAGCACGCTCTGCTCTGAGCCTGGCCTCCATAGAAGACTTCTCCCTAGCTTCTGCACATGCCTTCTCTAATCTGTCACGTGCTTCTGCCATTGCTCTTTGACGAGCTTCAGCAGTTGCTCTTTCTACAGCAGCCCTTTCTGCCCTCTCTCGGGCTTCAGCATATCCCCTTTCACGAGCTTCAAGAGCCGCTCTGTCAACAGCCATCCTATCTTTTTCCCTTTCCCTTTCCCTCTCTCTTTCTTCTTCTATCTTTCTAAGACGTTCCTTCTCCAGTTCTCTTTCTCTTTTCAGCCTTTCAACCTCCTTCTCTTCAGGTGTAAGGCTCCCATTAATATTCTCATCTTTTCTTTCTGTGCTCTGACTTATCTTAAACTGCTGAACTATTCCCTGAATGCTTTCTTTCCCTTCCAACACAGATGCCTTAGCTGCTTCTGGTTTCCTAGCAGTTTCAACAGATTCTTTCACCACTTGAGCTGACACAAACTTACCCTTGTTTTCTTCCAGATGTGAGGGAACCTGGGTCTCCTCGATAGTCCGAGCTCTTTCCCTCCATTCATTAGCAAATTTCAGCCCTTGGTTGTCATTATCGCAGTCCATTCCTGGGAGACTGTTGATCTTCTCAGCATTTCTTTGTCCGATGCCAATTCCAGCTTCACCAGTTTTCTTCACACCATCATCTTGATGACACAATACCGAGATATCATCCTTTCTAAACTGGTTAACTTTAGTTTCTAAGCCACAAGGTGCCATTCCAGATGCATTTAACTTTCCATCAACATCCCCTTTCCCCATTACTACCGATTTTTTTTCATTGTCTCTGAATTCAGCCTCCATCTTTCCATTTTCTTGAAGAATGGACTCTTCAGTTTCTTCCACATCATCATAGTTTTGATCATTATTTCCAACCAATTGATTTTCTTGACCTTTTTGGCTATAATCCAGTTTATTTACTTCATCAGATACCACAGGATTCTCTCCCTCCATATGTTGACAAGTTCCTTCAGCAATTTTGAGTTCCTTCCCATTTTCACCCCTTTCAGTGTGCTGGTACACATAATTTACTCCCTGCAATTCTTCAGTTTCTTCCAGCTCAACTACTTTTTGTTTAACTTCATCTTCTGTATCTTGGACCTCTTTCTCTGGTTTGCTGTAATTTTTTTGCTCAACTGCCTCTTCTAGCATTTTCTTGATGTTTTCTTTTTCAAGAGCTTCTTCAAGTCTTTTTGCAGTCTCTTCTTCTTCACAAGCTTCTTTGAGCCCTTTGTTAAGTGCTTCTTTTTCACAAACCTCACTTAGTCTAATCTCAGTTTCCTTTATTTCAATAGCCTCCTTTTGTTGCCTCACATCTTTTCCTTCTTCAGTAACCTGCTTTGGTCTTCTCTTACTTTCATCTTTATCATGAGCCTCTCTTTGTTTCTTCTCCATCTCTTCCTGTTCAGGAGCCTTTCTCTGTCTCCTCTCATTTTCTTCCTGCAGACGCTCTTGTTTTAGACTTTTCTCATTCTCTATCTGTTCAAGAGCCATTTTCCAAATCTTCTCACTTTCTTCTAGTTCACGCGCCTCCTTCTCTTTCTTCTCGTTTTCTTCACGTTCGCAAGCTTCCTTCAATCTCTTCTCTTTTTCTTCCAGCTCAAGAGCCTCTCTCAGCCTCTTCTCATTCTCTATTTGTACATGTACCTGTTCAAGTTTTGTTTCATTTTTTTCCGGCTCAAAAACCTCCCTCCAGCTTTTCTCCTCATCTTCCCTTTCTTGAAATTCCTTGACTCTCTTTGGACTTTCAATACTTTTACTAGTCTCTTTCTCCTGCTGCCCATTCCCTTTCTGTTCCATAGCCTGCCCAACTTCAACTTTATTTTCTTTTTGTTGAGCACTTACTTGCTTCTCACGTTTTCCTAATTCATCAGCTCCAGTTGGTTTCTTACCATTTTCCAAATGTTTCCTTCCTGTTAGAGATTGCCCATGCTCCTCCAGTTCACTAACCTCTTGCACTGCTCTTACCTTTTTCTGAAGCCCTTTATGCCTACAGGCCTCTTTAACTGGTTTTGATATTCGGGAGGATTCCCCCCTTTCACAACTTTCTTTTGCAGTTTTCATGTCTCTCTCAACTTTCTCCAGTTCATGGTCTTCCCTAACAGCTTCTACTTTCTTATCACCGTCTGGTTGCTGCTCCTGCTCCAGTGCTCCAATGTTTGCTTTTTTGGCTTTATGCTGAAGCTCATGAGATTTCATGCTCTGGACCAACACTTTCTCATTGTTTGTCTGCTCCAAACCTGTTCTTGACTTTTCTGTTCTAACCAATTCAAAAAATTGAGTTGCTTCCTGCCATTCACCACCTCCATCAATTTCATCAAACTCTTGAACCGATTGGGATTCCTTCCCATGCTTCTCAGCTACAAATGTTTTGGGAACATTAAAAAGTTTCTCGCCTTCCAGTGAATCAGGTGCCTGGCTTTTCACAGCCTTTTGCCTGTCCTCTCTAACAGATCTTTTCATTCCACTATCTTCTTTTCCGTACATTCCCTGCACTCTCTCATCTTTTATATCACTGGACCCAGCAACACCCTTACTGGCCCTTTCCTTCTTACCTTTTCCATCAGACTTTGAATCTGGTTTTATAGAGTTCTTGATGCCCTCCCTCTTCCTCTCCAGTAGTTCTTTTGCACTTTTCAGCTTTGCTTGAGCTTTGTCCATTGCTTCTTTCATAGCAGCAGCAGAGGCTGCAGCAGCTGAGCTTGCATCTATCTCAACATCTAAGAAAGGAGGTGAACTATCACCCACTCTCCCTCCCGAAGCAGCATGTTGACCATTTTGATAGGCCCCATTTTTGCCATCAACAAGTGGTGGTGGTCTAGTGGGAGGTGGCACATCAGATGGCATTGTTCTTAGGTTGATTTCTGAAATTGTTACAAACATTTCATTAGAACAAGAACCATTCCTTCGATATTCTCTTTGAGTTGAGTTGTTTGTAAATGTTTGTTCACCAGCAGTCCAGTTAGAAGGATGGGACACAGCTTTCCTTAGATGTTTTTTCTTTGTAACTCCCCGAGTGAACTCAAGATCGATATCATCAATCACACTCACATGCAATGGTGGATTCTTGTTGTCTGTCTGTTGCAAGGGAGTTTCAATTATATAAGCATATTCAGGATCAGCATGCAGCTCAGCAACATGCGTAACCCCATTTGGCATATCTCTGTTGCTTCTAAGATTAGCTTTATGGTATGATATATTGAACTCCATACTGCTATCAATTGGCTCATAATAATCTCCATCCAAGAAGCACTGATATTTTCCAGAATGCTCTGACCCTTCTGACAGAGACTTGGTTTCTGCCTGCATCCTATGAGAGGAAGCAAATTATTTACTATCATCAAAATCATACCCCTCACAACATTAAAAAATCAACCAGGACACCTCAGAACATAACATATCTAGAACTTTTACATACAACCCATAGAATTAATACGCATCAGTTGTTCGAAATAATGTTAATTCAAACACCAAAAGAACAGGTATATAAAGAGATTATTTCATGCATTTTACACTTCAATGAAGAAGCAAAAATCTAGAATCCAACAAGCACAGGCACATAAACTCCAGCAGAATATGAAAGCAATCAAAAGATTAGTTCTTGCCATAACTCTTCTTAGATTACCCAAAGAACAGGTAATTTTCCAGTTGAAAATTTAATATTCATTTTACCACCAAACTCAAACACTTTATTCTAGCCATTAGCATAATGCAAGGTAAAAATAAAAAATAAAAAAAAACCCTCCATGTTCTTAAAGAACACATACAAAAACATCAAAATCAAAGTACCCAAAAAAGAAGAAAAAAATTCAAAACTTTGCAGTACAATGCTATCATATGAAACTACCTCAATAGTAACTAACAAAAAAAAAATCAATATTTACTCATTTCTTGCTATAAAAATTAGCAAAAAGCTCAAAGTAAAAACTACAAAAAAAAAAGAGAAGAAATAAGCATACCAAGCTTCATCCGATGAATCACCATCACGATCATGATCATCACCACCGTTGACTTGTCTCATCAGCTCCTCGTACGAAGCAGCGAAGTCCAAGCCGTCGAATCCGCCGAAAATCTCGGCGTAGTTAAACCTCAGGTCCCGTACATCAAACATCACCTCGTCGTTGTCGTCTACCAAGGGAAGATCCAACACTGGAATCGACGCGCCTCGAGACGCGTGAAATCCGCCGAAAATCTCGGTATAGTCCTCTGGCCTCGGAGACAAAGTCGGGCCACCGGCACCGGACCTCGGTGGACCGCCGAAAACTTCGTCGTACATGGCTTTTCCGGAGAAGTTGGTGGCGACATTGCAAGTTGTCGTTCGCTTGGTGAGTGTAGCTTGAGAAGAACCCCTGTTTGGTTTCCGAGAATGTGAGAGATTTTCCATGAAAATGAATGAAAGTTTCTAGGGTTCCTCACTGAGAGAAAAAAAGTTTTTTTCCTTTTATAAAAGCATATAATTATATTTTGGTCTGTTTTTGTTCTGAAGCGTCTCTGGCAGACTGAAGACAGAGTACGAAGGAGGAAGACGAAAAAGGAAATATTAAAAAATAAACTTATAATAAAGGACACTTCGAAATTACCAAAAAGGACTTACGATTTATTATTTATTACTACTATTAAATTTATTTATTTATTTATTTTTGCTGTTAGAACGAAGAAAAAGAAAAATCTATGTCGCGTTGCTGTAGTAATATTCCACGACTTTTAATTCGCATGTGTTGCCGGTGAAATTTTATTTATTTTTACTTTTTAAATAATAAGTAGTATTAAATTGAAGTACATAAATTATTTAATTTTTAGAAAAAATATATATAATCATATTTCATGAATCATGATTTGGTGAACCAATTTTTTATCTGTAATTTTTATCGCTTTTTTTATAATTTTTAAATTAATTTTACAATTTATTTTTAGTTTCATGCTTTAAAAATATATTTAGAGAATATAAATTTTGTTAATTAATTAAAAATTTTATTTAATACATTGTTAATAAAATTTTGTAATTTTACAAAAAAATAATAAAATAACACATATTTTATTTTTATTTTTAAATTAATCTATATGTGTTATTTGCTAATGATGAAATTAAAAATTTTCATTATTAAAGTATTTGTTATTTTATTATTTATTATTTATTTATTTATTTTTATGTAAAAAGAAAGAAATGTGGTTGGGAAGGACGGTCATGCTCAATCGAACTTGTTTGGAAGCATTGAGGCTTTTTTTTTTTTTTTTTCTGTTTTGGCTTATTATTGATTCCTTGAAGGCTTGGGGTGCATGCATGAAATTGATATTTCTATGTTGTAACTTGAAACCCTTTTTCTTGTCATTTTCTTTGAAAATTATAAACAAAAACATTTGGTATATATCATAGTTTTCTAAGTTTTCCTTCCTTCATAGTTCCACCTTAAAACTATATTCCTTGTTTTTTCTTAAATTCTGTAACATATTGACAACTTGGGTTTCTTTTAAAATCTAGTATTTTTATTTATTTTTTTAATTTTTGGGTGGTTGAGATCATAATTTCAATTTAGATAATGTGTTGGGGATTAGAGGGAGAAATGTGAGGTGTGAACAAGAATGTTAGATCAGTGCTTCAATTGAAAGCCAGGAAAGCATTTGGTGGTAGTAACCAAGGTTCAACTGTAATCTTGATTGTCAATTCAGACATCTTATCCAGACAGAATTATCTTTGGTCCCCAGCATAAGTTTTTTGTATTATGCTTGATAATTTCAAAACTTCCAGCTGTCTCAAACCCTAATCATAAATCCTTCCTCATTTTTTCTTCAGTTAGCTGCACTATTTCATTTGATAGATTTTTTTGCCACTAATTATTCATAGTTTCCAATATCATTATCCCGCATTTGATTCAATGATAAATACATATATTTTTTAATGAATCGAGATATTAATTGATTAACAGAAAGAATTTTGGATTCAAAAGTAAAGAAACGAGTAAAGTAAAAGGAATATTGTTGGAAATATAAATCTGAATCCAAGTAGAGATGGGAACCTGAGCTTGCCATTGGACCGCAAGTGGAAAGAATTTTGATTATGAAGCATGAAGACTAGTTTTATGGAAAACCAATCAAATAAGAAAAATATTAGGTATGAGACAATGGTTTTAGCATGGAAACAAAGAAGAATTAGATGGGGGGTAAGTGTCCATAAAAGAGAGTAGATAGACATGCACATCTTCCCCGAGAAGGATCTGATAGCGACTGTTGATTGCAGCATAAAGCAGGAGGTAACTGTCCTCAACTGGTGGCAACTTGCAAAAACAAGGTTTTTGGCTTTGGCTGCAACCCTGGCTCCAAGCGGTCCAATTATATTTGAATTTGGCTGACTTGATTTTGACCTTGGCCGAATTTTGTAGCCCATTTTTCATTACTCCCCCTGTGGGTTTGGACCACCAAAATGATCATCTTTTATATTGCTTCTGCTCATGCTTTCCTTCAATGAAATTAAACAGGGTTAATACTATGACAGCAAACTAAAACAGCTAAGCTGATAGTTTTGAAGACATGATTCCCAGGAGCCTATATGAACCATGATTTATCTTTCAACCATGGCTACCTCATATTCCCCCCTTCTCAAAAACACAATGAAAAAGATGTAATCCAGTTTCTGGTCTTCTAGGGCATTCAAATGCAAATGACTTAAACAATGACAGGATCTTCTTTTTATTTCCTTGCTTTGGCTTTTTTTTTTCCCAAGTACAGTCTGCCACTAGCCAAATATGCAAAGTTTACCAGTGTTTTCCCAGTCATAGATAACCTACCTTTCCTTATTTTTCCTTGGTTCAAAGTTCCAAAAGAAAAACTGTGTTTCAAAAAATAAAGGCAAAGATTCAAAATGTCTGCAATCTTATTAAGAATCCCAGCTCCTGCCATGAAAAGTCGTAGCTATCTCAAGGCCAAACAGGTAAGAACCATGTCATTCTTCTGCTAGGGTGAACTTGAAGAAAAAAGTTGAATTATTGAAATCCCAAGGTTGGGGCCCCTTTTATGACCTCACACCAATTACCAAAACCATAAAAGAGGGCTAAACTTGGCCCCTCATGTTTGTCCCTTTTTGTCTGTCACACTATGCAAAGCTCCAAAAAAAAAAAAATCATCATTTTTGCATTTAAATTTGTTTGTTTAATCATGTAGTATTTCTCATAATCACCACAAAATACATTATATTATTAACTTTAAAAGAGCAAGCAAGCAAAACACAATCCCATGAGCCGCATTATGCATGATTAAGGTTGCCAATAATACTCGAATTCGTCAAGTTTCAATCATATAAGATTAATTTTTTTTTTAAATTAAATTTTGGGTTAAGTAGAGTTTTTTTAAAATAAAATTGAAGTTGGGTTTTAAGTGAATTTATCCTAACCTAATTCGATATATAAAAAATATTTTATATTATTTATTTAATTTTATATTTATATATTATATTAATAAAATTATTACACAATGCTTTACTTTAAAATATTAACTTAATAAAAATATTATATTTATATATAAAAAAGATATAATTTATATTAAAAATTAATATTTTATAAATATTATATTAAATTAAAATTATTAAATTAATTACATATTGAATCAAGTCAATTACGATTTTATACATATATACGAATCAAATTAAATATAAAAAATAATATTTTAATATCGAATTAAATCATATTCAAGTATTTATTTTATAAAATTAAATTGAGTTCAAAACGAACAAAAACTTGTTCTTCCTTGACCCATTGCCATCATTACCCATCATCCAAATTTATGATCAATGGCTTGGTTAACTAAACCAACTTCTCTTACAATTCAAATGACAATAATTTAATCAACTTGATTTGGTTCAATTATTATTTTTCTGTTTAAAAATATTGAAGTTGAAGGTTTAATTTTTATTTATTATTTCCTTTAACATTTTCCAATGTGAGTAATTGATGAATCAAAGATTGATTTGGAGGAAGAGTGGAGGGAGACTATATTATGCAGAATGAAATTATTATAGAAATCCCATGCTGTATTAAAATAATAAAGTGAGAATTGCTTGGTAAAGAAACATAATATGATACAGAAATGTTTGGTCCCACAAATCAGAGTTGCTGAGTGGTAGAGCATATTCTTATATTGAGCAGGTTTTGAAACAAAAATAGAAGGAACTGGTCATTGGTCAAGGACATGAACTACAAGTTTCGCCATAAGTTGCGGATTTGTTTAGAGAAAAAAATTAAGAAAAAAGAACCCAACAACTACAACCAAAGACAGATTGTGAGATCATGGTTCCAATTAGTTCACTTCTACGTTAGCATCAGCATCAATAATAGGTTTTGTTGGTTGGATTGTGACACTAAAAACATGTTTGGTTTCTCAGATGTTAGAGTTGGCCATCCATATTCCATAGTTGTTTGAGAAGTCATTTTGGTTTAACAAACATTGTTGATTGACCACGTCTATGGCTTTTCAATCCTTTTTCTTCAGCTTAGTGCCACTGTGATTGCTTCAGGTATTAAGAAAAGTAGTACAAAGAAGCAAGGTGATGTTAATGCTGGAGTCTGCTAAGAATGAACAAAATCTCAAGGATGTGATGCTTAAGTCAAGTGGTCAATGTCCCTCCAATAATTTGACTTTAGGGTACAAATAATTGGCCAAGCTTTAACCATGCAGAGAATTAATTAGATTTTCAATTGTCACTCACTGTTATTGATGGAAATTGGAATGGGGCTTCAATTTCTTGGCCATTGAGTTAAGCTACTGACCGTTAGAGGGCTATCATGAATATTCCATTATGAACTTTAAAAGAATGAAGCTGAAGCATCTGAATTCTGATACATTAATAATGGCCGTTTGAGAGAAATGGCAGGCCTGGCTGTGGTTGAGGGTAAAGCAATTACGCACTCCTTTAAGAGCCCTCCCTCAAGCTACCCAAAAAGTGCTCCTCGCTTTCACACACAAGCTTTACAGCTTTGGAAAATGGCCTCATGCTCGGGAACTTTTCTACCAGCCCAAGGCTCGACTCCAGAGTCAGGAGCCTTACACTTCACTACACATCATTATTAATTACAGTCAGGGCCCTTATTTTATATTCACCTGTTCAAGCCCAAAAGGCCATTGGTATGCTCTCTATCATGGTGGGCTCGGCCCTCCGGCAATAGAATGTTTTAGGTGGAGATCAGGGGGAATGGGAATGGAAATAGGATGTTTTTCCATTTTAACACTAAATCCAAAGAGGGTAACCGTGACTATATGCCTGGTTGTGCACTATGATTCAATTTCAACACTTGAGTTCAGCCAGGCATCCCAAAATTATTGGAACTGAAATGCAGCCATTCTCTGTAAATCTGCAGATCATAACAAAATATTCAGTGACATTGAATCTCAAGTAACCATACAAAAGAATTATCGACTCCTAAGCAGTTTTTGGCACTTTATCAGGAATAATGTTATTAGGAAGGATAAGCTCAGGAGGTGTCTCACGAACAACCCCAAGCACTGAATCATATTCCTCATTGCGGCGAGCAAATTTCTTGCACTGAAATTCAATTTCATCAAAGCTCTCTGTATTTTCTGCTGCATGAACTTGGGTCAATTTGGAATACTTTAGGGCTGACTGAGAAATGAAGGCCATCTCTTCTTCTGTTAGTTTCCTTAGGAACTTGGCTGGGTTACCTCCCCAAACCCGTAATTACAAAGGATTACATCTGTTTACAAATTTAGAACTTCATTTATAAGATAGCTTTTTGGGCTAAAAGCTGCAGGATCAATTCATTCTCCTTGGATTAATCTTAAATTTTAACCCCATGAGGGCCATGATCAAAGCAGGGGGTTAAAAACCGCCTCCAAGGTTTCTTGTCAGAGCTTGGTAATGGCAGGTTTCCTCTCCCTCCAAAACGCCTAAAATATATGTGCCATTCATTCTAGCCACTGATATGAGAAATGCAGGTTGGATCAAGCTTCCATTTGAAAGCAATACAGACTACCGCTTACAACTGCAATCTCTTATCATTTTGCATATGAATCTTATCTACTGTGTATCTATTTCACTGAACCAGGTATGTGTATTTAAATAAAGCCACGCGTAGCTATTTAATATATCTCTAAACCATAAAACTTTGCATCTCACAAGAACAACTTACAAAGTTATGAATTTAAATAGAATCTATAAGATTTAAAGCAAGTCAGTGAAGAAGTGTCCACAAACCTCTCCACATGGGATCCTAGTATTCTGCCTCACAAGAGCTCCAGCAGCAACCATGGCATGCTTCTCAACATAAACTCCATCTAATAGGATAGCCCCCATACAAACAAATGCTTCATCCTCAATGGTACATCCATGTAAAACAGCACTATGACCTGTCCAGTTTTTATCAGTGATTACATTTTCATGATACTAAAACCTCGGTCAAGGACCAGTATTAAGGACAGGTCACCCACAGTAACATTACTTCCAACAATGGTTGGTAAAACCTTCCCACTTAAGTTAGATTTTGCAACATGAACAAGGGAATTATTTTGGATATTTGTTCCAGACCCAATACTAATGTAATTAACATCACCTACACATCAAAAGTCAAATTCAGAAAGGAACAGCCAGCATAGACATAGCATGCAACAACACACAAATAGAGAGAACAGGAGGAAAGAGACCGAGTGTGCTCAAATGCTATCATGGATTTTGATAGTACAATGATCCAACTTTGTGGACGCGATACTTAAAACATAACCCCTTAAATAGAATCTACCATACAATCAAACAAAACTAGCTCAAGTAGGTTACCGTTGATCTTATTCAAATTGGAAATTTAATACATTGTTTGAAGATATTCAAAACATTGGTACAGCTTTTGAGACGAAAGCAGATTTTCTGGCCCGAGAAACTCATTAGACGTTTCTTTAACTGTAAGTTCAAAAACAGAAACTCAAAGAAGGAAAGTAAAAGTCACAGCAGTAAGCTTTGTCCTAATCCAAAAATTGGAACTTTTACCAGTGAAGATCAAGCTCTTAGCATTTGGAAACTGCACCAACTATCATGAAAGCTTCATTCAAGATGTAATTCAAACTCACGTGTATAGCATCTAATAATCATGCATAAATGAATTTGACTAGCAAAACTCTAATATATTGCAGCTTATTCCTTGAATATCAGACAACATCGTGTTAAGCTCCATTTGTTGTGATTACTGAAAGCCATGAGTATTGAAACTTTTGTTTTATCATATCATTTGATCATACATGCAGGCATGGAGTGAGAAGAGATAACCAAAATGAAATGCTTTATCATATCATTTGATCATACATTTATGCCAAAACTTACCAAAAGGAAATGGGAAAAATATAGCCAATTTTTGTTCTCAAAAGAATTCTATATTTGCAAATGTAGGTTGGGTACAGTCTCAATTGCAGACTGCCCCATGTGAACAAAACCCAGTTATGCTCCAGCAATAGCTTGGTCCTGCTCTAATGGAGAAGTTATCACAAAATCTCTGCTGAAAGTAGTTTGAATGACCAAACTATCTTGAAATCTGTCACCATTTACCAATATCCTTACTTATCCCGATTGCAGGAAACAACAAGAAGTAATTCCAAGTTTAAGAAACAAATAAATGAGCCAATGAATGGGTAAAGAGATGATAGAACAACAAGAACTAATTGGCTAATAGCCTAATAGTTAAAAACTGACCTTGAACAGGTTCACTAGTCAAGGAATGACGCCATAATACCCTTTAAAGCAAAAGCCGTCATGTTCATCTCACATTTGCTTCCTTCAAGTTCACGGCGGACAAAGAAAGAGAAAGAATAAGTATTCAGATAAAAGTAAAACACAGTCAAGAAATACTAAGTTGAAGATGAGAGCTAAAATTAGCTTACTTGGCTGATGAAAATTTCTTAAAGGAGCAGGAAACCTATTAGAGATTGGGTTTAACAACTCTGTTGTCCCTAACTATGCTGCACATGCTTCTTAAACCCTGACTAACCAATGAAGAGTAGCCTTTAATTATTGCTTCAAAAAAAAAAAAAAAGGAAAAAGGGGGTGAGAACTTGGCCGAAGGGGATATTTTAAGAATTGGTTTTAGCGGTTGAGGTACTAAGCCTGCGAGTTATGTAGCTGGTGTTAACACATTAATATTTGTAATTTATTTTAGTTGAATTTAAATAAAATTTAAATTTAATTAAATTATTATTGAATAAGTTTGAATTTAAATAATTTAATTTATAAATCAAGTCGAATTTAAATATTTTTATATTTTATTGAAGTAATTTTTAAATTTAATCAAAATTTTTAAATATATTAATATTTTTATTATTTTAATTAATAAAATATCTTAAATTCAAATACAAATAATTAAATTTTATTAAATATAAAAATTAAATTTATTTTTTTATATTAATTTAAAATGAGATCAAATAATTTAAATTTTATATCAAATTAAATTTAAAAAATAAAATCCAATCGAATTTAATTTTAAAAATTAAATTATAAAATTTAAATTTAAAATCGAGTTTGAATTTAAATTTAATATTATAATAGCTCAAACTCAATCCATTGCGGCAAAGTCCAAACCTTGCACCAGAATTTGATTTCGTATCCCATTTTCCTTGTGAACCTCTCCAATTTCCTGGCACTTTTAGATCATTTTACAGCTTTAATGCTGCTTAAAAATTGTCTAAAAATAAAAAAGTTTGGATGCAGTGGTAATATGCAAAGTTGAAGTTCAAGTAAGGGTCCCAATCTTCATTGGTAAAATGTCCCTAATAATATCCAACATGAAACATTTTTTCTTCTGATTATCTTCATTAATCTTTCAAACCCAACATCCAAAAAACAGAAATAAGCAATTGACAGTCTCTAAAACTTTCATGCCCTGACGTCGAATGATAGCTTTGAAAAGGAATTCCAAAAACATTGATACCTTGCAAAAAAGGTCAAAATTTGTTTGCAGCTATGCCAACCCCTTCTCCTGGTGAACTTGTCTTAAAAAACCATTTTTTTCCAAGAAAACCACATTCCACATGGAAGATAAATAAAGACCAAAGCTTCCTACACTTCTGAAATTCCATTTTTTTTTAAAACAGACCCAAACCAACTAGTAAATCATAGATTTTCAATCTAGTAGATACTATAATCTATAGCCATCTCAGTAGCCCTGAGTTTCCTGGGTTCCTTTTTTTATTTTTAGATATTTTTAATGTGGAAGAAGCCATTATATAAAGCTCTCCCTTTTCTAAATCCTCAGCTGAAAATTTCTCCCATGGAAGCTGCTTCCTCTAACGCTCTCGGTTTTTCTTCAATTATCACCAAAACGACACCAACACCACCGTTTCCAACTAAATTTACAAGAACCCATTTTCTCAAACTCCCTCAAAGGTTCCGAAACGACGCCTTTTTCAGAGTCTCGGCAAATCCCTTTAAGTCTTCTTTTCTTTCCATTTCTTCTTCTTTCAACGCATTCATTGGATCCAATGCGAAAGACACGGTTTTAGATTGGAGCAAAGCGCCGGAGATTGTTAACGATAGAGGTGGGAAAGCTGAGGCTTTTGGAAGCGAAGACAAAGTCATAACCGTGGTTCTTTTGGGATGGCTTGGGGCTCAAACCAAGCATTCAAAGAGATATGGGGAATGGTACAATTCAAGAGGAATCCATGCCGCTTGGAACAAAGCGCCGGAGATTGTTGCCGATCGATGTGGAAAAGCTGAGGCTTTTGGAAGCAAAGACAAAGCCATAACCGTAGTTCTTTTGGGATGGCTTGGGGCTAAAACCAAGCATTTAAAGAGATATGTGGAATGGTACAATTCAAGAGGAATCCATGCCGTTACTTTTGTTGTAGAAGTTAAGGAATTGCTGTGGTTAGATCTTGGTGTAAGGCTTGAGCAGCGTATATCTGAGTTTGAAAATGAGTTGGCCAGGTACGTTTTGGAGAAAGAGGAAGATGGTCGTGAAAGGTGCTTCATTTTCCATACTTTTAGCAACACTGGGTGGTTCGTGTAAGTTTTTATGAATAAAGGTTCTTTTATTTTTTATTTTTAAATTTTGGTTGTGGAAAGTAAATTCAGGCATTATTTGTTTTTTATCAGATATGGTTCAATTCTTAACAGTTTTCAGAGAAGAGATGGATTGAAAGAGAAGATAAGAGGAGTAATTATTGATTCAGGATCAGCTGGCCCTTTAAATCCTAAGGTTTTTTTTTTTTTTTTATGTTGATTCTTTGAGTTTAGTTATTAAAGAAGATTTTTTATTTATGATTGATGGATGATTACTCAGTGAGCTTTGAGTTTTGAAATAAGGCTTTATGTCAGATTATGACCTTGAGTTCTTTATCTAATATTACCAAAGATCTGGTCTGAAATAGCACATAATGGAGTTAATAAGATCCAAGCTGACCTGATAGAATGGGAAAAGGCTTAGTTTGTTGTTGTAGGTTATCATCTTTCTTCCCAGGTAGTCAAAGAGGATTATGACTAATCTGGCCTTTGATCCAAGATAATGAGGATGAGTTCAGGTTCTGGATGAAGCATTTGGAAATTTCTGTCACTTTCTAGCACTACTCTATGTTTGATCTAAGTTACATCCATGTTTTATGCTTTGTTTACTCTATTGTGAAACCTTAGATTCACGTATTAGCTGTAGAAAAGACATTAGAATGTGTATTAGTGGGAAATTATCATAGTTGTTCTGAAAATATTGTCACCGATTCGAAAAGCGGATAAAAATGTGTCTGTCCTCTGGATTCAAATAATAGGCTTTCAACTTTTTGATTTTCTTAGTTATTCCAACTTTGTTCAGAGCTCTATTATAGCTATTTTGATTTTCACAAGACTTTCCTAAATTCTATGAGGTTTTTAAAAGGTTAAAGGTATCAAGGTCTTTGACTAGGAGCTTCACTGACATGTTTTATCTGTTTTCATGCTCAGGCTTTTTTGCTCTCCTTAGGGGAGAAAAGGGCTCATCCTATCCTAGGATACACGCAGTATTTAAGCAGAATTGTCTTTTTATTTTTCTTTTTTTCCATTCAAAAAATCTGGGAAAGTATATGTTGTATGTCCAGCATTAAAACAAGAATCCTGGTTAAATTTCTTTGACCTCATTGGCCGCTGTATAAGGGTGGAGGTTCATTTGTTCTGGCTTTTAACTTCGTAACTTTATTTTGATGAAGAAATTATCGTCATTTTGAAAATCCTGGCCTTTCTGATCAAATCTGACTGGGAAAAGTAGTGATGATTCACATATTCTCTTCATCTTTGCAGGTCTGGGCAGGTGGTTTTGGTGCTGCTATACTGAAGAAACGCAGCTCTTCAATAAATGGATTAGAAAGTGCAGTGACTGATTCAAAATTGCAGAAAGAGGAACCTGGGATGATTGAAGCTGTGCTGCTATCTGCCCTGGAAAAGTTCTTCGGATATGCTCTAAATATGCCTGATGTGAACAGGTAGGTTTTCCCTTTATGCTGTATATCGGTTCCCATATATTGTTAAACGACCAAAAATATGTTTTCATGCCTACATGCAATGCTATGTGCTCTCTAAATATGACCAAATCTTGTGGTTGTGGTGAAAAACTGATCGATGCAAGCTATTACATTTTCCTCATTCTGCAGAAGGTTAAGAACAATCATTAATGCTATCATGGAGCACCATCCTCCCTGTCCTCAGCTGTATCTTTATAGCACAGCTGATAAGCTTATTCCATATAAATCAGTTGAGTTGTGTATTGAGGAGATGAGAAAGAAGGGGATAAAAGTATTCTCCTTCAACTTTGGCACATCTCCCCATGTGGACCACTATCGGACTTTTCCCAGCATATATTCATCTGAGCTTCATAATTTTTTGAAGGAATGTTTTGCTGCTGTTAAACAAAGATGAACCTAAGTACTTTAATCCATTTTTTAATCTTGTATTCTGATATTTCTTTCAAAATGGCCCCTAAAGAAATATTGCATCAGCGCCTATTGTATCAAAGCATTCTTTTAGTCCTAGTAACATTGAAGGCAGAATATTTGACAGGAATCAGAACTTCACTTATCAGGGTGATGCCATGAGATCATGGTTGAATACTTGTAAGTTGTAATAAACATTGCGGTCGTGCTGAAGCAGCAAAAGCTTTCATATTTTGATTATATTTGATTTTTACTCGGTGCTATGAACTTCACTGATGTTGTAACCCTGGACATGAAGATCATGATATCAAAGCTCATGTGCTGGAACAGAGGCTAGACCACTTATTGGATGTGAAAATGTTGGTTTTATATTTGCTGAAATTAGTTTGAGTTAGGCTGAGATGTCATTTTATTTTAAGTAATGAATAATAAAGTTGGTTTAAAACTAATGTCCTGGACCAAAGTTCGGCTCACAATACCTGTCCTTAAGAAATAGGATTAACCTACAAGACTTGAGATCAAACTGTCATTCATTTATACAAACAAAAAACAAGTCATGGTCCTCTTTTCCTCTCTTCTTTTTCAAAATGTAAATGCCATGAAAAGCACCTCAATGAAACATGGCAGAGTAAATGCAATGTTTCTAGCACCATGTTCTTCATGCATGAACATTTGTTAGCTATTACATCAAGAAGATTTCATCTCAATTTCAAAACAAAATTGTTGAAAATTTTAAGTATTCAATAAGTAACTGTAAAAAACAGGTATATCGAAATTGTCGTCACATGATAAGGTAAATGCAATCTTATTAAACTGAAACCATTAGTATGAACAATTAACAAGTCATCTGAAGCTAATTTTCCGTTAACTATTGGTAACCGGCACTCAAAAACCAATGAAAACAATGTTAGAAAAAGAAACAGGTGAATGAATTATATGCTAAACGGTAGCGTCTAATGGAAAACTCTCCCAACGGCTACCCTGTTATAAACGAAAATTTAAATTCCGTAACTGAACAATCGCGTTCCCTGATTCACTTTAAAACTCCCCATTTCCACTGTTTTTTGCTGTATTTTGCTTTTACCATTCACGTCCAAACCCCATACACTTGCAGATAAAACAGACAAAAGAGAGACAGAGAGGGGTTCTTGGCATTTCTATGAAGGCTTTGACACTCAACAGAGCAGGGCTAAGAGTTCTCCTTGGTTTTCTTGGAATCCAACTTTCAGGTTTCTTCATGGGTTTTTTTCCCTTTAAATTTTTCCCTTTCCCTTTATTACTATATTTTACTTTATTCATGCAATAGTTTTCCTGAGTTTGTCTCGGTTAACAATGGTGTACATATTTTAGACTCCTGAAGAATCAGTTTAAAAGAAGATAACCAAGAATCTCTAGAAGTTAATCTAAAATAAGGGTCAGTATCTCTTCTTTTACAAGACGGTGGGTTTTCATTTCTGATGCATTTTTTCCCGGAAAATTTTTTCATTTTCTGTTCTTGATTGTTTTGCAGGAGGGTTTTTCTGCAAAATTCTTGGAAAGATGAATGATCTAATGACAAAGTCGTTCTTAAATTATGTGGAACTGAAGAAACATGCAGAGAAAGACTTAGAAGCCGATCCTGATATGGAAAAAGGCCTAGGTCAACTCAACCCCACAGATGAAAACAACCTCTCTCAGTTTTTTCAAGAAGTGGCATCAATCAAGATCACGATGGAAGAGATTACCAGTCTCGTGCTTGATCTTCAAACCCTTAATGAAGAAACCAAGTCCACTCACAGCACCAAAGTTCTTCGAGGGTTAAGAGATAGGATGGAGTCAGACACGGTTTCCATTCTTAGAAAAGCAAAGATTGTCAAGGCAAGGCTTCAATCACTCGATAGATCCAATGTAACCTATAGGAGATTGTCAGAAGCGTATCAAGAAGGGACATATGTTGATCGAACCAGGATGTCAATAACCAATGGTTTGAGGGTTAAGCTTAGGGAAATGATGAATGATTTTCAGGCCTTGAGGGAAAAGATTGTATCAGATCATAAAGAAGATCTCAAGAGAAGATACTACAATGCCACCGGAGAGTTACCAAGTGAAGATGTGCTTGAAAAGGTGGTTTCAGGTGGTGAAAAAGTTCAGTTATTTTCAGAGAAAGTGGAAATGGATTTGAGAAGCAAGGAAAGGTATGAGGCTGTGATGGATATTCAGAGAAGTTTGCAAAGGCTGCATCAGGTGTTCCTTGACATGGCTGTTCTTGTTGAGGCACAAGGGGAAAAAATGGATGATATTGAAGAAAATGTGGCCAATGCAGGTAATTTTATCAGTGGTGGAACCAATAACCTTTACTATGCAAATCAAATGAAGAAGAAGAAGAAGGCATGGGTATATTGGGTTTGGGGTGTTGGTTTGATTATACTTCTGGTTTGCATCATTTCCATGCTAGTTTCTTGAGAAGCACAAGAGTAGGCAATGTTTTGGGCACTTTAAAGTGGCTTGTAGCTGTTAAAGGGTTCTAGGTCTGTAAATTCGTTCATCCAAGTGACTTCTAATCAAATGTTTTTTCAACTATTTTTCCTCATTTTCATAGTGATACAATATTTTGGTTCTATTGTCTGACATGAATGTCCATGGAGATTGGAATTGCTTGGTTGAGTTGGTATAATAATTGGGGAATGCTTCTCTTTCTTATTCGTTGCTGTCTGTGTCTGTTTTCCTTCTGGTTTTAGCTCTCTTAAATTGATCTCTACTGTACCACCTGCCTGATGGAGCACCAGAGGTGGTTTAGCTAATTGATCACTCTTCTGGTTTTAGGTATGGCAAATGTACTTGTGGAGATAAATAGTGAGGAGGGAAAGAACACCATATTATCAACTCAATAATTAATACAAAAACTTGAAATGACATTGTTAAGAAACTTGGAATTTGGAAATAGTTCATGTAGCTAGTAAGCTTTGTAAACAGAAACCAAAATTTTTGCCTCAAAAAAAAAAAAAAAAAAAAAAAAAAACAAGGAAGTGCACTTATCCCATAAACTTTGGAAACTGTACAATCTACACTGAGCAGTTCAGCCAATGGTGAGATGTTGTTTAGCTATCCAATATTGATTGGGCTCTAGCTGGACAGTTCCGATCTGAGTAACCATAAATAAAAAGAAAACATTAATTTGGAAATAAACGGTAGAGAATGCCAAGCATATCAAGAGCGCCATCTGAAAAAGGGTTTCAACCTCTCCTTAGACATAGAAGTTTCAAAACATTTGCTATGATATTATGGAGCAAGAGTATAGTAACTCGCGCTGACTGAACAATTATTATCAAGCCAAAAAAGTTGAATCAAGTATATAAACCCAGCTTCCACCAAGTTTATCCAGTTGCCACTGAAGAAAGTATACCTTTGCATTTTCAACGCAAACAAAATCTTTGAAACATGCTTCCGTCTGCGATGTGGGTTCCATAAAACGGCATCTGACCAACTGCAAGGGCAAATCAGAAAGATGAGGAAACTTTTGACTCTACTCTAACAAAACAGAGATGTGAGACTTGGACTTGCATACTTTGTATTCCGGATAGATATTACATCACCTTATCAAGGTGCACCGCATCAGGAGAATCAAGATAAATGCAATCTACAAATCCAGGAAAAGTGATAACATCCCTGAATTGTAAATATAACAGTTAGAAAATGCAGCAAAATTGTTTTCATGAGTCTTTAAAACTCATTCTCAAACAAGTTGGCTAAAAAGTAGAAATATAAAGAAGACATAGTTAATATTAAAGGTAAGAACACCTAAAAACTACAATATATTTGGTTTTAACTACAATCTTCATTCAGGCATTGAAAGATTTGAGAAACATTATTATCCTTCAACATTCAACAGTCAATATCAAGATTTAGATAAAGTCAATGAAATAAAAATTGTTTGAGTTTGGATAAAATTACAATTTGATTGAGTTAGGAACCTAATCATTGTTATAAATAAGATCCTCAAGAGATCTTATTGAGCTCTCTCTATAACACCTATAGTTCAAATATTTGTACTGAATTAGCATCCAATAACGGGTCTTTGCAAAATATACTGACCTTTCCTCCCTACCCTCAATTGGATTCGTAGGATCAGGATCTTTTTTCAGAGTTTTGCAAACTTTCAAACCTTTCACAGAAACCCCAGTTATAGATGCCTGCATCAAAATGTCCAACATCAATTTCTAACTTCCTTCATTCAAGTTTAAAGGCCAAGTAACTCAATTATAATGCCTAAGTTATAATATGCATGTCTGTATGTGTGTGTTGTCTTCCTTTTCCTCCCTTGCAAATAATTGTAAATTTCTTTTTTGCATTATCGCCAAAAAGAAATCTCCATTCCTATACAAAGTAAAGGTTAATTTGGGCATGCTAGAAGAACTGCATCTACCAACCATAGAATTAGAGGTACTTACACGAAAATATGAATGCAAGGCACTGCTGAAAGAAAATGGCTTATTGTCTGTGTTTGTAACTATTAGTTCGGTGGAAATGTTCTTTGTGTTTAGAATGACCAGGAAACACAAAAGGGAACAAACTGCCAATTTAATCAGTGAAAACGAGCCAAAATTGCATAGGAGAATCAACATATCTAGTCTGGACTAGTGCAGTACCTTTAAACTAACGCATAAATTACCAAAGAAACTACCATTGTCATCATCATGCGGGATATCTTTACCCAGCTCATACTAGTGAGCAATCAACTACAGACCTTATATCTAGCCTGAAAACTGAAATCCCACATAGCACGGCTGTAAGGACCATCTTTTAGCTCAAGAGTTACAACAGGATTGCCTTCCACATTTTCAGACCCCACAAGGGACCAATCCAGATTCCTTGCGAATCCATACTGTGAGTTACATAAGCAGTTCCAAAATTTTTTTTTAAAAAAAAGAGGATCTAATAAATTAAAAAATAAAATAATAGTAGTTCAATTGTTCCTTTTCTTTTTCTGGATGGTCTTTTGCAGGTATAAAATAAAGATGATAGAGTATTAGAGTGGAAAGAATCACTTAAATTAACTTCAACACAGTATGTACACTACCCTGCAGATTCTAGTGTTATTCTCAAAGTGGATAGAGACTTGGGGGAAAATATGGCCCTCTGTCAGGGTCATAGTAGCATAGCACCAACCAGACCTCACCAAATTTCACTATAAGAACATGTTAAATGGCCCATGAGAAAAAAAAGAAACCGATAAATATGAAATGCAGTCGAATGGAATGCCTCCACTATCCAAATAGGAAAAAAAAAAAGGTCAGATTTTCCAATATATTTTTACTACAAACTTTTTATTTTGGTAATGAAACCATTTAGAATCAATTTCTTGCCCAAAAATACAACAATAATCTACTTTTTTAATTCTAGCAAGCTTTACCAAAAATTAGATTCATTTAACTTTCTAAAGACATTTTGAAATCGCAATAGCTAAAATCAAAGTAAAGAAAGTGCTGGAGATATAACCAGATTGGCTTCTTTTTGTCGAATACAGCATCAGGCCGCACAAAAAGAAGGTCTCTCCCACTTGGGAGTTTCCAAGAGGTAATGCAACCTCCAAATAATTAAATCTCAGCTTCACTACAACACCAAAAAGAAAAACCAAAACATCAAACCTGTCAAGGAACAAGCAAGTACATAAAACCATTCATTTCAGACCCGAACCAATAAAAAAAGTCGTCACCAATTAAAGCAGCAAACTTTGGGGAGTTAAATGAATTTGAAGAAGACCCAGAAAAGAAAATTTTATAAATGTGCATCCTTTTTTGAATATTTAAAGATTTGAATTTGACCTGCCATGATCAGAAGTGAGCACAAGCTTAGGTAAATTGCCTTTCCCTTGTGTTAGTTTGACACCTAAAGAAACAGCTTTCTGGTTTGAAGTTGCAAAAGCCATGCCCGAGTATCTGCAGAACAATATGAACTTTGTCGGCTTCGAAGTTTGAAGTTTTTAAGCATTAAGGGTAAACTGCATTGTTCCCTTAATTTGAAAACATGGAAGAAAAAGAAAACCAGAAACCCACCACTTGGTGGGGCGTAGATTAGGATAATTTAAGAAAGGGACAGAGAATGGTATCGAAACCATCGCCATTTTCGTCGGTTGTTAGCAGAAGGGTTTGCGCCAAAAGTGAAGTGAAATACATGCAACGAGAAAGCCATGTTACTTTAAAACCAACGATTGCTTTAAAGCTTTAGCCTCCGATCGTTTTTGTCGTTATGGCATTAAAGCCGAGTCGCATTCCGGTCACTTTGCTTGGGTTAGTGGGGGATGATGGATCCAGGGGTCAACCTAAGCCTTTGTCCAATGGTTCAACCTAAGCCCATGATTATTTGGGATTTGTCTGTCTTTTATGGGCCTACCTGAGGCCTTACCCAGATTTCTTTCGGCTCTGGTTTTGCCTGTTCTAGGCCATTGAAATTTGACATGAAAGAAGGTAACTATATTTACTTGATCAATTTTAATTAATTTGCAACAATTCAGTCAAGTTTTTCTTTTACAAAACTTCATGTTAAAGTTAGGTTAGGGATCACAGTCTCAGAAAGTTTTTCTTGTATAAAACTTCATGTCGAAAGTTAGGTTAGGGATCACAAGGCTAGTTTGCCAAAGCTTCAAAATGTGCAGCCAGAAGCTCCCTTCAACATAAATGAATACATTGGGGCAAAGTGAGAAGGAACCCAGCTGCTAAAGAATGGAAACATTGCCTTGTGAAAACAAGTCCTCCATGGCCACAGCTGATGTGAAGTGCTTTCCCTCTTCCCCATTTCTCTTCCTTTCCCCACAAAGAAGCATCCTATGGAAATCACAAACTCCTATGGAAAGAAAGAAGATATCAAAGACAATTACAAATCCCACAACTGGCATGCGTGACTGATTATCCAACTGATCACTTTTCTATTAATTTAATATATTTTTAACCATTAGAATGAAAATCATATTTTAATGCAAAGTTTAATTGACATGAAAATATTTGATCAATTGAAGATATCAACCTTTCAACTTATCCCGGACCCTACACTTATCTTTTTCTTCCTACTCGCTTTTCTTCTCTCTTTTTCCTTCCCAGAAACTGATCTTTTCTCTTTATGCTTTTTGCTTTTCTAAAAGTGCTGATAAAAGAAGGAAAATGATTTCATCTTTTTACATGATTCTGCAACTTTCTGGTTAAACCCAATCTCAACGCTATTCTCCTTTTTTTTTTTTTTTCCCAAGTAATAATATTGGTTCCAATTAAATTTGCTATATTTCTGTCATATTTTATATAAAAATTATGTATTATAATTTATATTGATACAAAAATATAAAATAAAATTTTGATTTTCTTATTTTGATTTATAATTTTTATTAAAATTTTAAATCATATTATTTTCGTATTTTTTATTTATATCGTATCAAAATTTCAAATAAAAATAGATTGCAACGTTGAGGAAGCCAAAAATGTAAAAAAAAAAAGAAAAGACAACACTCAATCTCATTATCTATGGAGAATCTTGTTGATCAATGCATTTCCTAATGATACATAGACAAGCTAAATTTTTCTTGTTCTACATGAAGAGCATACAGCACCATCAATATTTGACCGCTGAGAAGGAAAAAAGAAGATCGATCGTCATTGGGTATTTTAGGATGACCCTTGAAGGATCTAAGTCTCAGCTAGAGGATCCAAGATTATCTTATCAATTTCAACCTATTTTCCTCCATAAACAACCCCGTGACAGAAATCACATGCATGATTACAGAATTGATGTGGTTCAGCTTTGACTAAATTAAAAAAAAATCAGGAAAATAACCTTTGATTCTTTTTCTTTTCAAAGATGAGTAGCAACCCACCAAACCATAAAGGACAAGGACGAAAAAATGCAGACACGAGGGCACTGAAAGCATATACAGGCAACAAGATGATTAGAGAAAACAAAGATTGAAATAAACAGCCAAAGAACTTTCAGACAAACCTTAAATTACTTAAACAAAAGATGTTGAGTTCCCTCCTTAATCAATAGCCATAACTTTATAGAGACAGATTCCAGACGTGGGTTTTGTCGCTTTTTGCAGAACAAGTTTATTTTCCTACAGCTTTGTCAAGATTGACCAACAAACACAGCTCTTTAATTGTTACCTATAATGTTCCAACTAGATTGAATTGGATTTGATTTTTTTAGATATTACATCATATTATAAAATTTTAAATTTTGATTTAAATTTAAATTAAATTTTTATTCTATTTGAATATAATCAATTTTTAATTTGATTTAATTCTATTTAATTTGTCAGTTTTTAAATTTTAAATTTTTTATTTTTAAATATTATTTTCATATAAAATTTTAATATATTTAAATAGATTTTAACATAAAATTATTATTTTTATTTTATAAACATTTAAAAGATATATAAAAAATTAGATATATAATTTAGTTCGATTTAATTTTCTTTTTATTTTTCACTTTTCAACCTGAATTTAATATATATATTTAATAGCTAACTTGATTTGAACTAAACAAAAAAAAAAAATTCAAATCGAATCAAATACTATGATTTTAAATGAATTTTTAGTTTTTTTTTTCACCCTTGTATAAATTAGTGTATTTTAAAATGGAAAGACTTTAAAATTTTGAACTTCATCATTACTAATATTATTATAAGTATATATGATGACAAGCTCCAAAAATTCCACTTCCAATGGACTATTTACCCATGGCCAAAGAGCATGTCAATTGCAAGGTGGCAGCGACAGTAGGGGAAGAGAGTTGGAATTGAAAGAATGGATGCCTATTTCATAACCTTATCGAAAAAAGCCAACCCAATTTTACACACAAAATGAGGAGATTCAAGCTCGAGTAGTCCCCTTTTCATCGAACTAATTCTTAGTATTTATAAATATTATTTGAGAGAATCCATGCGCATGAAAGGAGACATGGGATCCACAATCAACAAATCAAGCAACTTGGTGCAGCTCAGCTAGGCGTGGAAAAGGATGATTCTTCCTTTTTCTTTTGACATTAAACGTGCATGTAACTAATTTCAGTGGTTATCTCTTCGGTCTCCACTATATTGACAGCCCTCGTGGGTGTAGTACTGTTTTGGCCCTTAAATTCCTTGAACTTTAAGCGTGACACAGCCAAAACCTTCCCACCTTTCCATTTCATGGTGCATAAAATAAAAATCACGAATGTATTGGTAAGACATTTGTCATACTTTGATTGAGACCAAAACAAAGTATTAGCTCATGATAGTTGATCAAACTGTTTAAGATTACGGGTTTGAAAAGATTTAAATGCATAACATTTTTGTTGTATGAGTAAAGTAGATAAGAATTTAAAATTTTAAAGTATTTTAAAAATTAGGTCAAAATGTGTTAGAAATTCATGTATTTTTCAATTTTTAAGAATTTTGTTTCTTTATTATTAGTTAAAGAAATTTAGTCCTTAAAAATATTATTTTTTAAGGATTTTAATTCAATCATTAACAATATACAAGGATTAAATTTTTAAAAAATAATATTATAAAGATTAAAATTTTTTTAAATAATACTATAAGGTTTAAATTTTTAAAAATTAAAAAATACAAAGACCTATGATATATTTTAATTTAAAAATTAAAAAAATTAAACCAGAAAATATAGAATCTTTTCACCCAAACACAATTATAAGAAAGAAAAGCTATAATTAAAGTTTTCCTTTTTCTTCATCTATTGTATTGATCTATAATTAAATTTTTTGTTTTTTTATCTATTGCATGAAGCTGTGAAAGCATTGTTAAGATTAATATTTGATAAACCGAATAAATTAAATATTAAAAAATTAATGAAAATAAAGAAGTCATATCAAGCCCACTGACCATCGGGAATGGGCTCCAGGACCTGCATCTGTGGACCTTAGCAGGGCTCCAATCTGACATGGGATCAACCACTGATTGAGCTCTTCTTGCTGCCTCAAACCTTTGACCCTACCCTACCAAACCACAAACAGAGCTTGGTTTTTTACGTGGGCCCCCACTGTCCACGTATGCCTTTTGACCACAGAATTTCAATCGACACCTCACAGGCTCTGGGCTCTTGCTGCCATGAATTTCAACGGGGGAGGGGAGGCTAGGCCAGGCCAGGCCAGAGCGATGTCTCCTACCTTTGGGGCTTGGATTTGGTTCTATAAACCAGCGACACATTTTTTATTGTTTAACGATAACCGGAAGACAAGTCGGAGAAATTATCGGGATTTAGGATTTTTTACATTGTCGTATTTATAGATGTGAATTTAAACTTTTGTTTTGATTTTGTTATGTTCGGTTTTTTAAGGTATATGTTTAATAAGTTTAAATTTTAAATTTTAATATTTATAGTTTTTAATAATGAATAACTGATTCAATTATTCATATATATCATATAAAATATTATATTTTTATTATATTTTATATAAAAATTATGAATTATAATTTATGTTAATAAAAAAATATATTTTAAATTTTATTAAATTTATATATAATAATTATTAAATTTTAAATAATATTATTTATATATTATTTATTTATTTTATTTTTATATTTTATTAATTATCGTATTTTAAATTATTAAATATATAAATTTTAAAAATATTTTTTATAATTAAATAAATCAGTTATATTAAATCTCAAATCCATAACCTTTAATTAAAGGTACAAATTCCTTAACTCATAATAATTGGATTATTAAAAAAATAAATTTTCTTTTTTTTCTGTTTTTACAAAATTTAAAAAATTTTATTTATTATCGATTTTTTTGAAGCGATGAAATTATTAGTGGGAAATCGATTCGAAAAGCATTTAAAAAGGTTTCCCATCAAATACAGATAGGGTAGGTAGAAAAAGACGTATTTCCTGAACACTTGATTATTGCCACGTGTCTGTACATCTTGATCTTTTCACTCCTCAATCGTCAGCGAAGTGAAAAGACTGAAACATCCTCCTCCAATACAATATTAATGAAGAGATTACTTTTAACGGTTCCTAATTAAAAAAGTCACAAGTCAGAACAAAAGAATATTTATTTTTACATTATTCTAAAACCAAAAAGCCGGAAAAAAAAAAAAAAAACTTTGGATCCGTTTTAAGTGAAAGAGCTTTTGTCTTCAGAGCAGGAAAAAGAGAGAGAGAGAGAGAGAGAGAGAGAGAGAGAGGGAGGGAGCGCTTTGGCTGACTGATCTGGGAGAAGACAGGTGGCGATGGCGGTGGTAGTGGTGGGCTCTTAGAACGCCGGCGCTGACGGTGGTGGAAGTGGTGGCACCGGCGTTAGCAATGGCATGACCATCTTAGGATTCCCACTAATAAAAAGAAAAGTTCGCCTTTTTTTACGGAAAAAGCATTTTTAATAATCTATTTCATTCCGATCAGATTTTCTTTTTTGGGTTTGTGTTGTTGATTGAACTGTGGGTTCCTAAGAGTGTCGGGAAGCATCTGAGTTTGTTCAGTTCTGGGGTTGATTGGAAACAGTCGGCTTAGAGCTGGTTTCAACAATTTTTTCTTCTCAGGTTCTTAGCTTTTTTTGGTTGATGATTCAGGTAAAAAAAGATTCATTTTTGTATATTTTTTGTCATTTATTAGTTGTTGATCTTGGGTTTTCATTCTTTTTTGTTTTCTGGGTGTTAATTGCTTTTAAATTTTCATTATTTTTTGATCTATGGAGTTTGATTTGATGGAAATTTACTTGTGGTTAAGCTGAGATTTGAATAGTGGAGAATCTTTTTCATTTTGGTGTTTTTCTTTTATGTATATGTTATATATTTGCAGTTGAATATTGAGAGATTGATTTGGTATGCTTGTAAAAGATGTCTCTAAAGAGCATCATGCGGGAGTTAAAGGAAATGAAGGATGGGATTGGGAACATATCAAAGAGAAGAGGGAAAAGCAAGCTTTGGCGTAGCCGGACTAGATCCCATGTTGCTCCTGATCAAGCACCACCTGAATCTGAATTCGCAGAACAAAGCCCGTGGGCGAATCTACCACCTGAATTGCTCTTGGATATCATCCAGAGGGTCGAAGAGAGTGAGACAGCTTGGCCTGCTCGGGCTGTTGTTCTTTTTTGTGCTGCAGTTTGTAGGTCTTGGAGGGAAATTACAAAGGAGATTGTGAAGACTCCTGAGCAATGTGGAAGGCTCACATTTCCAATCTCATTGAAGCAGGTTATACTCTTTCCCTATTGGAAAATATGCCATTTTGATCCCTTGTGAATAAACTACTGGATATTTAGATTTTAGCTAAATTTACATCAAGGGGTTGAAAAACTATGCCCATATGTATCAGTTATATGCATCTTTGATAAGAACTTAGTAATTGTTTTTCAATCGATATTTATTGCTGTGGCATTTCTATCATGAAATGGTCATTGGCTGATAGTTGAATATTAAGAACTTTCAAAAGCATGCTTATATAGCTAAGTCTAAATTTTCCTAACCTGCTGCAAATGACATACATTCAACGATAGCTCTCTTGTCTCATGTCTTTATAAGTAATGGGAGTGGCTATTTTCGTATTCCTCCACTTAAAAGTTTGTTTATATCTTTTTGTTTGTGCTCATGAACAGCCTGGTCCTCGTGAATCTCCAATTCAGTGCTATATTAGAAGGGACAGAGCAACTTCAACATATCTTTTGTTCCATGGTCTGGTGCCTTGTAAGTCATCTTGTACGGATGTCCTTAGTTACTATTATTCATGAGAAATTTAAATGTACGTACCTTTATACTTGTCATTCTTATCTGAAAAAATTTTGCTCTAATCATTTTTTTCGTTGTAAACTTGTAATTGATTTATGAAGATTTTGTGCTAGGGGTGTCAATAATTAAGTGTGACATCTTAGGTTTCTTTGAATAACCTAAGATGTCAATCTCTATCTGTTTTGATTGGAAAGCTGTGAAACATATTGTACCATTCCATTGGGAAGCTCATTGTGACATCGTCGGGTTTACTCAGCTTTGTAGTTATGTTGGTTTTTTAACATCCTTTTAGCCAAATAACATCTTCAAAAACTTACAAACCTCATTGGAGGTATCACTATTGTGAAGCTTCCTCACTTTTTGAGAGGTATTAACTTGTGTTGCTTCTTTGATTTACAGCTGAGGGAGAGAGAGATAAACTGCTGTTGGCAGCAAGAAAGGTCAGAAGGGCAACATGCACAGACTTTGTTATATCTTTGGTTGCAGATGATTTTTCTAGGGCCAGCAATACGTATGTTGGTAAACTAAGGCAAGTCTCACCATTAGATTTTTTATGATCAAAGATGATTATTCTCTCTTCACGTCTATGATGAGATATTGAATTCTCTTCAGGTCTAATTTTTTGGGTACCAAGTTCACCATATATGACAGTCAACCTCCATGTGACTCGATGATCCCATCAACTACCCGATCGAATCATAGATTCCACTCCAAGCAGGTGTCTCCAAGATTACCTGCATGCAACTACAGCATAGGTACCATTACCTATGAGCTCAATGTTCTGCGAACACGAGGACCAAGGAGAATGCATTGCATTTTGCACTCAATTCCTGTCTCTGCTATTCAGGAAGGAGGCACTGCCCCAACACCATTAGCATTCCCACAATCCATTGATGAGCAACTTTCTTCCTTACCCAGTTCAAAAGGAAAGGAACCGGTGATAGACACCAGCTCCCCAAGCGTCCCAGCCACACCATTATTCTCCCCAGTCTCAGGAGAGCCATTAACCCTTAAAAACAAGGCTCCTAGATGGCATGAACAGTTACAGTGCTGGTGCCTTAACTTCAAGGGGCGTGTGACAGTGGCCTCTGTTAAGAATTTCCAGCTTGTTGCAGCTGTTGAGCCATCACATAACATATCACCAGAAGAGCAAGAGAAGGTAATCTTACAGTTTGGAAAAATTGGCAAAGACATCTTCACTATGGATTATCGATACCCTCTATCTGCTTTCCAAGCCTTTGCAATCTGCCTAAGCAGCTTTGACACCAAACCAGCTTGTGAATGATCACCACTGGTTGGAGATCCACGTCATTGATATTGCCTTGCATTATTGTTATCCTTCCTCGCTTTCACCTTTGCAACCTACCAGAGCAGCTTTGTGCCAAACTGGCCTATGAATGATAGCATGTTGGTAGGAGATACACATCTCTCTCCTGTAGAATGCTTCCTGTATTTTAATACTGGTACTATATTCTAATGGAAGCTTTTCTTGTACGGCCTTTGCTGGTCTATTCTAGCTATTCGGTGCATGGCATTACTGATCATGCAGTCTAACTTGTATGTTGTTTGATAATCTTAATTAGAATCAAAACTAAATTAACAGCAAATTGCCTACATCTAATTGTGTTATTTTCTTATTAAACATTCACTCTTGGAATAAACTCAAAACAAAGGGCTTGATGTCATGCTTAAACCTGGGAGTTCCACACTGACAGTCTGAAATGTAAACAGAATTCTTCCCATTCTTTCATGCTCGTGTTCCCTGAGGAAAAGGAGGGGGACAAATAAACATTCTCTTTTAAGGTTCAGAATTCATGCCAAATGCTATATGATGCATTACTTTCCCTTGATTGTTGTTGCAAATTGAAATTCTTTGCAGTTACTTCGAAAGGAAGCATTGAGATCTTAAAGTGAGGTGAACTTTGCGCAAGAGAAGGTAAAGGGAAAGTGGCGAATATAGAAAGAATAAAACTATTCATCTTTGGTGCAGAAAATTTATGTTCGGCACTTCATTACATGACATAAACTCCGTTCGTACCAAATTGGCTGCTTTAGCATCCGTCTTGGTCAAAGTTCTTTTTTTTAGTACTTAAAGATTATCAAAATATGAATCTTAATCACTGAACCTGATAGTCCAACATTCTATCAACAGTTGATGTGACAGTTGGCAACAAAGTTCTGTTCTCATTAGTCATTACTCGTGCCAAATGGGAAAACACCAAGTTTTGAGGTGTTTGAGGGTAACTTTTCCTTGATCAAGTAATGGTAGCTGCAATTCTTTCTCCACACCCGAAGGGAAAAGGAACTAAGGGCTCCTCTGACTTGTAAGATCTGCAGTAACAATTATGCATCTGGTGACCTGGAGAAGCGACTTTTTCAAAAACGAGCTACCATAACACATGCAGAGACTGAATTTGGTCAATGTATTCGAAACCAGGATACCACATGATTTCAATCTCAAGGTTCGGGATATTTTTGAAAATGTTCTTGATGTCCCATTCTTTAGAATTGACAGGACAGCTTCGATCCTGGTGTTTCCAGTATAAGAACAAGAACAACAATAATTGGTTGCAGAGTGATATAAAAAAATCAGAAAAGAACCTAAAAAGGGATACTATTCAATCTAGTTTAAACCATCTGATCAGCACAAGAACAAGGGAGAGAATACTGACAATATCAAGTCTTTTTCTTTCTACCAATATTGATAGATATAAAACCATCACCATTTTCCTCTGAGAAGCTCCTCTTAGTGTTAGTTCTATTCAATCGGAGACAAGATTCCACATCTCATATTCACATCCTTTTCTACCCCCAACCAGCTATTAGGTCACATTTATTATCTCATAGTGGAGTATGCAATGAATTCCCTTGAAGTTAATTGGAATGGTTGGTGTGGAATAGGATTCCTGAAATAGAGCATTTAAACAACAAAAAGGTTTAAATTAGAATATTGGTCATTAAAAACTTTGATATGGTGCACATGAGTATCCTCCCCTTAAGGTGATTTGACAAAACTGCAATTTGCAGCATAAAGCCATTGAGAAAAGTTTCACTGCAAGACATTTTGATTAATCAGTACCCAAAATAAATGTCCCTATGTTGAGTGTAATTTTCCCCAATAATTAGGTAGAATATGCAGTTTTGTGCTCTATCTACAAACTGGTGATAATCACTAACAGCTGTATTGCAATATGGTACTAACTATTGACATTGTCATTGAAACTTAAGAAGCAAGCACACCAAATTCTGATATATCTCTGTTTGTTCAGGTCCATACTATGTCTTTGATGGCACCCCACATGAACCAAACACAAATGATGGTAGTAATTGTAATAGGAATTTGTTGATCATCATTTTTGAGGTTGCATTTGATTATCAGTCAACCTAAAAAGGAAATAATTGGAATAATTACTAGGGGCTTAAACCAATATGTAGCAAAGAAGAATTGCCAATAAGCAGATCAGGTTTTGAACTTTGAACTTCAAACTTCGCCTAATTTATTCATGCAATTACTTGCAATTGGTATCTCTAGACTGCAATATCCTCTGAAAAAAACTTTCAGATATTTTTGTAAAGAAATGAATTAGTCTCTTAATCTGCTAATAAAGAACCAACAGTCAGTGATCATGATAAACAACATTGCACCAATGGCCAACAAAAGAAACATGATCAATCCAAATACTTCAAAAAGAATTGAAACAATGTTTTTGCCACTCACTGGAGGATCATTTCCGGACAATGAAAGATAAATCCAAACAGTAGGCTTAACAAGTTCCACAGTTTTAATCTCCTATAGCAAACATTCGCTTACAAATTAACCAAGCAGGTCAGAGTCCACAATTCTAAATGAAAAACTAAAGATCACAGATTACACCTTTAAGTTAGGGAATCCATCACCTCTCATCAACCTTGAAATCCACATAGAGTACAACTAGCTTCAAAAACCCTAATTTAAGCTATAAAAAATTCCCTAGTGGATAGCTAAAACCCTCCCAAAATGTAAACTGCCATTTAAAAGTAATAGATTAGTTCAGTCCAACCTATAATTAAAGTGAAATTCTTGGGTTTAATAGTTAGTTGCCTTTGTTGATGTTTGTGGTACATTTGGAGATACAGGTTAAAACTTAAGATACAATTGGTAAAATACAAAGAAGGCTTTGACTATCTACTCCAGCATTGGATTGTTTTAAGCCTAGGCATTTTGTATTAAAAAAATGCTAGACCAATTTTCCTTGCACTTTAAACTATTGGAAAGGTAAATAGATCAACCAGGCTTTTGGGAGAGAAGGATGAGAAAGAACAGCTTAATGATGAAGAATTCAGGTGTAATCCTAGTATTTATATCTTTATCTGATTGAACTGTCTCTGATTTTTGTTCTGCAAGGGAGAGTTTGCAAGCGGCCAAAGCTTACCCAATGTAGCACAAGTTGGGCGGCAGCTGGGCCATTTCTGTCACTAGCTTCTACCTTTTCACTCACTTCTATCATCTTTCTTGCCCCCACAATGATTTAAAGTTTCCAACCGAATGCCTCCTCTGTCATTTTCTATTCCTATCAGCTTTTTATGGTAGTCTTAGTGTGGTCCAGTCCACTTTCTCTCCTCACTTCTCACTTTTACTGGCTAGAAAGACAGCTATATTCATTATATTGGGCAAACATACAGACAAGAAACATATCTCTAGTCATTATACAATGGAGATATGGAAATGTTGTGATTAATCTTATGGATGGTATATTTATTAGAATAGTGGGACTATACATGTAGAACAAGAACTTGATCATTCAGTAATTTGTTGGAATCATAGTAATAAATCCTTTAAGATGGTGAATAGTTTCTGTCAATGATAATCTAGAATCATTATTCTAGTAATATTCCAGATTATTACTAGAATATCATTGACGGTGTCCAAAAAAATAACATCTCCATCTTGATACTGCTAGGATTTCAGGATTGGTAACTATCAGAATCTTTGAAATAAATCCAGTAAAAGGGTAAATGGTAGTATAAAAAATTATATTCCATCTTGAAGTCTGGCATGATTTCAGGAATAGTATCTGCAGAAAACATGTAAACAACAAATCTTAGCAGGTGATAAAAGCAGACAGGAAAATAAGCAGATGTTTTTGCAATGTGGACTTCGGAGAATGGACAAACAAAAACAAATATATCCTCCAGGTGGAATGACTAATGAAGGAGAAGGGGACCATCGATTTTTATGTACATAGATTAATTGGAGGGAAAATAAGAGAAAGAGAGAATGCTAAAGCCACCTGTCGATGTTGGAGAGAAAAATTAGTTGATCATTCTTAATGAAACCCCATATTGTACGCATTGTTAAGACCTTGAGGATCAGTGTTCCAAGATGAAAATGCTTGCAGTTGCTGCAATATGATTTTGAGCCATGTAAGATATAACAGAATTATAAATGAAAGAAGCGAATAAAAGTAGTTAAAATCAGAGTAGGAATAATTACAGTGATGCAGGATGAACTAAAAGCTTGTTCTGGAATAGATATAGAAGCACTTGCAATTCCTTCAGTTGATGTTTGGGGAAGGGGCATTGTCGCATCTAACATGCAACTTACAGCTTCTTTTTGCAATGGGTTGAACTGAAGGCAGGTCAAATTGGCCACTGCAGGTGACTTAGCAGCTGCTGGAAAATTGGCGACATAAGCAGGAAACTTCATTGCATGATTATTTAAGCACAAGTCAGTCATAAAAGAAGTTGTACGTTGTTATCAATTTCCACCAATGATCAGCGAGAAATGACAATTCAGGAGGCTGTTTTATTACCTCTTTCACAGGAAGGTTGTCAACATTGAATTCCACACTTGGATTTAAAGCAGCAAGTTTCATAGACAAGAACTGCAAGTATATTAAATTAAGACATGATAAGTTCAAAGAAAGTTGATTTGCAAAAATGTTTTAAGGCTAAACGACCAATATGCCGATCTTACCTCAACTTGTCTTTGGAGAGATTGAACATAGTTGATTATTTCATCAAGCATTCCAGCTTTGCCTGTGATTTTGTTGCAGCCAGGGACTAAATCTTGCAAGCATTTCATCTTCTTACTAATCTTTTCCCTTCTGGCCTGTGCATTTCAAACAGATAAATGCCCTGTCAGTTAATATTACAAGTAATTTACCTTATCAATTAAAATTCAAAACTCCAAAAAAAAAAAAAAATCCTACTTACTCTTTCTGCTAAGCTGTGACTGTCAGTAGCCTGGCCACGACGTGCCCTTACATGAATGTAATCTGGCTTCTGAACCTCTGAAACCTTGGAGTTCTCCTTTGAAGGATTTCTGGAAACTTCTTTACTGCATTTTGTTTTGACCTCAGGTTCCCCTTCCACTTCTCCTTTAATCCTCCTTTCTTTACATTTATCATCTGCAACAGCCTATACAACAAAAGTCAAATGCCTTAATGACGACTATAACTGCCTTTTATTTTTATCCCCTTTGTGCTGGAACAACTGAATCAAATTAAAAGTAGCATCTTTATCAAAATTCATCCACGGTTTCTTTTTTTATAATCAAATTTATTCAAAAGTTCACAATTCATTCCTGTAAGAAGCTACAACTCAGTAATTGAATAAGCTTAGAGCGAAGCATAGTAACAAACCTCTGCTTTTCTCTTGTTAAAGCTCTCTCTGCCAGTGGTGGACTCTATTTTCTCCAAAATCACACCTTCTCCTCCCTCTTTCATTAAAGCAGTCCGAGCTGTCATCTGACAGCTAGAAGTCCGAGAAATACAGTAATCTGCAGCACCCTCTGGCGGCACCAAATCCATCTTACTGATACCAAACTCTGGTCCAGCTACTGAAAGGTTCACCAATTTGTGAAAATCATCACTACCCAGATAAACTTCTGGCATTTTCAGCTCAACTAACTGTCCACTACCTAAATTCCCTCCAATCAAACCCTGAAACTGAGGCACTGAACTTACACATAATTCAACAGGATTATTATTTTGGACCACATAGTCTTGCTGCTGCAGCAGCCATTTCAACCTTGCTTGTTGTCTCTCGAGCACTCTCATGTCCATCCCGTTATAGGTACAGCTTTCCAGGGAGTGCAAACCACGTAACATCTCTGGTCAATCTCTAAGGAGAAATGGGATTTTGCTTTGTTCTCTAAAATTTTAAGACCCTTTTCCTTTCCGGGGAAACTAGTTGTTACTAAGGTGAAAGAAGAGAATGAAATGAAGAGCTGACTTAATACTGATGAATTTGCAAGGACAGATATCTATAAAAAGAGAAGGATATGGATAGAAGAGAGGCAAAGAATCACAAAAGAATGTAAGCCATTAACCAGAGCTTGTGGACAATGGGACCCAGTGACATTACCACCATGCGAGAATGTCCGTTTATAACAGAAAACGGAGGGGCTACAAAACGGAGTCCGAAGGTGGGTTGTTCAAATGAATGGTGATATTTTGAGGCTTCACATGCAGATTAAAACTTTAGATTTGGTGAGTTATCAACGTCAAAAAGTCCTTTGCTCTAAACAAACAATCAAATCAAGTAGCTTGATGAACTTTCTATTGAAGTGATAAACCAATAAAAAGAGGACAAAAACTAACAAATCTCATAATAGTATTTATCATTTTTGAAAAAAGTACGTTAGACAAGTTTCAATTTGATAAAATTTGAAGAATGGGTTTTTATTCTAGTTGGCAAAGGGATAATAAAAAAACAAGCCAAATCTAAAAATCACAGTTTAACTGTCCATTTCAAGCTTCACATAACCAAAAACAGTTTGGAATCTGGATAAAGGGCAGCAAGCAAGTAAATCTTTCTTAAATCACAAAGCAACCAGCTGCAAAGATACCTTGTAATATCTTGTGACTGATTCAGGGACAAACCTGTTAAACATATGCACTTTAACAGGTATGTATACGAGTTTTTATATAGCTTGAAGCTCATTAAAGATAAGGGGTTGGTGGCTGGTTAACAGAAAGATCTCTGTTTTCTAGGCAAAGAATATTTGCATGGATATATTGAATGGATTATATGTGACCCACCGACAATGTGGCAGCATGAAAACAGATCCCATCAACCAGCTTTTTTTCATCTAAGAAACTTAAATCACAAGACCTAGATGACAACGAGCTTCTTCATGTTTTATGCTTATAAATTATATTTAGTTTAGTTTGGCTTGTTTCTTGGCATCCATTTTACACTTATACTGAATAGGAGTTGGTTTCATCAGTCTTAAGAGGTTTTCATGGAAGTATGGGTTGTTATTTTGGTAAGGCCTTGAATGTAACAATCTTAATCCAACAATCTATGCATCAGTTATGTTTAGTTTTCATGAACTTCATGGTGAATCAACAGTTGCTTACCGATGTGGGATAAAAAAATGTGGGACAATATCACATTAAGTCATTAACAATGATGGAGAAAGATATAGTAATGAATAATGGCTATGAGGATAAGTGATGGTAGGGTAGGAGACCATGGGTAGGGGGTCTGTTGAGAGGACCTTCATCCTTCACCAACTTCATATGGGTATGTCTCCACTGGATTTGACCATGAATTGGCTCTCTCGCTGACTTATGCCAATCAGATTAATCTCACTCTCCCAACCCCCCCATTGGCTATTGTCCCCTGCCAACTCATTGAAGTAAACCTACCAATGATCGAAACTTGCCCATCAAATTCTTTTTAATTCTACTTCTGCAAAATTCAGGTCTATGATTGCAACTGACCTTAACTCAGCGAATCCCAAAATAAAAATTGTCCATCAATTATAATAAACTCTAAAGAGAGGAAAGCATCCGATATGAACTTATCATCTTCTCTATAGAAAAGTTGAATAGCTACCAATTAACTACACTTCAGCCATATAGAGAAGTTAAAGATATTCTCAGGATTGATCATGTTTTCTTTATAACAAAGCCTGAAGAAAATGATTTGCAAGAAGAGTCTCCTGCATTAGCAGAAAACGAACCAGGTTATCATCAGATCCAAGACTTAACACACCTTTCCCCCTCTATTCTTTGTGGTAGGAAGGAAAGAAAGGGGAAGCTAATGAAAATATTTTTCTTCCATTTCCCTATCTTTTCTACCAAAGGGAGATGTTTTTGTTCTAGCATCGGAAGCGCTGGACCATAGCCAACCCACTAGGATGCTGCAGCTTAACAACTTCTTAGGAGGCCCAAAAGGTTAATAAGCCAGCAGGCTCAAAACCAAAGTATAACCCTAGAGGACAGAGGCCGTAAGGAAAGAAAGTACACAACCATGAAATGAGTGCTGCTGCCAGGCTATTTCGGTTTATCATGGTCTTGATGACAATAAAGTAGTCCTGTCTCTCAACCTGCTCTCAATAATTGATTCAATATCTTATCTAACTGATCCAGGCCACAGATCCATTATCAATATCGCCTTAGAAGTCCTTGAATTGGTTCCTAGCTTTTAACATAATCTATTATGCATGCACACACAATTGATTGGTGCAGGAACCCTTTGTGTCTATGCTTTTATATACCCTTTGTAAAGCAAAGAAAGATCATTGAAGGATCCTTTGCTCCCTCAATCAGATTCTCTTGTTACTAACATTTTCCCAAACCATCTGTTCTTTTGTTCATAGATTCCCCAAAAAAGTTGTTCCCATGCTTACGCTTGCAGATGTAGACTAGGCAAAAGTAGTGGATTTACTTTCGTTAACTTCGGCCCGAAAGGTTAAACTTTACTGCTTGATTGACCCATTAACAAGTTAGATTAGAATCTAAGTAGTCAGCCACTAATAAAAGCTACAGGGTGAATTTCTATACGGGGTCTTGTTTGAATATGGAATCTAACCACAAAGGAAACAGAAAGGCTATCTAGGCATCTTCTTTTTGACAAATTCTACCATTTCTTTAGGTAAATACAGAGTATTAACCATTAAATGAGAACAATATCTACCTGGGGAAAAATGGGAATCCATCCAATTTACTTTGGAAGAAATGGGGTGACGAGTGCATATTCGGTCCACATTTACCCAAGCAACTGTCATCCAATGATTAGTCCCCAAAACTATGCTTTTGTTATTCTTTGACGCCAACTACTCATATTCCGATTTCTGACAACCATAGTTTCATGAACCTCGTCGCAGGGCAGTCAGAGTTATATGGTGAGAAATTATAGCTAAGCCTTAGTACTCAATGTTACAGTGTGATCAGCGAAGCAAAGACAATCATCATATATCTGCTTATAGTGTTAATTTAAACCAAAGAAAAAAACATATAGCTACAATAGGATACAAAAACCAAATAAAATTTTCCGTACCTTCCTCCTTTACTCCGGAAGCAGTTTCTGGATTCTAGCAGTGAAACATACACTTGATCACAGCTCCACTTGCAAAAAGCCACTCTATCCAACCACTTGCAAAGTCGGTAGTCAAGGTTCTGGGGTATCTGCCAAGATATTATCTTCTGTTGGGAATCAATATGCCTCACATTCCAAGCAGTAATTTACATTTTAGTAAGAATTCAGTCCATATCTTGGTTGGAACAATAGCAAGTGGAAGAATCAATGGTCACAATTTATGTACCATAAAGGGGAAAAAGAATAAAGAAAAGTCGCAAATGATAAGATTCATCAGCAAGAAGATCTTCCAAGATTTGGTAGCGGTCCAGCAGGGTGCCCCTTGACAAACTACAAAAAGTTCTAGCACCATTGACCTTGATTATTGAATGTATTACATGAAGTATGCGGAACTACAATCTGCACAGGTCAAAAAATGGACCTGAAATCTAAGCTATCCCTTTGGCTTTGGTGGCCTAGTCCTGGCTAGCTTTAAAGTAACAAAGTTTCTGGTTTGTTTTACCATCATTAAGGCATTTTTTTCCTTCCAACAATATCAGATAATCACCTTATTATCCTCGTACATTAATGGTTCACTTTTGAAACAACACAAAATTGCACAAGTTAAAGAATTTGACGCAATTAAACTAGAGCAGTTTCCCTCAATCAAGCATGCCAGGGGGTTGAAGATTGTGCAGAACCTGATTACATGCCGAAAAGATACAGAGTCATCGTCAAAAGTTGTAATAAGGTTGATCTGCTTGAAACTGTGCAATTTGCTGTTTATACATTTTAAATAGGTTACCCGGCTGACCAACATAAAGAACTATGGTATTCCAAAGTTGGGAGCAACTTTTATTCAAGGTATATATATTGACAACAAAGATGATTCAGTAAATTAGTGTTTTGAAGCTATTTTACACTGCTTCCATGGTCATAAGAAGTTCCCCGGAGGCCCCCATTCAGCTGGCTGCTGATGGCCCTATTTACTCTCTAATTTTAAGAGAGAAAACTGAATATCTTTTGCATTGGTTAAGAGTTGCACTTAACTGAGAGCTGAGCAGAAAGACCATTAATTAACACATTAAACAATTATGGCTTTGTATGTATAACTGGAAACACCAAAAGGAAACCTTATGAGTCGATCTGCCATTTTAGTTTTGCTTCAAAACTCAATGTCATTACCTTAAAATTCAATCCTCTTCTTCGGTTTAATAAGCAAGGCATGTCATCATCTTTCTTTCACAAGAAATTCATCATAAATTTGGCAGCTAGCTACTTTAAGGTTTTCAAATTTCTCCAAAAGACCAACTACCTATTGCTATCTTTACTGGGAACTGGTGGGGTAATGAAACTACCCCTATACAGCTTGCACTGCAAATAATTCTACAGCTATATCACCATCTCAACTAAGAAATAGATCATTTTCCTTTATTGGTTGAAGATATTTCTGCAGGATTCATACTCGGTTTAGTCCACACACTCATGGAACAATGCCAAGTCTTGCTAGGGGAGCCATACAAGTTGGCTCGCTGACTGGCGACCGAACAATAAGGTAATGAATTGTATGTTTCTGAAAGCCAACTAGAACCATTAGCAAAGGCCAGCTACCCAAAGCTTAACTCAGTTAGTTCATGCAACCATGGTATCTAGCAAATTTTGAATTCAAATCCCAACATTTGTAACCCTTTCTATATCTGCATGTGGTCTCTTAAAAAAATAATAATAAAGCTAGCTAAGATTGGAAAAATTCTTCACATGCTTGTGATACAAGAATAGGAGAAATGAAGAAACTATGGCAAAGTAATTATTGCACTTTTCAAGAAAATACTCTAAGCTGCTACAACTTCACTTTATTGACCTCAAGCTTTAATTATTCTGATGATCCCTTTCATACAAAAGAAAATGGATTGCATTATCTTTAGCTAATGCAACCACTGATTAGTTTAATTGATACATCATTATAGCACAACACAAGGTGAGTTTGCTTCAGCTAAAAGTATCTACATCTGATATTTCTTTTCACTGACTTGTAACTAACAAGGCAAACCCCACTTGCCACTTATCTAATAAAGGAATACGGTTTGGTTTAAATGACTAGAGACTGCCCTTTGATACTGTTTCTTCTCTTTTACTTCTTGTTCCTTTTGCTTCTCCATCTTGTGGATCCTGACGTGTCACTTTATACTCTGCCCTTTTGGGGGATATATTCGCCCAACAACTGGCTCAAACCCACCACTCTTTTCCTCCTGCTTATAAGGAGCTCCTTTCATGATATACCTCCCATACTGCTCCTTGACTTCGAGTAATCTTCTTTGAGAGAAACAACCCATCTTTTCCCTTCCAGCCTTTTTCCAAGTTCCAATTTATTCACCCTTTCTTTCAAATTCAGGCACTGACATAGTTCTTTTTTTCAGTTGTTGTAATTAGATTTTCACGAATGTCATCCAATTCTCTCGCTTCTTCACGTACCTCTAGCTCCTCCTGGACAGCAAAGCAAAACAAAATGTTTGAGAAGGCTCTGGCTAAATATGATCAGGACACTCCTGACCGCTGGCATAATATTGCTAAGGCTGTGGGTGGAAAGTCAGTTGAGGAAGTCAAGCTGCACTATGAGCTCCTAGTCAGGGATCTCAAAGACATTGAGTCTGGCCGCTACCCTTATCCATATCCAAGTGGGAGCAGCAACTAAAGCGGTCAGTATAAAACAAAGGTAATGTGCTGCTTATCAGCTTACATCCCAAACCACTTTTCATGAGTATTTAAAGCCTATTCAATTTCTCCAGATTTGAAAGTTAACCACAAACACTTCAGATATCCAACAAGTGAAAGACAAATTCATATGCATGAATTTCACATTCCTAACAATGCCGCTGTATTTCTTGTTTGTGTAAATAGCTGAATGCTTATTGTTCTGCGTTTAATGAAAAAGTGATTCTGAGAATCATCATAGATGGGATATCCATGAAGTCCTTGTCCTTCCAGCTTCACACACCCACAAGAAGTCTTACACTGCCATCCCCAAAGTCCTTAAACATTGATAGCTGAAGTCCCCCTGTGGGTCCATAGAATAATTCAGGTAAGTGTGGAACAAGAAGAACTCTTCAAGTGCCGGTTTCTTCTGTGATCCATCAAAAAAATTTTTTTATCTTTTCCCCCACTGAACATTAGGCTACCATCCTGTTCACCTAACTGCTGATACAGCCCACATTAGATCTAATCTTACTCTTTTTGGATAACATGTCAAGGGTCCTATATATATTACAAATTCAAACAATTCCCACGTCAGACTATAAAAAAGACTACCTTCTTTTGTTTGATTTGAATGATGACTGAAGACAGAATAGTCACATACAAAACCCAACTAAATATTTTACAATTTTTATTCTCTCTTTCTTAATCACTTGCAAATTTTTTTTATTATAACTTTCTGCATTTGTCATTATACAGGACCAAACCAATTGCTTTCCAACCTATCTGGAACTATTGGCTGCATTATTACCTAAACTGATAATGTTTTTAATGCTTTCTTTTTTCTTTTTTTTTGGATCTTAAACATTTGTGTTGTTATCATAACTTTTTGGATTTGTTTTCAAGGTTTTCAGTGGGCTAGATAAAATCAATAAAACTCCTTTTCTAACGTCTAACTTATCCTATTTGTCTTTAGGTTCCCCAAAGACTATGGTGAAAGAACATGATCCAACCGGTGACCTCAGTTGCAGAAAGACTAGCATAATAGAATATTCCCCACCAAAAAAAAAAACCCAAAAAATGAAATTATTCCCCACTGTAATACTATATGCTGTTATTACCATTTTGCTTTTTGTTATCTCTTTGTATTTTCCTTTGACCTTGTCTATCTAAATTAAAATATTAAATATTTTATTAAGGATATATAATTTGCTTCCTCTGATTACGAGTTAGTAGTAGTTACTAAATATTCCTGTATTATCTCGACTGCTGCTTGTAACATGTCTCGAACCCAATTATATGATACTCGAACTTTACATAATCAGGCCAACTAGGGCCAGGTCTCTAGTTGTCCACTACACATTGCCACCCATCGAAATAGAGGGCTAGCACAAGCCCAGTACAAAAGCTTTGGGCCACCTAGCTTAGAGCCCTTTCTACTAAATACCAGACATATGCTTACCAAATATATATTTGGGCCAACAATAAGCTTTGGGTTTTTTTAGGCTACGGCTGAGCCTTCAACAATAATTTAAGTGTTTTTTTAATTATTATTATTCAAAGAAATTTGTTGAAATTTGTAGTATTAATACTCTAGGAGTACTATAGAAGGTAAGGCCATAACGAGCAGGAAAATTTAAGCTTTTGAAGCAGCTCCAAATTTAGCTATCCTAAGCACATATCTCGAATATCAGGATTCAGGAACTAGCTGTTCACTTGACCAGCTGCCAATAAACTCTCATTGTTTCTATATATTTTTGATTAATATAATTCTTTTAACGTGCCTGCAGCCCATGTAGAAGAACAGGGAAGTAACTTCCAGTTGACAAGTTTTATTAAGCGTCAAAAAATATCTCCAGAAGAATACTGTAGCCACGCAGCAGCGCCGGAAAAGACTCTGACTGATTCAAAGCCCCACTCTTCTGATTCCTAATAAGACTCTCTTTTCTGACAATAATTATGACTTTTTTACTTACAGGGCTGTTCATTGGTTTTTCACTTTTGATCTCGATGTCAAGCATTAACTTAAAATGAGAAATAAAAAAGTTCAATTTAAATAAAAAATTAAATATTTATTAAATGTAAAATAATTTATTTTATCACGTTTTAAGAAAGTGAAAATGAAATAAGTTTATTAGGTGATAAATTTATAAAATAATAAAAATTTTTAATTTAATAATTGTTAATTATTTAATTAAAGTAATAATAATAAATAAATCTAATTTAAATATAAAATTATAAAAAATTAAATATTCATTAAATCCCTAATAACTTATTCTAACGTATGAGTTAAAAAAAAAGCCTTTCAAAGATATCCTGAATTCTGTGATTTCTGATATGGAGATCATTTCATTTCTGACTAAGAGTTTTGAATACCCCAACTTGCTTGGACATCATTTGTTTTACTATAGGTTATATAGAATTCTATTGTATCAATTCATACTCACGTACATATATATAAATTTTTGCACAAGTTTGTGTTAGATTTAGAAGAAAAATTAGTTTCAGCCTTGCCCTGAATTCAAACTGGAATCTGAATCATCTGATCATGATGATCAATCGTCGTTTTCCGAGTAAAAGAAATGCTCATGTGTAAAACAAAATGAATCTGACGTTCAATTGTCACGCTTTGCATTGCGAAAATCAATAGGACAAAGGACGAAGGTGGAGGTTGTAACTTGAACAACTTAAAATTGAAAAGCTTTCTGCCAGCTGATCATAAACTTTTCTTTGCCAGGGAATAAAGATGCAGCAGACAAGATATCTCGGAAAAGACCAGTCAAAAATATTGAAAACCGGATCGATTGGGTACCGACCTGTTAATGGAATTTACTGCAAAGGATCCAAACCCTACTGTTTATTCAACTTTATGATTCAATACTTAAAAAAAAAATAGAGAAACTATCGGAAAAATGGTGTAAGGACAGGAGGGAAGAGTGCCCATATCGTAAGCTTAAATCATTAAAATATATACGTAAAATCTGTTTAGTTTTGGGGCAACAGTTAATATTTAGAGAGATTCAAAGTATTTAAAGGAAAAAGAAGAAATGGAAGGATAAAAAAAGATCGGTTTACGTAAAGGACATGCATACAAGTGAGTCAAGGAGGCTATATCCAGGCCATGATACCTACCCCCCGCCTGAGGTTTTCATCATCATCATTTTTTTTTCAGTTTTCTTTTTCTATTTTCAAAGAATATATATATATATATATATATATATATAGACACACTCTTCGTGCATGAAAGTGATCATGAATCCACCATACGCCTACTTTGTTTTAACTTTTTTAATCTGGTTTTTCTACATCATTCATAGCTCTTTTAAACACGAAGCTGATATGTTGTTTGAGATAGAATATTTAGGAATGAGGAAAAAATTTAATTAATTAATTCGTATTCGATTTCATGCAAAAAAACTATTAGTACAATTAATTTCATGTTTGCAAAAATTGATTAACCATGCATCCCATTCAAAATGGACAGAGAACTTGACAACCTTTTCCTTTTTAATGCCCCACAATACTTTAGAGCTACATTCTAATTAACTCTTTAGCAAGGGTGATAAAGATTGAATTTGATTTAGTTTTTTTTTTAATAATGTATACAAGTATAAATTTTTAAATTTTAATTTGAATTTAAATCAATTTTTTTATATAATTTGATCCGAATCGAATCAAACTAAAATTTTATTGACTCGGTTCATCGATTTTTAAATTTTTTATATATTATTTTAATATAAGTTTTTAATATAATTAAATAAATTTTAATATAAATTTGTTATTTTTATTTTATAAAAATTTTAAAAATATATAAAATTTAATAAAAATAATAATTTGATTCGATTCAATTTTTTTATTTTTTATTTTTCAATTAAACATTAAAGTATATATTTAATATTCAAATTTAATATGAATTAAATAAAAATTTGATCTAAATCAAATTAAACACTATAATTTTAAATTAATTTTTTATTTTCTCAATTTTTTCTCAATCTCTACCTTTATGACGCAACTGTACAATGCATTGAGTTTAGTCTTAGGTTTAAGTATATAGTTACTTTATTTGAGAAACTCATATGACAGTTAAAAAGAAGGAAAAGAAAAAGCAGAGACATTTGAATGTATTGTCTTAGATTACTGGGCTATAGTTGTTAGATTACCCTGGAGGAGACAATTGGAATTCACAGTGTCCCTTAGATGTCATGATCTTGACAACATCTTGTCTTTCATAGGCTGGCCTATGAGGGAGTCTTCTCGTTTTCTTCTACAAACTGTCATTCCTTTTCTAAATGTTGGTCCCTATCTCCTCATTTTTTCTCAACTAACCTTTTTCTTTTCCCATTCTTCCTTCCTTCATACCTTGCAAAGAACATCCTGTCAACAAGAAGCTGATCACTGGCCAATCCCCAAGTTCCCCCACCTTTCCCTTTTCGTTTTATTTAATATTAAAAATAATAATGAAAATTATTGTAACTGTGATTGAAAAAAAATTATATTAACTTAAAAATTTCAATGAAAAATTCATGTTACATTTAATCAAATGTGCTTCATTGATTTCTATTTGAATTTTACTGATAATTCTTTAAATTTAATTGTAATCGTTGAAAATACGTTTACATCTAAATCTACCTTTAAAAAAAATAAAATAAAAATTCCAATCTCCCAGGAGACAGTCCAGTTGTATTCTCGTTGCTTTTGAGGAATGTTCAAAGCCTCTCATAATTTTAAAAAGCTTGTTGTAAGTTGAACTGTGAAGTCCGTCCCTTGTTCAATACATTTGCATGCATGCAAAAGCAAAATCCAAAATATTAAAATAATAATAATAAATAACGGATAAATCGACCTGGACAAGCCACGTGGCATCTTGAGAATTGATCAAAGTTTATTAAACCCCGATACCATCTGATTTGATTTCCTTGGAAATTTCAGGGGAAAAAAACCCCAACCCAAAACCATTGGACCCCACCAAATCGACGAGCCACGTGACACCATGATAAAATAAATGCGTATCTAAACCTTAATCATTTTCTGTGGTTTGAGATGATTAAGCAAATCCCAGAGTTTCCATTAAAAAGTGTAGTAACAGATCTTCATTTAGTACTTCAATTTATAGGCATTTGAGCATATTCTTAATCTGCTCAATTCTTCCCCCACTCTCCTCTCCCTTGCGTGTTTCACGTTCTGATAAAACATTAACCCACTCCCCCGCCCCAGGAAACCGTGGATCGCGTGGCGGAAAAGACGATTGGAAATGGCAAAACCAAAAAAAAAAAAAAAAAACAATGCATCACTTATTTTCTTGGGCTAATCGCAGGTTTATAAAGAGATAGAGACAGCATCTTTTGGAAAGCGGTGTCGCCCCGTTTGTCGAACTAAGGCCTCATCAAACTCTAGACGATCTGATTCTTTTCTCTCTTCCTCTCTCTTCATGTTTTTTGAACCTCTTGATCATATTCTTCAGAAGGGTTTTCTTTTTTTTTGTCGGGGTTTGGCCATGATGATTGTGGGTCATTTTGATAGTTGTTTTTTTTTCCCTAAATTTTTCAATTCAAGTTTTTTTCCACATTTGTTTTTTTTATTTTTTAACCTTTTTCTTTTTTGAGTTCCCATCTTTGACTCAAAGATCTTTATCTATTGGTGAGCCAAGTAGAAACAAAGATGTTTGTTGCTTTGATGATTACAGAGATACCTTTTTATTTTTATTTTTCCTTCTTGTTTCCTTAAGCTTTCTTTTCATTGTTCGGATCTTCTACTGGTGTTCATAATATTTTGCTAGGACTAAGTACTAGAAACCAAAAAGCTTTTCGGTGATGAGTTTTGCATACGGAACATGAGGAAGTTATCATGAAGAAATTGGCTTTGTTTTTTAGGTGGGAAGGTTCACGTGATTCCAGGGTACGGTTGCTGCTTGTAGTTTGCTCGAAACTGGTGTTTTTGGTGCGAGGGGAGAGACGGATTGGACTGCTTATAACATGTTAGATGGCAGTGGTCATTGCTTAGTTGAATAAACTCATCTTACTCACACATGAAACTCAATTTTTGCATCCTTTTTCTCCCACAGTCAAATTCAGGGCGTGGCTAGCAGCATTCCCTCCTGCATTGTTTTTAATTGAAGAAAATACTAAGTAAAATTCGGTTAGTGGACATGCCTTAACTCCAAAGAATTTGTATCTGATCACTGCATTCATTATTCTTCATTAGACAAAATCTTTCAAATGTCACAAAACCAACAAAAATTTAACTATTATTAATTGATCAATGTTACAAAATGTTTCTATACATATCTCCATCAATGTTAGTGTAAACTTTTTTTGTAGCCAACTTGGAAAAGAACAATTTGATAGATCGCATTTTGTGTACATATGTTGGGACCATGAGAGAGCCCAACCTGAGAATGAATATACCTTTACTTTAGAGGCAGATGGCAATAGTGATTGGAGCGTGGAAGAAAGACACAGAGAGATGGAGCGTGGAAAAGGGCGGGGAAATTATTCCATTTTCCTTGGGAGGCTGGCAGTGACAGCGAGGGGACAGAGATACGGATACGGACAGATGTTTTGATGTATTGGGTTTGAGACTAATAGGGCCTCGTGATCGGAGAAGGCAGAGATCCATGGAATACTGTTCCCCCTTGTCACGTGGGCTCTTTTGACTAGCCAATGACCAATCCATCTGCCCACTCGCTTTGTTAGGAGCGCCCCCCCCCCCCCCCCCCCCCCCTCTTCCCATTTTCCCTTCCTTCCCCAATCGCTCACTTCGAGTATAAATTCAATCCCCCGCAACCATTCTCTTTCAAGCACAACCCAAGACTTGAAGTTATACAAACAGTAGCTCCCCCTGACTGACTCTCTGACTAGGTCTGGCTGGCTTATTTTCTTTCTCTTATATATACTCCTATAAGAGCAGTAGTTACTATTATTTAACTACGTATACATACATACATACATACATATATATATATATATAATAACTGTTTTCTTTTGGGGGGGTTTTAAAAACGTTTCTCTCTGTCTGTAACATGCAACCTGGGTCCCTCTCTGTCCATATCCTTATATCTCTCTTGCTATATACACGCATGTACATCTCTTCATTTGCATTCGACGACAACGTGGACTGCAGGTGCTGACTGGTATTTCGCCATTTTATTAGCTTATAAAGCTACCAGACAACAACTGTCCTCAGTCCCCTCGCCTCTCGTACGTATCATTCATCTCTATCTCTTCCAAGTGTTTATTCAAACAATGTATTATTGCACTTCGCTCTCAGTTTTACTATTTGGCTTGTACTCTTCTGCCACTACCCTTTAACTATAAACTCACCATCACGTTTCTTTCTCTTCATCTGCCATCCCTTGTTTCTTCGTTTTTTTTCTTCTGTTTTCTCTGATCATTTGGCAACTGTAGGTTGATTGATCATTTTGAATCAACCCCATTTGATCTTTTTGATATCCATATATAGTGCTGAAATTGAGGTGAAAAGGTATAGTTAGGCCTTTGACATAATCATAGAAAAAATTTTGAGATATGATGCACAGGTGCAGTAGCTCACCAGGAAACATGGTGGGTCAATGTTCATGTGGCCAGTTTCATAGCCAAAGCAACTCATTCTCGATGCTGTTTTCCATGCCAAACCACAATTCTTACGATGAAACAAACATGTACCCTTTCACGTCCTCTTCATCATCTTCCGTCGACTGCACTCTCTCGTTGGGAACTCCATCTACTCGTCTTTGTGAAGATGACGACAAGCGTATCCTCCATGACAGCCGCTCTGGTAATTCTTGCATGTCTAACTTTTGCTGGGACTTGTTACAGAACAAGAACACACATTATTCACAGCAAACCCAAAAAGCCAGCCGCGGAAGCAATGGAAATAGCAGTAGCAGCTCAGGCAATGATCCTCTCCTAGCTCGCCGCTGTGCTAACTGTGACACAACTTCTACACCACTTTGGAGGAACGGACCACGAGGTCCAAAGGTATACAAAGTTACAAATTAACAATGCTTTCTTCAAAAACAAGTATACTTCTTTTGCTTTTTGTTTTATAGATTTTTCATGCTTTTTTTTTATTATATAATTGCAGTCACTTTGCAATGCCTGTGGAATTCGATTCAAAAAAGAAGAAAGAAGAGCTGCAGCAGCAAACTCAAACAAGTCAGGTGCAACAGCTTCAATGCTGGAGCAGCAAAATCATGGCTACCACGACAACAATTCATGGGTTCATCACTCGCAGAACCAGAAAATGCCATGTTTCCCTCCTGTTAGTGAATTCAGGTTCATTGAAGACAGTGATCGAGATTCTGATACTGGCATTCCCTTCCTTTCTTGGAGACTCAACGTCACAGACAGGCCAACAAGCCTTGTCCACGACTTTACAAGATGAGAAGAAAATAAAAGAAAAAAGAAGAAAAAGGAAAGAAAACCCCTTTCCCCATTCACAGTCAAGATCATGCAGCAATGACTGAAATGAATCACAATGATGATGTTGGTGGTGATGGTTAAATGGTCTCGTCAATTTTCTTTTTGATTTTTGGCTTTTTTAGTTTGTTTCCTTTGTCTCTGTCTTTTATAGATGAAGTAAGAAAGGGATAATTCTATGTTCTTTAGTTGCTTTTCATTTTTTATTGCTTTTCTTTTTCCAAGTTCTTTAACTTTTCCTACTCTGTCAGTTTTATATATAAAAACCTTTTTGTTTGAAGAGATTTTCACATTGACTTCCTTTCCCCAAGTTGCCTCAGTTCCTCTTTCCCCCCACTACGTGAAACGTTATTACCAGATCATCATGATCATGATGATCAGTTCAGCACAGTTAGATTGATTACTGATTTCCCTGGTGTAATGTAATAGATATAGGATGTATTGTACCCTTTTTTCATGTTACATGAACTGAAGTTTACTTTACCCGAGACTCTGGACTCTGAAGCTGCTGCTGCTGCTACGGCGTCTTGTTAGTTCTTTTCTTTTTCTCTGAATTTCACAAACTGGAAGATAGAGAAAATGGGCTTTCATTTCATTGTCATTGGAATTATTGGGTTTGATTCTCTGGCTGATAAATCTGATCGTCCGATTACTTTTGTGTTTAATAATTTGTGATTGTTCTAAGCCTGAAGACACTGTGCAGTTCAGCACACAGTAATGCAACTTGTCGTGTTAGGCTTTTTGGCCATGTCCAAAGCATACATATTCTTGAACCTTGACCGTCAAATTGGCCTCTAGTGCAGGCTCTCGCGAGATATTGTGAAAGTTCCACGCGATTTTATTTTATAAAAAATAATCTATAAGTTAAAGTTTAATATATATATATATCATTTTTTTAATATAAAATTAGAATTCAACATAAAATAAACATAAATTTATAAAATTAAAATTATATTATACGTTAAAATTTTAGATGAGTCAAATTTTAAAAATTACTTTTATTGTATAATAATTAATTTTTTTAATATTTTAAAAGTGATTTTTATAATATAACACTTAATTTTTATTTAATTGATAATCATTTTAATATCATCTATAAAGATTCATAATATTATCTTTATGATTTTATATCATAAATTTAAATTTAAAATTATATATATTATATCATATTTTTATATTTTTTTAATATAATATTTGAGACGTGAAACCTCGAGACACTCTGCAAAATGCAAAAATCCTGTTTCTTTTTCACCATTATTTTATGTTACTTTGGCTTTCTTTCTATTATATGTATACATATGTATATTGGTATTTGTATTATAAATATTCTGGTGCATGGACAGAAGTGTAATTACTAAAAAGAATGTTTGTTAAGGATGAGCACAAATGTGGAGGTCAAATTTCAAAATGCCAAATATGGAAGCGTTGTCAAATGGATGCTCAACCTTAAATGGAGCAAGCAAACCCCACATTTTAAATTTTGTAGATGGACGTCGTCTATACTCGATAATGATTGAATTCATGTGACAATCTCCAAGGCCTTACGCATTTTCTCCCAATCTTACTTTAATTTACATATGTCTAATTTTTAAAAAAATTAAAGTTGAAGTTTTGAGGAAAAAGATACCATAAATAGTAGTATAGAATAGTATAAAACTCTATGTTGTATCCAAATGTATACAAAAGGAACGTAGTTTGATATGATCAAGTTATGTTTGCCATTCAAATTTGAAAAGTCGTCATTTTGACATCTTTTATATGTAAAAATGACAATGATTCGGATCAGATTAGATTCAATCTAATTTTTTTAAATAATTTATTGTATTATGAATTTTTAAAATTCAATTAAAATTCGAACTAAATTTCTGTTAAAATTAATATAATTTGAACTTAATTCTATCAACTATATATATTTGTGTTTTTTTTTTTTGCAAAAAAAGATAATTAAGTGTGAATACTTGAATTTTAAATTCACTAATTATCTTATTAAAGTGAGTACATAAATCAATTAATCTAAAATTTTTATTTACTATAAAATATTATAAATTTAATGAATAATCCATTCAACTTAAAAGAATTTATCCTTCAAATCAATACCTTGATGGATATGAGTTTACATATATATTAAGGTACATTCTAGGGTACGTATATAATTAAAGTATACATAAATATATAAGGTATAAGAAAATTTATATAGTTTGGTATACTTCTAATTTAATTTAATTTTCTTTTTTAATAATTAATGGTGGCAGATATCTTTTTAGGTCATTAAAGATAGGCCAAGTAAAACGTTTTTATTTTTAAGTTCAGCCTAGTCTGGGCTTTTTTTATTTTGATCCATCCCACATACAAGCCTATTATATAAAATTGGTTTTAATTTTTCTATAATTTCTTGCCAAGACTTATGAGTAGTTGACTAGCCCCAATCCAACAACTTTTGCGTCAAAAAGCCCAAACTCGCCTTCTCCCAAAACCTTCCTAAGGAGTCAAAATCATGAACCCTCCGCCGCAAACCACCAGGATCTCCACTAGAAGCACCGTCAAGAAACTTTGTGAAAACCCCTCAGCGTCGTCCAAAATCCCATTCCGGCCGCGCAAAATCCGAAAACTTACCGCCAACTTCCCCGTTGACAACGCCATAAAATCCCCTCAACCTTCCCTCACCACAATCCCAAAATCTCTATCGACAAAATCCGAAATCGACCTCGCTCTCAACCATCTCCGCACCTCCGATCCTCTTCTCGCCACCGTCATTTCGACCCATCCCCCGCCAAAACTCTCTCCTTGTAAATCCCCCTTCCTCTCTCTTTCCAAATCCATTCTCTTCCAACAACTCGCCACCAAAGCCGCCAACTCAATCTACAGCCGCTTCATTTCCCTCTGTGGAAACGAATCCAACGTCCTCCCAAACACGGTCCTCTCTCTTACCCCGCAAAAGCTCCGGGAAATTGGCGTCTCAGCCCGCAAAGCAAGCTATCTTCACGATCTGTGTGACAAGTTTTCAACTGGGGTTTTGTCGGGTACTTCGATCCTTACAATGGACGATGAAACGTTGTTCCAAATGTTGACAGCTGTCAAAGGAATTGGGCCTTGGTCGGTCCACATGTTTATGATTTTTTCGCTTCACAGGCCCGATGTTTTGCCTGTGGGGGATCTTGGAGTGAGGAAAGGAGTCCAGTTTTTGTATGGGTTGAAAGAGCTGCCAAAGCCATTGCAAATGGAGCAGATATGTGAGAAGTGGAGGCCTTACAGATCAGTTGGGTCGTGGTACATGTGGAGGCTTGTGGAAGCTAAGACCAAAGGGAATGGAAACGCTCAAAGTGATGAAGCTGAACAAAATGAAGGGTTTTAGTTATGTTTTTAGGATTGAAAATTGAATCATTTGTCTAATTGTCTGTTTCTTCTTTAATTGCTTGTGTTGTCGTGCTTTTAAGTAGAATTAAATATAAATATGATATGTTTAATTTTACATGCTTTAATCCTTTTGAGCTTAAGGAAATCTGGGTCAGACGCTCATCTAAATGCTGTTATCCAGAAACGTGGATAAAAACCCAGTTGATGTTATCTTCAATCTAAAAGTCCAAGTGATGATAAACCCAAATAAGCCCAAGAATGTCCAATTCAACCCAACGAGATTACTTTCCATTTTCACGAAAATGCCAAAGAATAAGCGACAAACCAATAAGGCAATAATAAGCAACATAATTTTTAAGATGCGTTTGGTATATAAAATTATAAAATTATATTTAATGTAAAAAATAATAGATAAGATAATATAATAATTTTTTATAATATGTTTAGTTTGTATTTAATTAAAAGAGATAAGATTAAAAAATTTTAATTTTAATCAATAAATAAATTATCTTATTTTAATTCATGAACATATTAAATATAAAATAAAATGATATTATTTAATCTAATCATATTTATAATATTATCTTATTTATTTTATCATTATTTTATATACCAAATATTATCTAATAAGATAAGATAAAATAATATTATAAATAAGATTAAATTAAATAATATCATTATATTTTATATTTAATGTGTGTAAAGATTACGATAAAATCATTTATTTATTTATCAAAATTATTTTTTTTTAAGTTTATATTATTTAAATTATTAATATAATTTTTAAGGATCTAATAAAATATATAAATTTAATCCCATAAATTACAAATAATTATCTTTATTTTGAGATGATTGAATCATTTTATATTAAAAAAATTAATTTTTTTATAATTTTATTATAAATTAAAAATAATATAAAATTATTAATATATTATCATATTCGTCATTTTATGTATAAAATATAACTTTAAATTTTTATAACATCTTTAGAGAAAATGTTTAAACCCTTTATATTGCAAATTTATTTTATTAATTTTTTAAAAATTATAATTTAAAAATAAAAAAATTTGCAATTGATTAAATAATCTCATATTTATTGGATATTATGAATTAATTAAGCTAAAGTCCAAAATTCAACTCATATTATATTACATCATTTTAATTACAAGAGCATATTTTTTGTGATTTGATATTTCTTGTTCTTCACTTGTCGTAATCGATCTCTATCTCTATCTTTTGGCTTTGCTTCAGATCATTGATTTTCTAAAGGAAAAGAAATGAAAAATAGCCGGTCAAAAGATAAGTGTGTAGTACCTTTATTTATGATTGATAGGACAGGAATACCGGACATCCGTCAGACTAGCTAGAGGATAAGATTTGAGTGAAGAAAAAGAAATATTTAACCAATAATTAAGTAAATTTTTAATAATTTGTTAAATGAATAATTATGTTGCTAATTAATTTCTAGATATAATTTTTTTTTTCAAGGGAAAAACAAAGTCTTATTACAAAAAAAAAAAATTGATTCGAAATTAAATTTTTAATTTTTTTTAAAAGCTTATGTAACCATTAAATCACGAAATGAAAGACTTGGATATAGTTGTTAAACGCTACTAATAAACTCTTAACCATATGAAAATAGTAGTTGTTTATTAATACCAAAATTAATGTCTGCATCCATCAAATTTATGATTATCTTTGAAGAACATGTTCTTTTTGCTTTCGGCACCGCCAAAATCAATACATGCATGCTTTTTATTTTTTCCCTTTACTTTTTAGTATTTGATATTGATAAGTATATTAATAAAATAGAAGAATAATTTAATTAATTTATGTAATTATTATTAAAAAATAAAATTCAATATATTTAAAATTTAGGGCTAATTTCAAATAAATCCTCAAATTTTATTTTAATATGCAAACAAGCTCTAAATCTTTTCTTTTATGAAATTAAGATTGTGATTTTTTATTTTGTTACAATTATACTCATTAAATCTTAAAATTTGATGAATAATGTCTAATTAATAAATTTTTTAAATAATATCCTCTAAGTATTTATCATTGAATTCATCTATGAATCTAAGCAAGTATTAATATAAATTAAATCATACAATTAAAAAATTTTAAACAAAAAATTTCATATTTTATATTATCAAAGTTTTAATTACAATAAAATGAAAGTTCATAATGTTAATTTTATACAATAAAATATTAATGATTTATTTGTACTTTAGAATAGAGTTTAAGAATTTATTTGGGTATTATACCTTAAATTTAAATCACAAATTTCGTTTTTTTTTCTTAATTTTTAGATGGTGATTTTTTGTAAAACAATTAAAATTGAGAAAATCATATTTGTGATTATGGTTTTTTTTTTTTCCCGAAAAGTGAACAGTACACAAAGGCAGACAAACTCACAGATGATCCAAAGGAAGCGACTCAAAAATAGGAAGATCAATAATGCAAAATGTCTTAGTCATGCCCCAGCTTTCACATAAATATGTGTCCTAATGGCTTGACCAATGGATTGCCTTTTTTTTTTTTTTTTTAAATATCATATAATTTGTAAGAGTAATATTAATCTATTTGACAATTAAGATAGATTTTTTATGACTATTATAAATACTTGGATTTGAAAAAGATAATCTATATTTTCAAGGATTTTTTTTTGGGGAAGGTTGATCTAAGATCTAATCTATAAAGTGCATTGAAGATAAACCAATTCAAGGATCAATTCGTTTAAATCTAAAGATTTATCTAAATTTTAAAAAAGATTAGATAAAAAACTAAAAATCATTAAATGTGTTTGGGTATAATTTAAAAAATCAAACCTTAAATAAAATTTATAAATTTTAAATTCGGTTCAAATTCATATATATATATAAATTTTTATTTTTATTATACATAAATTATATCTAAATTAATTTTTATATATAAATTAAAAATAAAAATTATATATTTTATTAAACTAATTTTTACTTTTATATAACTTTTATTTTTAATTTATATATAATTTTATTTTTATTATATATATGTAAATTGAATATAATCAAATTTAATTTAATTTAATCACATATTTTTATTTTTTTATCATATAAATTAAATTTAATTAATGAATTTAAGATTTATTTTTTTATTTTGAGCTAAACTTAAAAAAATTTTGAGATCTAAAATTTTAAATTAAGTTAAAATTAAATAAATATATAAATTATTAATGTTAAATATAAGCCGCCATTAATCAATGCCTTTACTAGAAAAACATTGAAATGGGACCACTCTTTTTCACTGTATTTTGCATTTATGTGAAATTGCCCGTCTCATTAGGGTTAGTCTTTCCTACAATTAACTCTCAGAAACTAGATAAGCTATCTAGGCTAGTGCCCATACTCTTTATGAAAATTGAGTGGTGAGTTGACTGCTGCATGCGTCTCGATAATTACCATTTCCTTGTCGTGGAGTTGGATTGGGGAGATGGTTTGAACAAAAGAGATAGGAAGTTTCTTTGAGTAGGGCCATGGAAGGGGCGAATCCACCCACCAGCCATGTGATTGATATTTGAAAGAAAGCTGCTCTCTTAGTTCATTTTTTGTAGGCAGGATAGTGTTTGTGAAAGAGTTGTGTAAACCACTTGTTTTGCTTTTGAAGTTGAAGCATTTTCTTCAAAGTCTTTAATGCATAATCACAATCGAATATCCTTTGTGCTTAAGTCACATGGGATAAGGCCATGACCATTAGCTAAACCGTCTTTACTTAAATTGGAAACAATAAATTAGACTTTTTGTGTTCATATTTTATAAAATATTAAATTATATATTTATATTATATTTTATACAAAAATTATGTGTTATAATTCATATTAATTCATATATAATTATTATTAAAATTTTAAATTATATTATTTTAATATTATTTTTATATTATATTCATGTATTATTATGTCATATTTTAATTATCGAGTGTATAATAAATTATTGATAATAGAGTTCTTGTTTCTTAAGAGCTTCCATTTTGTTGGCAAAAAAAGGAAAAAAAGAGCTTCAATTTTGGATAGTTTGTCTTATTAAACCATTTTATTAATTAGTTAAAATTAATGCAATAAATTTTTTACAAAAAATCACAATTTGAAATAAAAAAAAAAGAATTACAAGTATTAAATTTAAATAAAGATTTGTTAAGTATTAATTTTAAAAAAATAATTGTATAAATAAAATTTGAATTTAATAACATGTCTTTTTTGAAGTGAAAAATAATAAAAATTTAGTTAAACACTAATAAAGAAAAATGGGACATAAATAATTAAAATTACTATTATATGAAGTATTTATCATTTACTCTAAAATTAATTAGTTAAGTCATTCTTTCTAAACTAAATTTAACTTAACGACAAAAAAGGACTTGATTATCGACTTTATAAAATCTTGCATGAAAAATTAAAAAATTCCAGGTTGGGCCATCATAGTCAGTCAGTCAGTCATGGACCATTAATCTTTTACCCTTGATTTGGAATTTAAATTGTTAGTGTATATTTTATGATTACTTGCTTGAATTATAATACTAATGAGAACATTATCCCTCTTAAATAATTAGTATAATTTTAATCTTAATTTTGGAAATTGATGCTAAAATTTTGATTATTATTTTTTTATAAAAAAATGATAGCATAAAAATAAAAGAATTATAAATATTAAATTTAAAATTGTTAAATATCATTTATCATAAAAATCTTTTAAAATAATATAAAATAAAAAAAATAAAATACTCTCTATCACATTTTTTTGTTCATTTTTTCTTTTTGAGATGTTTCAAAATTATATTTATTTTTTAAATATATAAAATTTTACTTTGTATATTTTAAATTTATTTTTTATGATTTATTTTTAATTTTTTGATATTAAAAATCATAAAAATTTAATTTTAATATTAAAATATTATTATTTTTTTAAAATTTCATAAAAATCAATACCACCAAAATAATAATTATTGTTAAAAGGAGATAATGTCACGCTCGGTACACTAATCAAACTTACAAGAGTTATCCAAAACTAACATTTTACGGGAAGAAGGTAATAACCACGTGATAATAAATAGTGGAGTCCTAATTACCAATTAGCATGTATTAAGTTGGAAGAAAGAGATTAGTGGAAATCATTAAGCTAAGAGCTGAGTGGGTAAGGAAAGCAAATGGAACTTTTTTGGGTTGTCGTTGGATTCCACATGCAAAATGCGTCAACTCCGCCTCTCAAATCATGCACGTACCCTCCCTTTCGCGTGCAATTTTTGATATGACTGAGGAGTGAGGTGAGCCCATCATCCAACCGAAGGTTGATTTCCCTTTGTCTTCATTATAGCTTTGAAAAGGGCCAGCCGGCCCAAACTGATCCCTACTCAATTATTGATTCATATTTAACAAAAAACAAAAAACCTGTTTCAAAATTTTGCGATTTTAATGGCTGAACGGGGTTGTTAGATGTAACACATGAATTTCATAGCAGCCAAGACAAAGAACCACATTAAACAAAGACAAGTCTTTTAACTCTTAATCTAATGATTAAGAGATTTTAAAAAATATATATAGACGTAAATTCTAACTTTGTTATAATGATATGATCAGATTGATATTATATTGAATATGTAAGATAAATTTAACATGTTAAATAAATTTAAATATCCAAAATATTTTGACTGTCTTTTGATAATTTTTAATAAGAAAAATAGATTAAAATGCCATTTGGATCATTAAATATCTTATCAATTTGAATGCAATTGAACTTATAATAAGATATAAATAAATTTTAATTATTATCAATTAAATTCAAATATTAATTTTAATAAAATTTATTTAATATAAAAATTTTTTAATCACAATTATAATAATTTTTTTAGTTCTAATTCTAATCATTTTTATTAGTATTTTTAAATCTCACCAAAATTAAATATTATCACCCATTCAAATGATCCCTTAATTTTTTTTACGTCTGAACGTGTTACCATGAATTTCATAGTAGTTTATGGTTCAAAGTAACCACCATGTCACAATAATCTGGAAAACTAAAATCAGGTGGCCCATGGAACAGGCCGACAGGGTGAGGGTGGTCCATTTAAAAAGGGCAAAGTCAAAGCAAAGGTTCCTGTTAGAACACAGGCAAGGCCTATAAGCTTTGAACCACATATCTGCCAGGTAAAATAAACAGCCCTACTGCCCTAGCTATGAGAGTGACTTGAGCTATACCGAAGAAGAAAGTCTGTGAGACACCTGGTTGGGCTTTTGCCACGTGTCCAGCCTCATTGCATGCATTATATAATTAAGAAAACAAGTTGTCAGGATGATTAGTTTAATCTTGATATTTATGCTTTGGAATTAACCTAATCTTGCTTGGAAATTGTTCCCTCCAAGCTCACAAAAGAAGGTGCCCCGTGGAGATAACTTAAAATAATTTTGTATCAGTTAACCTTTTCAGAGACCTAGCCGTTGGTTTCCTAATAAAATATACTAATTCAGAGTTCAGACAGAAAGATTATGCAGACACATGTGAACATGGTGTTTCCTAATTTGTGATACAAAACAAACCTTCGTGTCAGGTAAGAGAGAGCAAAGAAAAAAGAATTAGTATTTTTATTTCTTCGCAACATGTAATGCAAATGATGGGCACTTCCCTTTGGGTAATGGCAATATGCAATAACAAGATTTCTCCCAAATGAGGGTGTTCAACTGGGCCTTTGGTGGACCATTGCAGGACCTTGGTTGAGAAAACTCTTGCCTTTTTTCATCTCACTTTCTCACTAAAAAGGTGGAGCAAATTCAATTTGATTTGAAGAGAACAAAACTGAACTGGGGTATAGTTGAGACATGGTGCTCAAGAAGATAAAGAGCAAGAGAAATACACTAGAAAATGCTAAAGAGTTAGTTGCATATAGGAAACTATATCAATATCAGCTTTAGTTCAAAAGTTAAAACCAGATTTTTTGACTCATCAAGGTTGAATATTGACCCAGAAAAAAGGGGAATTAGGAGGGATTAAATGGCCGATATCAGATGGGAAGAGCTTATCTAATGTAAAGAAAAGCAGGGCCCAAAAAGAGGTGGTAAAGGGTCAAATAATACAGAGCAGATCAATTTAAAGCTACCTCTTTGTATTGGCTAACGTGTGTATCACTCTTACCACCAAGAAAACAAAGTAGCTACAAGCACAAAAACGATGTCTGATGGAGAAAGAGAAGAAAAGAAAAAAAAAGATGCCAAACAAAACAAAGCCTAGCAAAAATGGACTGGCTAAAGCCTTGATTGGGTAATCTTAGTGGAGTCTGCAGAAATTGCTGCTGGCGCACCCAAATGAAAAACAAGATTATGTAGAGTCGAGAGTCCTAGAAAGAAAGAGAGATAGGGAATCTGAAACACACTAAAAGGACAAGTGCAGTGCTGTGGACCAGCATTCTTGCACTTTAATTCCTGCAGCCCACGAAAGATCAAGGGGTCCCCCTCTCTTTCTCTCTCTCTCTCTCTCTCTCTCTTTCTTTTCTATTCTGTTTCTCTTCCTTTTGCTCATTATCTTAAGCCTAACCCCATGTTTAAGAGATTCTGTAATTGAGGTTTTGTGTCTGATGATGTGACAAATCTCAGACCTGATCAAAACTGTTCCGGAAATATTCCAGGCAAACAAGCCAACTTTCAGTTCGCAGGACATACTAATATTCAATTTTTTTTTCTCTCCTTGCTTACTGTCCCGCACATAAAATTTGCATTAGCTTTTTGCATTTGGGGTTTGTGGAGAGTTGCAGAGAGTGCAGGAGAAAAGATGATAGTTACAAACAAAACAAAGTGCTAGGGAGAGGCAATAATGAGGAGCTGGACCAGTTTGCAGGGTCCGAGAGAGAACTAACATGGCCTTGTCGGTTGTTCTGCAAGATTACTAGATCTCTGATCAGTGTCACCAGTCTCTAATAGCCATCACTGGTTGCAAACAAGCCCACCATGTTCCTTTGATAGATGGATTTTATGGGCTTGGATGGGTGAGTAGGAAACAGAACTTCCTTACATTTTTAACCTCTTCTCCTGCCTGCTTTTTTTTTTTTTTTTAAGCTCATCGTAGAGAATTCTTACATAAAAAACTGACCAGTCATCAGTTTAATTCATCGAGGTAAGTTCTTTTATAAAACTTTAATACCAGCTAAGGGCCCCCGTGTTATAGTCCCATTTCCTGTTTGAGCTTCCAAATCTATCTTAATCACTTTATCGTTTTCTATAAAATTAATCTCTTTTTGAGTCCCTCAAAAATTTTCATTTGTCTGTACACTGCTTAAGCACTTGCTTGCTTACGTCTTGTGGAACAGGATACGGTTGGTGGGTTTAGCACTAAAACGTGGAAGTCAGAATAAGAAAGAAGGAAATAATTTTGGGGTTAGCTATTGATTATTCCTTTGATTAAGAATAGATGGTGGCGAATTAGGGTTGAAAAGATTGCAAGGAAAGGTTTTTAAGAAAAAAATCAGCAAGGCCATGATGATGATGATGAAGATGGGTTTGAAAAGAAACATATTACTAGTATATTCAGGTTAATAAGGGGTGGCTAAGATCAAGGTTTTACATTGGAAATCTGAGTTAATGGAATTGAGAGGCCAAGAGGAAATGGGGATGCCAAACTCTTTTAGTTATAATAATCAACTCAACAGGGATTCTTCCTCAAAAGTTTCTTCTTCTGCACCTATAAATTCAGCTGTAGGAGAAAGAAGAAGAGATCAAACCATTCATGGCACTGACTCAACAATCCTCAATCGAAATCCACCTCAAACCCTAGATCACCACGCTCTTTACCACCCTGAATTGAATCCACAACATCAAATACACAAGCCCAGGAGAGATCCAGAACCAGACCCAGATCCAGTTTCAGCTCCATTAGCTACCACCAGTGCAACAGTAACTGCTACAGCTAACAGATCAAGCCTGAAATCACCACGGCAACAACTTCCAACATCACAGCCCCCACCAGTAGATGGTCCAACACCGACACCTATCAGCTCTACTCCTTTGATTAGATATAGAGAATGTTTGAAGAACCACGCAGCCAGCAAGGGCGGCCATGTTGTGGATGGCTGTGGAGAATTCATGCCAAGCGGCGAAGGCGGCACCCTGGAAGCCTTGAAATGTGCAGCCTGTGATTGCCACAGGAATTTTCATAGAAAAGAAATTAATGGGGAAACACAATATGCACCAAGCTGTTATTATTCTTATAATCCCCACAGAAACAATACAAGAAGAGATCCTGCGCATCCTCCTCAGCTTCATCCTCAACAACCAGCCCCTCTTCATCAACAAGGATTCTCCCTTGGCTTGTCTACTAGTCCTTCTACCATGCCAATTGCACCTGTAATGATGAACTTTGGAGGTGGCGGACCCGCGGAGTCCTCAAGTGAAGATCTGAATATGTTTCATTCTATTGCAGGAAGGCAATCATCATATCCACAGCCATCAAAGAAGAGGTTCAGGACAAAGTTCAGTCAAGAGCAAAAAGATAAGATGATGGAATTGGCTGAGAAGTTGGGTTGGAGAATCCAGAAGCGAGATGAGCAAGAAGTGCAGCAGTTTTGTGCTCAAGTGGGAGTAAAGAGACAGGTTTTCAAAGTTTGGATGCACAACAATAAACAAGCCATGAAGAAAAAGCAAATGTAAGAAAGATTTTTCTTCCAAGCACTTGAAAGTAGCAAACTCTCCCTAGATAGAATAATTTTAGATAAGAAATGTGCATAACCCAATAGAGAGAAATTAAGGAGGAAATAGATTAGAACTCTTACTATATTTACTAATTAATTTTCCACATTTGTCAGACATGTTTGTTTAACATCATTGAATCTGTAATCTTTGTATTTCAGATAATTTCTGACATATCACAATTCTTAGAAACTTTGGCAACACACAAAGATCATAGTAGTTCTTCCATTAAAACATGTAGGAATCTCACTTTGTCAGGATTTTTCATTAAAGGAAATGTTAGTCAACCTGTCACCTTCCTCTTCTACGAATGATTCTGAAATATACAGTACAATCCTTAAAGACATTATTGTCAACACAAGAGTGCACATATAAGAATCTCACCCATAAGGCAAAAAACCAAGTTGAACAAGAATGTTTCATATACTACAATTACTTTTCCCCAAAGAGAGAAGAAAAATAAGCAAAATTTTATGTATGCAGATCTTTTCCCCCCCCTTTTTTTCCCCAAAGTGTTCCATTTGGCCCATTAATCATGGTACCTTTGGTTGCTTCCAACCCTACCATAAAAGTTGTATTTTCCCCTAGAACTAAAGCCGGGGCAAACGGAATTTGACAGGTTTTTCAAGCCAAGTTATTGTAGTTTCGAAATTTGAAAAATTCTTGTTTTGTAGTTTAAAAATAATTCCATTCGGGGCCAAATTAGATATGGCTGTCCTCATTTTTTTGTATCTTCATGTGAAATGCGAACAGAACTATTTGACTAGTTGGCCCCATCAAAGCTATAGATTGAAGGGGACTTATCCTTCTTGAGAGATTCTTTCAGGGTGAAGATATGCTGGAAATATGGAAAATGCTAGACAATCACTTGCATTGCACGTATAGTAGATTGATAAGTCTTAAGCCTGTGACATTAACTCTCTTTCTCTTGTTTTTTTCTTCTACAATTAATAGACTTCTACTCTTCATTTTTCTCAAAATACCTTTCATTTTTCTTAGAATACCTGTGTCTGACATATATTCGATGGACTTGAGTATGAAAATCCGATCTTTCAAATAAATTATGAAAAAACTTTGTAAGATGACAATCACTTCTGAAGCCAGTAACATAAGATGACAATCACAGTAATATAAGATGACAATCACTTCCAACTCCTACGAGTAACACAAGACTAAGACGTAGATGAATGAATATATAGTTCAAATACATAGAGAAAGGGCATTTCAAATAGTTCTAGAAGCGCACTATCCATAACAAATCAGCTATAGAAATAACCAAAACGTTGAGAATTTGCATGAAATTGCCCGTGTGGAACTTGCTGATATTGAATTATTATTGCTATATTACATGTGAGTTTTTTTTCCTTCTAAGAGTCCTTGGCAACTCAATGATAAGAAAGGAATAGGGTTGGGGAGGAGTGGGTGCTCAAACCTTCAACTCAGTACTGTTAAAGAAAAGATAGAAGAGCTTAAATAAATCATCAGAAGACATACTAACCGAACTTGTAAAGAAGTATAATAACTTGGTGTAACGTCAACTTGGGGTGGGCTCGAAATATTCAGCTTCACATGTATAAATTCTGGAAGGACAAGTAGCTGAATCAAGAAGAAATAAAAACAGAAGGAAAAAAAAAAGTGTACAGGAAAGTTAGTCCAACAGCATGCAGGGGGGAACAGCTAAGAGCCACAGATAATCAATAGAGGAAGGTCCCAGCCTCACAGGCATTTAAGAACAATTCACATTAATTCCATTGCTTGAAAGGGACATCTAGTAAAGAGAAGGGTGCCCAAAACGAAAAGCCTGGACAATTAATGAGGAGAATTAAGATAAGGAGAAAATAGAGATGGAAAAAATTGAGGATGGGAGAGAGAAGAGAGAGGAAAAGAAGAAAGAGTTTCCCCTAGTTAAAAAATTACATTAACCCTTTCAATTTGTTTATTGCCTCTAGTTTAACCAAATCAAAATCCTTTTCAGAGGTTGTGTCTGGAAATAAGGTCACAGATTTTTAAGTGTTGAGATATGAACTCTATGCCTGTTTGATACTACTTTGATTGTATAAATCAATTAAACTAAATTTGGATTCAAATTCAATCCTTTTCATTTGAAGGCAATTTACCTTGGGATGAAAAAACTAGTTTAAGCTACCTTTTTGGTTTAATACTACTATATACCAAGTTAATTCATCAACTCCCTATCGTCTATCATAGATGATATTGCGATTTCTCATACGTGAAAAACTTTGCCATATTACCACTTGTAGTCCTCCCATACTTGAGCTTTAAAAAGGATTAGATTGACTTCTACCAGTTAAATAGATTCTAAATCTGCCATCTCTAGGTACCTTTCTTTATTTATTTATTTTTATTCTATTTTCTTCTTTTTTTAAATTCATGTGCTAAAATTCTGTAGATTTACTACAGAGAAGAATGGGAAAAGATGACTTCATTATACTAGAAACTTAATTCAATTCCAAATATAGCTAGTAAAGCAACAATTTTAAGGAGAAAATCTACATGGCAAATGGGCTTCATGGTCCAGATTCCAGAGATCAAGGTTGCTCCATCAGCAATTTCTATATATACAAATGTGATTTATCCATTCAAGTTCAATCATGAAGCCCACCACATTGTCTACTTCAAGCCCAGATTCTCTATGCACTAGAATTTTGAGGTTAAAAAATAAATGAAATTTGCTTTTAAAAAATAAATGAAATTTGTTATGGGTAATACAGTATGTGTTCAATATACTTCCAATTTCTTTTTTTTTTTTTTTTCAAATATACTACCGAAATGAGCAACAGACAATCCACGAATTATTTCTTCAAGGTCTATATGCCTATGTCTGCATGTATCCTAAAAAAGAGTATGTTTCAAGAACAGGAAAGAAATAAAAACGGTCATGACTTACAGATAGCTTCACAAAGTCAGCAAATGTAGCTCCACTCAAAGTTCTGCGCTATTCACTCTCATCCTAGCTCCAAGATCACCCACAGCCTGCGAAGCCTTCTCTTTGGCTGCCTCATACTTAGCCTTAGCCTCTTCATTCATGGTCTCCTTGGCTGATGCATACGTTTCTCCTACCTCGATCTTAGCTTCATCATAGGCATTGGCAACTCTATCTTTTCCATAACCCATTGATCCTGCTGCCATCTCTTTAGCTTCATCCCAGGCATTTGATTCTTTATCACTTCCATAATTTACTGCCCCAGCCATATTCTCTTTGACATGAGAGACATCATTGGAAGCTGTATTCATTTTTTGACTTCCTTCCTCATAGGCATTGGCCACTTTGTCTCTTACATATTGCATAGCTCCTGTCATTGTTTCTTTGACATCATCGGTTTTGTTGGAAGCCACATTTGAAGCCATCTCAAACTTCTGGGTGGCTTGATCATAGGCATTGGCTGCTTTATCTCTTCCGTACTCCATTCCATCAGCAATTGTCTTCTTGGCATCATAGCCGCCATCTGAAGCCATGCCTGAAGCTATTCTTATCTTCTGCCTAGCTTCGTCATAGGCATTGGCTGCTTTGTCTTTCCCATAGTCCATTGCTTCTGCCATTGTCTCTCTAGCATTACCAACCTGATCTGAATCCATATCTGTAGCCATGTTAAGCTTCTGGTTGGCATTATCAAATCCATCACCTGCCTCCTAGTAAGCCATGTTTGCTCCCTCTCTAACCTTTTTGGCAGCATAATTTGATGCATCTGAAAGGACAGAAGTAACAAATCAAACAAATCAAAAACGAAAAATAAATCCTAATAATTACAAGAACCAACTTTGGCTTGACATTAGATTAATAGGAAAGACATAAGATGAATTAATCGTTACCAGATACAGGAGAATTGATTTTATCTGTGGTCCTTGAGTAGGCATCTCCAGCTTTATCCCTTAAATCTTTAGCCGCCTCTCTTGCATTCTCATATTTAAGTCCTAGAACCCTACCTGAATCATTGCAACTGTAAGAGACAGACAACCATATTTACCACAATTTATAAGCTAAACCGATCGCCTACTTTCCTCAATCCTATTAACAATTTTGGCGTCTTTGTTCCATATACTCAACAGAATCATGCACAAGAAACAAATGATAAAAGAAACTTCTTTAATTCCTAACAATAAGAAATAAAGGCCAACAAATTGAGCAAATTGCCTTTTTCTCTCAACTCTAAAGAAGACAAACACTATTTAATAAGCACAATTACTTTATAGAATTGGCCTGGATAATAATAAAATAGTACAATATAAACAGATTATATATGCAATTATGCATTTTTTGTACATAGTAGTATGTTTTAAGTTCATGTTGATCATTACTCAGTGAGCTTGTGAAAGCCAGAATCAGACCAGGAGTCCTGGGTTTTGTCATCGGCTTCTTGCATGGCTTCAGCCGCACCATGCTTGATTTCTTTTGCTTTGATTTTGGCATTCTCTGCTGCGGCATTCGCTCTCACCTTTGCCTCCTCTCCCCATCCCCAGCAAACCGACACCAACATCACCATTATCATCATCATCACCACTTTCTTCATCTCCATCTACCTTAATTATCTCTCTTTTCTTTTTCCTCTCTAAGATTTTTTGTTTGTTTCTTAGGAAAAAAAAAAGCGTTGCAGTAACAAAACCAATTAGATCAAAACCCGGAAAAAAAAGTTTCTCTAAACCTTTGCGTTTGCAGAGAGGGAAAAAAAAAAGGCAAACAAAGCAAGGGTCATAACGGAGGAAGAAAAACCGTTGGTGTTGCAACGTGGCACTGCAACGGGTAACGTGGCTGAATAGGGAGCTGTTTAGGGAAGAAGAAACGCTATCATCATGCCACGTGTAATTAGGGCAAGGGTACTGTTGTCGGCATTGCATTAGATCTTTGTTCATTGACTCCGTTGCACGGGGTTCGGTTCTTTTATGGCCCAACGTGGGGGAAGGAATTTTTAAATCTCAAACCCAACTAAAACACACTTTTGTTTTGTCTTTTTCCTTTGCTTTTTAACTTGCCCTTTACGCATTTCTTGGGTTTTTCGTTTTCTTTTTGCGGAAATTATGGTGTCTTGAGATGATTTGGAGAATTGTCGGCAAATCCCAAGCACAACACGTCAATGCCAACATTAAGACAAGCGTTTATCGTGTAATGTTCCAATAGTTTCAAAAAATAATTTTGAACGAACTAAATTGATGTGAAAAAAATTAAATTTTGAAAATAATTTTGAATTTACAAAACCAATTACAATACAGAAGCATTTCCAAAATAATCTTGACTGTACATTCAAATCAATGCGAAAGAGTTGCACTGATCATGATCCATGGAGCATCGAGTTTTCAATTTTGGCCCATTAAATCCAATAGGGAAGCAAAGATGAACGGAGAAGAGCACGATACAGAACCTAATCGCACTTGGTTGCAAGACAAAAACAAAATTTACTATATGAATATTCATGAATTATTTAAATTTGATTATAATAAAATTTGATTTTTAATTATTATTGAGTTGAATTTAAATTTAAGTAATTTGATTTATTAAACAAACTAAATTCTAACATCTTAATTACTCGAATAACTCACGAATTTAATTAAAATTTTAAATTTTAATATATTTTTATTATTTTAATTTAAAAATTATTATTTTATTTTTATATATAAATTCGAATTCAATTTTAAATTTAAATACATAATTGAGTTTGAAATCGAATTCATTTTTATTAAACGAATTTAATTAAGTGAATTCAAGTAACTTAATTTTTATTTTAAATCAAATTTAAATTTAAAAATTAAAATTTAATCAAATTCGAATCAGTTAATATCAAATTTCTTATTATATTAATTTCGCTCTTAATTTGAAGGAAAAAAAGCTGCTCTATACTGCAAGTAAAAATATTAGTAAGTAAAAATACTAAGATGGCAAAACACCTTCAGCAGCCAATTTTATTCCCTGGTGATGCTCCAACCTTGTAATTTACTATTTCCTTAAAACAGCTGAGAATCCGGTACACAGTCTGGGCGCCCATAGACGGCTGCCTGGATGCCAGCCACGAGTTTTGCTATCTCACTGCCAGAGATCAACCGTCACTTTCACCACAAAGGCACTAACTTAAATAAAGTTTCAAAAGTTGGAATCGTTCTTCCTTCCCTGGAAGTGGGAGCTCAATCACCTCATCAATGCCATCAGTGATAGCACTGTCAAGATCCCCTGGTCTGTTCGTGGCAAGCACAAGAACTATATCTCGACTGATCTCCAGTTCGAAAGAGCAATGCATTCAAAGCGCTCCGCTCTGCTTCACTCATATGTATGCTGTTATGCCTGCATTAATGAAATCAACAGCACAGTCACTAATTGTCAACGAAAAGAACTAATTCATTGGCAGAGAATTTACATATGATATATTGTCGGTGTATAAATTTTATATATTATAATATAATTTTATTAATTAATAAATATTAATTTTTAAAATAAATATATAAAATTAATATATTTTTTAAATATTTATTATCTTATTTATTTTATTAATGAAATAATTGCATCAAATATAAATTTTAATAGAAATTACAATTCCACCTAAAAACTTTAAAAGTTATAAAAAACTACAAAAGTCATAAAAATAATACGATGGTTATCTAAAATTTACAAAAATTATAAAAAATATTACAAATATTACCAAAGTATTAATAAGATTACCAAAATATATAATGTATTTGAATTTATAAAACCTCTATAAAAAAATCAATAATTAATGTATAAAAACAAGATCTAAATATGTAATATTCCAATTGTGTTGAAATGTCAATTTTTATAAAAAATAAATTTAAATTTAAATTATCAATAGAAAATGAACTTGATATTGAAATCTTCAAAATCACTTGAAAATTTTTATTATGATATTATCTTCATAATTTGAAATTTTTAGGACTTTAGAAAAAAAAAAAACATTTCAAATGGGCTTTTTCAATTAGTTTGAGTACTTCTGTTTAATTTGGTCCAAGCGACCCAAAGCCCCAACCCTAGCCTCTGAACTATTTCCCAAGCCTTCCATTGCTGCCTTTGCCCACCCAAAAGTTAGAAAATTTCTTTTGGGCTTCTGTTTCTTCTCTTTTTGTAACGTGTTCGAACGGTAAAACCCTGCTCTACCTTGGCTTGAACCCTAGCTGGCTATCGCAAATCTCTTCTCCTTTACCACAACAATGGAGACCGAAACTTTCATAGACTCCATGGATTTTAAAGTTCAAGAGTTGTTAAAGGAGGTTCGTCTCGAATATTCACCTTCTCTTACTAAGGTTGTCAACGACACCGTTTCCGCCATCAAATCCGCCATAGATAAAATACCTGAAGATCTTCAGGTATTTAAAAAATGTAATTTTTTTTCATTTCATATAAGGGGAAGGGAATAATAATGAAAATTTTATATTTTTAATTAAAAACTTGTGAAGGTTAATGCGGATTGGGCTCCGGGTTTTGTGAGAGATATTGGCGCAGACAAGGTGGAATTTAAATTCAAGAAGCCAAAGTCTATTGAAATTGGTGGTAGTTATTCAATAGGTTGCGTAGCAAAGCCAGATGTTAATGTGGATCTTCTTCTCCGGTTACCAAAGGTACATTTGTTTCCAATGCATAAATTCCACATTGAGTATGAAAAGTTTATGTATAATTTTGTTTAGTTTATGAAATTGGGCATAGCATTGCATAAAATATCGCGAATTCGGTTTTATCTTTAGTGAGTTAGAAATGATTACTATGGTTTTAAATTGAGTTACTTGGTCTGTGTATTAATATCAAGTAAAAGATGTTGATGTTTCCTAACAATTTTTTAAAATGTGGCAGGAGTGTTTTCATGAGAAAGACTATCTAAATTATCGATATCATGCTAAAAGGTGCCTTTACCTTTGTGTTATTAAGAAGTATCTGAAATCCTCTTCATCAATTCAGAAGGTTGAATGGTCCGCTCTGCAAAATGAGGCTAGAAAGCCTGTATTGGTTGTCTATCCAGGTTTATTTCTTACTTGAATTCTCTCTGAAGTTATGCTTCCTCATATTGTTATGACTTGGCAGTTTCTTAAACTTTTCTAACTATCCCCGATTTAGTTAAATTTGAATAATGGCATTGTAGCTGTGAAACTTGATGAAGTACCTGGGCTTTTTATAAGAATAATTCCCACCGCAACATCCCTATTTAATCTTTCAAAGTTGAACTTGAAGCAGAACAATGTACGAGCTCTGAATACTGGTACTACATAGTCTTTCGTTCATCTTTGTTGTTGTTTTTTGAGATGTATGGTGAATGTTCATCTCTTTATGCCAATGATGTATGTCCATAATTTTTATGTAGGGGATGTTCCTCAGCCTACACCCAAATATAATTGTAGCATATTGGAAGACATGTTTCTAGAGGAGAATTCAAAATTTGTTAAGAAAACATTTTCTGAATGGGAGGAATTGGGTGAGGCTTTAATCTTGCTGAAGGTATGATGTCATATACTTTAAGCATTTAAACATTGAGTTTTTCAAGCCTATACACTGCATCTGAAATTGTTACTATGTTATTATTGCAGGTTTGGGCTCGGTTAAGAAGTTCGATATATGTTCATGATTGCTTAAATGGGTTTCTAATCTCTGTTATAGTGTCATACCTTGTGGCACAGGATAAGATTAACCATGATATGAAGGCAATGGCCATTTTTCGTGCCGCTTTGAAATTTATTGGTATGCTAAGCTTTAATAGTTATTTTTATATATGTATATGTAGAGGCTCACAAGTTGTCAGATTTAGTTAGAGATTCAAATTGTTCTTGTTCCACAGATACTCATCCATTGTGGAAGCATGGACTTTACTTTCCACCAGCAGGCGATAATGCTTTCTCAGAGGAGGTCTGTTGTGTGATTTTCATTGGCTTCTTTACTTTTTGGTATATGCTACTTGGAATGCCATCCTTGTGCATGTTTTATACTATTAAATTTTACCTTAATTTAGATGTTTAATATTATAAAACTTTTGGATCTATCATCCTAGCACATGCCTGTGAACTTTCATTTTTCTAGATCAATGATTGAAATTACGAAAATAAATAATGATATAGTTTGCAGACCTTCCAATCAATGGTTGAGCATGTGGATTTTGGTAGTCTAGATATAGTTTAACTTTTAAGATATAGCTCAATGTTGTGCTGAAGACAGCTAATCATGTTATGAGCTCCCAACTAAACATCCTTAATATGCTCTTCATTAATTTATTGGTGTTTAAAATTGTAACCTTGCTTCCTTGTATGTTACATGGATTTATATGTATGTATCTATTCATTGGGCTTTGGAATCTCAGGGAAATGAGCAGCATAATTCTTCAACTCGTGTTAATTTGGCTTTCAGAATAGCGAGTGTTGCTTATCCTGAGGTACTATTATTCATAATATATACTATGTTATATGCAATTATTTGTGTTGTTGAGTCCTCATATAACTTTGGTTAGAAAACCTATATGTTAATTTTGTAATTCTTTTTGTTATTTTTTAAGATTTAATCAATGTTATTCTTTTCAAAAGATTCCTTGTCTATATATTAACTTTTACTGATGATAATTCAAAAGGTAATTTTTAAATCTGATTTCTTTTGACTGTATGAATTTCTTCTAAGAAATGTATATGTTTCCTCTCACGTTCAGCTCCAAGATGAAGTTGCGTTGACACTTAGGTGTCTAGAAAAATGCAGAGATGGTGGATTTGAGGAAATTTTTGCAACCAAGATTGATAATGCTGCTAAATACGATTATTGCATTAGGTATGTATCGATAACTTGATTGTTGTTTCATTGTTGCTTTTTGTCTCGTAGAAAATGATAGGTGGTAATATTGATCCTGAATTTAGTTTTGTTCCTCCTGTTTGTGGTTATAAAACAATTATGCTTGAGCATTTAGAAGCATCTTACTTCAGATGTTAATTATGCGTTTTGATCTCATATAGTCAACCAAGAAAGAGACTAGGTTCTATGGTCAATGAGTAATTTGATGTTGTTATTGGATTTCCTCCAAATTTTTAGTAAATAATTAGTTATCTTACTGAATGGATCTTGCTCTTAATGCCTAGTTGCTTAAAACAACAACTCTTTGAAATGATACATTCTTTTTGCTACTTATATTTATGATGCTTGTTTGAGGACTTGTGAAATCTATCGCTCTTTTCATCTTTTTGTTATCATTATTTTACATTTTTGCACTTGTCAGATTGAACTTGAAAGGAAATAGTGAGGTTTATTCTCTGGGATTTTGCTTGGATGATGAATGTTGGAGAGTGTATGAGCAGGATGTACATTGTTTGCTTAATCAAGGATTGAGTGATAGAGCAAAGTTTATTCGTGTTATTTGGAGGAACACCCATTCAGAATTTAATGTTGAAAATGTATGGAATCCATTATTAACTTTAGCTTCTTCCTTTTTTCTTTTTTGGACAAATTTTTTGATTCCACTTCTAAAGCTGTGTCATTACTCCAGGGCTTATCAGGACTTGGTAGCGAACCATTGTTTATTGGAATTTCTGTTAGCTCTGTAGAGAAGGCTTTTAGAATTGTAGATATTGGTCCAAATGCTGAAAAGAAAGATGAGGTATTTGTTTTCATTTTTTAAAAAAAGTTTATTAATTGATTGCCCAAATTATGGAGTTTGGACTAATCTTCATTGTCCTGCTATAGGCTCTCATGTTCCAAAAATTTTGGGGTGAGAAGGCAGAGCTCCGGAGATTTCAAGATGGTAAAATTTCAGAAAGCACAGGTGAGAAAACCATGGTCCTGTATTGGCTGATTTTTAATTCATTAAGTTGTGTAGTTACCCCTTCAAACTCCATTTCCAAACCCCTTCAAACTCCGTTCCCAAACCAACATGAGAATAAGCCTAATGACTTCCATTTTTTTCTAGTGTGGGAAAGTGAGCAGTGGACAAGACATCTCATTTTAAAAAGAATTATTGAGTATTTACTTGGACGCCATCTTTCGTTGTTGAAAAAGGATATTGTTCAAATAGTGGATCAGCTTGATTTCTCCCTGCTTCATGTTGGTAAAGGTAATCCCACTGACCGTTAAATGCTTTCTGTTTTTTTGCTGCTTGTTTTTAGTTAATCATGCAATGGTGGTATCATTTTCTTAGACCCAGTATCATATTCCGGAAGACTGCTTGGAACCTTTGAAGAATTGTCCAAACGTTTACGTTCTATTCAAGATATTCCCTTGAGGGTATCTAGTGTGCAGCCTCTCGATTCTGGTATTTTTATCTTAGAAAAGCTTTTCTTTCTTCTTTTGTGTAGTTCTTTTCTTTATATTTTTTTGGAAGTTTAGGGGGTTAGGATCCAAGGGATGTATTATGCATGTGCCACTCCTACTGACTTGATTGATTGGCTTAATCTATTATATTCACAGCTTTCAGGTTTACATCAGTTTTCCCTCCTGAACCTCATCCTATGGCTACTAAAAGGGTTGATGGTGCAAGAGTACATAATTTCACCCCATTCTGCGTTCAGTCACTTGAAGTTATGATTCAGGCATGTTCTTATTATGTCAAGTCATTCTTTTCCTTTGTAATCTTATCAGATAGCTGAATTTCTTTTTTTTTTTTTGCTGATTTAGTTGGAAGGTTCTGGTAATTGGCCAATGGATGATGTGTCAATTGAGAAAACTAAATCAGTTTTCCTTCTCAAAATTGCAGAGAGGTAAGTCATGGTGGCAGCATTTGTCCCTAGGCTATGTTAAATATATGGCAAATGTTTTTTTTTTCTTTTTTTTTTTTGGAAAAATCTAGTTAATTAAGTGTTATGGCAGTCTCCATAATAACTGGGGGATGACATGTACCGCTACAGAGGAAGACGTGGATGTTTTCATGGATGGATATTCATTTCGTCTTAGAATTTTGCATGAGAGAGGCCTAAGTCTGGTGAATAGAGAAAGTGAGAACTCTCAGCTTGATGTATGAATTATTTGTTCTTGAACTGTTGTGATGTTGTGTTACAGAACTCATTTCGTGTTGTAGTTGGGCGTGATCAAATGAAGTGGGTTTCATCTGCTGATCGAAAGCTTTTCATTCATGGTCAACATGCAAGCATGATTAATGGATTGCAGTTTTGTTACCCAATATTTGGGCCAGTTGTTAGGTGCAAATTTGACTTATGTTAATTTATTGAGTCATTTCTATGGTTTTTAATTATTGAATTTTGTTTTATCTGGTTAAAAGAAAGGAATCTGAAAATTTCCTTAATTTTGTGGATTCTGTTTTAATTGCAAAGGCTTGCAAAACGATGGCTTGCTTCGCATCTCTTTTCAGCTTGCTTGGCAGAGGAGGCTGTTGAACTATTAGTTGCCTACCTCTTTTTGAAGCCTCTACCATTTAATGTTCCCTGCTCGCGGATCACTGGATTTTTAAGGTTGACTTCTCTCTTTCACTTTGAAGTTTCATTTAGTAAGAATCTTTCTTGTGCCCCGAAACAGTTAACCTTGAAGTTTTTCTTGTTTTGACTAAATATGCTGGTAAACCTGTACTATACTTTCCTAACCGCATTGTGGTGTGCGGTCAAGCTTGCTTGAATTTGCATTTCTAGTTTTGAATTTATATGGAATTTACTATTCTGAGATGCTAAAGTTGCAATTAATAAAATTATAAAATGATTAGGATGTATCCTACTTCATAAATGTGTAGTTAGTTCACATATCTCTGCTGCTGATTGGTGCAGCAACAATTTGAAATTACTGCTGAAGGGACTAAATGAACTAACAATTGACATTCCCTTTGCTTCCCCATTTTTTTTACTATGAATATCAGGTTCCTGCGACTACTTGCAGAACATGATTGGGCCTTTTCTCCATTGGTTGTTGATATAAATGGTGATCTGAGCCAAAATGATGAGAAAGAGATTGATGTAAGTTGCTTAGTTCAGAAAATGATTAATTAAAAGTATATGATACATTTTACATCATCATGTTTGTTCTTGTTAAGTTGTTATTAATTTGTATGCTGCTTGTCTAGGATTACTTTATGCAAAGTAGAAAAGCTGATGAAGAAAACACCCAAAATAAAAGCAAGGCCATGTTCCTGGCTACTGCTTGTGACAAGGCCTCTGAAGCTTGGACCAGCTGCTCGCCAAACCCGTTGGTTAGTGATCCCTTTGAATTGAATTTGGTTGCATTTAACTCCATCAACCTTGAGGTTTATGGTTCTTCAGCTGAATGTCTGTTGCGTGAAGCTTTTGAGGGGGCTTAACTAAAACTCCTAGGAGTCAGTCAAAGGATTGGTGATTTATTGTAACGGTTGCTTTCCTGCTTGGTGTGTGTGGGACGGGATGTCTAGATTATTAGTAATTAGTTGGTTGTTCAAAGACATATATATGCTCAATTGATGCTTAACCATGTTATATTCTCTTTATTTCTTCCTTGATCTTAGGAATCATTTAAGAATGGAAGTTTATCTGCAAGTATTATGACATTCACATATGATCCCTCCTCCCCAACCTTGTTTTTTCTGGTATCCTGCTTTGACGGATTGGGATGATTGACAATTCACTACATTAGTAATAAACTATCTTGAAGGGCCACTAGTTTGTAACAAGTTGAAACCAATGAGTTTGTATGACATTGTATTGAGCAATTCTCGAAAAGAACACACCTTTAATTGAAACAATTTGTCTGATAGAACTTTTGCAACCTTGTGCTTGCTTATGTTGATTAGTGCTAGTAATAGACCTGCTTATTTCTTACAACTGATGCATTTTATTGATGCAAAAGGAGCTTAAAAGGTTGGTGGCTTATGCTCGAAGCAGTGCAAACTTGTTGACAAAACTCATATTGCAAAATCAGACTGATTCCCATGGATGGGAGGTGCATTATACACACTCGTTGACTTTTGGCATTGCATTCCTGTTTTTCTGCTATCACATGTTTCTAAACCTATAATTATATTGACCAATTTTTGTCTTGCAGTGCCTTTTCAGAACGCCATTGAACCTCTATGATGCTGTAATCCTTCTCCATGGAGACAGATTACCTTACCCAAAGCGTCTTCTCTTTACATCTGAACTGGACCAAGGTATGTTCCTGGGAGGGCAAAAGTTTGCAAGAATATTATCATATCTTTTTTTTTTTTGTATCAATTATTTGTTGCGGTATTTTTTTTTAAATAACTCATATTAGTATTATTGACAATATAATAATGATTGGTCAGGGAGGCATGTGGCTCATGGCAATCCTAGCAATGCTTTCCACCCGTACCTATTGCCTGCTGATATGAAGGGTAGCTTAGAGCAACTCAAAACCAAGCTAATGGTAAACTTTGATCCACTAAGGTGCTTCATTGGGGATGTAGAGGTAAATATTTAGGGAAAATCTTTGATGTTGACCTTAGCAAAGCATTGATCTTTTGTGCTTACATATTCTTTACATCTGCAGAAAGAGTTCTCCGACGGATTGAAGCTTTGGTATGATTCTTTGGGAGGTGATGCTATTGGTCTAACATGGGAGCACTCGAAGGTACGATTGACTATGCATTAAATTTCTAGTGATAATATTTCCTGATGTGCAATAGTCTACAAATCATATTGAATTCTGATCTATACATTCACTTTTCAAAGAAACGTGAACGAGAGGAATCAGAGCTGGACAGAAAATATCCAGTCGATTTGTTGAGAAATGTAGGTGAAATGGGGAAAGGATTTGTGAGGGATGTTTATTTGCTCAAGGCTCCCAGGCTTACGAAGTAAGGGAACCCATACTTTTCTGGGATCATCCATCTTCAACGTTGAAGCAAAGGCCACCCATCTTCAGAGCTGCTGAGGTTGGATATGCACTAGGAACCCTTCAAATAGAATTGTTATGTTGGTCAAATAGAATTTCAGTGGAGAGGTATATTTTAAAGATGGAGTTTGAGATTTCTTGTAAGGGGGGATTTGCTTAAAGAATATGCAAAATTTTTTAAAAAATTTTGACAAAGTAAAAGGCATGAGTATTGGATGTAACACTAACTAGCCCAGGTACTATGTATTTTAAAGCAGTGATGGGGAAATGTTAATCAAATTAGTATTTGATGTTATGCATATGAATATTTATTTTAAATAATAATTGTATTAAACATAAATTATTGTTTTTTATTTAATTATAAATAATAATTAATGTTAAATCAAAGATTTAATACAGATCGTTGGTACATTTATTTAATATGTAATATCTATTAAATCTAAGGTTCAAATTTTATATTTAAATCACAGAATTTGTAATTTTTTTCTATTTTCAGTGTTTTATATAAAAATAAAAATAATGACAAATCATTGTTTTTTACTTATTTTAAAATAATAATAATTTATTAAACATAAATCATTAACCATTGAAGGGAAGTTTTTCTTACAAAGATTAGTGTAAAGATAAAAGAAAAAGACAAAGTAGAAAAATAAAGGGGAAATAAAGAGAAATGGAATGCAATTCTAACTTTTTTACAGTGAGACGACGTCGTATGAAATGAAAGTGATGGATCGACTGTCTAACTTGAAATCAACATTTCCCGATCTGCTGGTCAATCGAAGATTTCCTTTCTTGATTTTCTTTCGAGCTTTTGCTGTGAGCAAAAGAAATGGGGCTTCTTAGTATCATTCGAAAAATCAAGAGAAAAGAGAAAGAAATGCGAATTCTTATGGTGTAAGCCTCTATTTTTTCTTTTTTTCTTGCTCATTTGAAAAATTTTATCCATAATTCCATCAAATTGTTGGTGCAGTGGGCTTGATAATTCAGGGAAGACAACAATTGTTTTGAAGATCAATGGAGAGGACACAAGCGTCATCAGTCCCACACTTGGCTTCAACATCAAAACCATCACCTACCAAAAGTAAATTTTCCTTTTACAGTTTCTAATCTTTAACCAGCTAAGCACCCCAAGTGTTTGACAATATAATTTCTGGGTTGTTTTTCTTTTAATTTTTTTATTAATTATAAATTATATTGTTGAATTAGATTTTGATTATGGGTTTTGGCAGATATACTCTGAATATATGGGATGTAGGGGGTCAAAGAACTATAAGGTCATATTGGAGGAACTATTTTGAGCAAACTGATGGTTTGGTGTGGGTTGTTGATAGCTCAGATCTTAGAAGATTAGATGATTGCAAAATGGAACTTGATAATCTTCTAAAAGAAGAGGTATGGTGTTTCATTTGACTTGTTTTTCCTATTAAATTCACCTTTGAACTGTCTTATACAGATTGTCCTTTAATAACAAAAACTGGAAATCTGAACAATACATTTCATTGAAGATATCTTTCTTGCTATAGCAGTTTGAGGTTGTTGCAATGAATATTTATTAGAAAATGAAACATTGCAAGCTATGTCTGGCAAAGTCCTCTGGTGCTTGTGGCTGAGGATTTCTTTGTGGACTATTTTCTGAGAAGTTACTCTTTTTTCTTTGTGTTGCAGAGGTTATCAGGGGCATCCTTGTTGATACTAGCTAACAAACAGGACATTAAGGGTGCTCTTACACCAGCTGAAATTGCCAAAGTAAGGCTGTCAGCTGATAATTACTTTCTTAAATCTTAACTTATTCTTTCTGAATTTTGGTGTTCGTTAGATAAACTGAGAATGCTATCTGTAGTTCTTTTTCTTTCTCAAAGGCTCAAAGTTGTTTTGCTGGGTTTTTTATTTATTATTATTATTATTATTATTTGTGCTTGGATGTGTGAACTACTTGTTCTGAAAATTTTTGTATAAATGCCATGTCTAGATTCTAAACGCTTTAGTATAAGCTTTCTTTTACGGCCTCTAATTCACATATTTTGAGCCATTAAGCCGTTTAAGTGAAATGCTGGTGTATTTAAGGCATGTGATTATAGTTAATGTTATGTACTTCTAACTTTTTTTTTCTTGATCTTGGACATGAAAATGTGCAGGTGCTAAACCTGGAAGCTATGGATAAAACAAGGCATTGGAAAATTGTAGGCTGTAGTGCATACACCGGTGAAGGGCTTCTCGAGGGATTTGATTGGTTGGTTCAAGATGTTGCTTCCCGGATCTACATGCTTGATTAGCCTGAATCTGATTGATGTAAAATGCTATAATGCTTCATTTGGGAGCATAGATTTAGTGCCAAGGATTTTGATTTAAATTTAAAAATTTGAAATACATTCTTGCATTTTGTATTTAACAAATCCATTCAGCTTGAACACTCTGTGTTCTGATATTTCTGTGCCAATGGATGATCTCAGCTATTCCTTATCATTTTTCTCCTTCACTCTTTCCTTCTTACTCCAATTGATAAGTAATCTCTCTCTAGCAATTCATGTAAGACTCTCTCTTTGAGAAGCTTTGGGTGTTTTATAGAGAGAAAATATGCTATTGAGTGGATTTGTTGTCACGACGGAGTTGAGAATTAAGTTAGATTCGAATAATCGTGTTGTATAAAATATTAATATTTATATATTATTTTTATATAAAATTTATATATCATAATTTATATCAATATAAAAATATGAAATATATATTTTTAATTTTATTAAATTTATATATAATAATTATTAAAAATTTTAATTCATATCATTTTTATATTTTATTATTTATTTCATGTAATCGTATGGTGTTTGTTTTACGTTATCTGGTACTGTTAGATTATCAAATCTAATTCATATAACATATGGAAGACAGTAACAATAGAAAAGAGAGAAGGGTCTTTTGGCCCAGAAGACTAGTACAGGAAAGGAAAAGGGAACTTGAAAACAAAACCATGTTTTAAGGTTTAGGAAAGGAAACTTATGATTTTCTGATTTTTAGGTAATTACAAATTTACATGACTTCTACCCACATTCACTGAAATCAACTTGACTCCTTTGAGAAAAAATTGAAGTAAAATTAAACTCTGGAAAGTGATTTGTAAGCTGGAAGCAGGTTTCTCTACAGACCGGTTCTTTTCTATAGAGAGGAAAGACAAGTAGAATTGTGGGCATCATAGCGAGCAAAAAGCTGATAGAAAAATACAGCAACCGCTTTCTGAGATGCCGATTTTGTTATCAGATCATCTTTTTCCTGTTCAGGCAGACACATATTCGAGGTCTCTGCTACGGCCATGAAACCTCGGCAATTGGTGTCTGAAGATGACCTTATAAGTAGGGTTTTCTAACAACTGCCCTCCTATTTATTGAATCCTCCTGGGCCAACACATTTTTCTAACGACATCAGGTTGTTGGACCTTAGCCCGCTGTTTTATTTATTTATTTTTTGTTTTATTTTCCCTAAAATATGCTGATATAAATAAGCTTTAAAATTTACGTCTATGGTCACTTGAGGTGGGCTCAAACATATTAGATTTTTTTTTAATAAATAAAAGAAGAAATTGATTTAATTTTCAAATAAAATTTTAAATTTATTAAATGTCATGATTATATGAATTGGCTTAATTAAATTTCGAATTTTGTTAGATATCATTTTTACAACAGAGTTACATTTCCTTCCGATTTTTGTCTGTACTGTTGTTTGTTAACAAACAACAATGAACAAAATGTTTAATCTTGAAGAGGGTAAAATTGAAAATCAAACAAAATGATTGTTCCGTCTGCATAAGGAGAAAATTTTTCATTAGAAAGGGCATAGCTGTATGCAGTCTTTTTGGATGGACATGCAAGCCCATAAATTCCTCATTGGTTCAAAAAGTCGCTTATTCACGAAATTTATCATCAGCTCACATTTGGATCGCCAGGTGGTGAACCTTGTTGGAATAGAGCTTCCGATAATAAGTTTTTCTGTGAGAGATTTAGATAGTCCCATCACAGTATCAGCTGCCCCTATCTGCAAAACACTCAAACATATGCTATGTCAGAGCAATACTTGAAAGGCAAGTGCCAAATACTCTCTCATATTGGCCATGTCCTTGATGGAGCAGACAGACCACTTACAATGTTGGGGTGGATCCTAATAAAACTACATAAACCAAAATCTGGGAATATAGGTGGACCAGAACGTTGAAAATGAAGGTAAGGACCAGCCAATTTGGGGGGTTTAAAGTCAGTCAGCCATTTTTATATTGCAGGGGAAAAAAAAATGTTGAACAATAACGCGAGAAAGCATCAAGAAAAACAAGCTCACCACTGAAGAATTGGCCTACTGGAAGTTCTGCCTAAAACATTACAATGAACCTCTTTAAATAGAAAAATTCTATCTTATAAACAGTAATTTGTACAGTTACCCGCTATATTATACAGTAAAATTTTTATCTACAGTACTACTACAGTGACTTACTACAGTATCTTCCGCAACGTTAGAGGGTTTTCTAGCATCAGACCTCCAGCAACCTTGAATGGGATTCCTTCATCAATCTGAGAACAGTTCGCCATCAGGAAAGGCTTGAATCAGGTGAAAAATAATAGCTCAAGAAAAAAAATCCTAGCGATTACATTTGTATACAAATTTTACCAGGCTATCAATGACCTCCTCTGGTATGTCATGGAAGTATACCAGTAGCGCAATAACTAATCTTATTCTCTTGGTATTGATCACAAACTGGCTTAAAGAAAGGTAGAATGGATCCAGTTTCCAATTAGAAAATGCTTCTATGGACCAAAAGTAAAGATTAGAAGACAATTCATCATTGCTCTTCACCAAAAGCAGAAGCTAAATATATCTGGAAATAAGTATTATCTCTGCACTTTCCCATCCGCCTTTGCTTGCTCTTGTTCTAATGTTAGTCACAAGAACAGATCCTATCACTGCTGCATTGCCCCCAGAATATCCTGCAACCATAGGTAACATTTAAATACATCTAATTTTTGTAGTTTGAAGACATCACATTGAAGCACATTAAAGAAACCTTTGATAAATTCCCTCGCTTCTTCCTCGCTGCATGATTTTTCTCTGATCATCCCTTTATAGACAACCACCTACACATACAGGCAAGAAATAACCTTATATAATTTCCATGGACAACCAAGAAAAGACCAGCAAATGGTGATACCTATGACATATTTTATACAAGGCGAGCCAAAAATAATTATAGTAACCAACTTAAGTTCTAATAAACGCCATCTTTATCAATTAAACTCGTTTTTTATTTTTTACGGCTGAGATATGAATGCTTTTCAGTGATGATTCTTGGTAATTACCGTATCTGCAGTAATTAACAAGGTCGTGTGAGCATCTTTCTCTAGCATACTACCACCGTTCTGGAGCCTTGACGTGATGGCAGCTGCCTAGGAAAAAAGAAATTAAAACTCAGAAGCCATCAATAGGACAAAAACTGCTGAATGAAATGAAGAGATTCCTCGTGTACTGATGTAAACCATTGACTTAGGTTCTATCCCATAAAGTTAAATAAAAAAGCTCTACATTGCAATTTCGAATAAAACATTGCTCACGTGAAAATGAAATAGTAAAGCATGAGCAACAGTGCACTTTGTGAGATAACTGAGAGTAACAATAGGTGTACAACATAGCGAAAGAGGTCATACCTTTGCCTCGGCAAGAGCCGTCACCAATTCTTCTGGCTTTTCTTTTCTAATACTTTTCTCATCTAGATCTGCGGTCTAAATCACATATTTAGTTAAATTTCTTCCAATAGAATTCTTCACTAGAGAAAATCCAAATACTTTTCCTTCCCAAACGTTCCAAAAAAAAAAAATTATGCTTAAAAGCTCAATTTGAAGCCAACTTCAAAATAAATTTTCAATCCAGAAAACCCATTTTTTTTTAAATCATACTTGAAAAACCCAACTTTTGTCCTTTAGTTATAAGCAGGGCTGACTATTTTAAGTATGGCAATTCTTTTTGAGAAATTTCGTTTCCCTTTAAAGCCCCTTTGGAAGTGATGTATATATATACGAGTCAGTAGCTTTAACAAATTAAATACCATGATTATAAACTCATAACCCAATTCAGCTAGGATTCGTTGCCGAGCCTTTGTGTAAAACCCAATATGAGCTGTCATCAAATCAAATACCATAGTAATTGATTATGAAGAAACAAAAATAAATTCAAGTCAAGAGTATGAAGGAGCAAGTGAGGCGGTCTCTCTCTTGTTCCCTTTAAAATTTTTAATAAAACAATGCAAACCAATTTCAAAGCTACAAAATTTTATCACAAACTTTAAGGTTGAGCTCTGTTCCATTGAAAAAAGCATCAACTTTTCATCCCATGAAAAACCAAGTTTTTTTTCATTTAACTTTTGCTTGAACAGCCAAGAAAATGCCCGGAAACGAAGGATGTTTGCCATTTTCAGTTTAAATTTTTATAAGGCTTTTGAGGTGAATTGAAGGTTAAACAGTGAAACGAACCTTAAAAGATGATTCTCCAACGGCCATTTCTCTCTCTCTCTCTCTCTTACAAGCTCCGTTTTCTGAGGGATGCTGCTTGGATAAACTGTGCCTGAAAAGTGAAACTACATACTTGCAAGTCTCCAAACACTTCGTATCTTCTACAGTTCGCTTGCTACGGTTCATTTAATTCCTTCTTTAGACGAAGTCAACCAATAAGGATTAGCCACGCGAGCAAGGCTGTCGTCCAAAATTACCTTAAAAACTCTTCTTCATGAATCGAGACCATATCTACTGTACGCTATCTTTTCCGATTTCAGTCATGTCAGGAAAGAAAGGCATTAGTTGAAACTATTAACGACAGCGTTTAGTTTAGTCTATGGGAAAATGGTAAATTTCTCGTTATCGTTTCGTAACGCTTCTTCATCTTCTTTTCCAAGCACTGTTCTTGCCGCTCAAGCTAGTATTTCCTATCTGTAGTATTTATATCTCAATTCTCTCACTTGGTTCAGCTTTTTTCACATTGATTTGGGTTTGCTTTTCTGTTAAGGTTTTACCCTGTTTCTACATCGACTTTTCACACTCTCTTTGCTTTAGACTAATTTCCCTTCCTTTGCTAGAGTAATTGTTATAACTTTGATGTCTTCCTTGTTTAGGTTCTAGCCAGGCTGATGGGATCCCAGAAAAACCAAGCTGAAACTCAAACCGCAGAATCTGAATCTGCTCCAGGTTCGACTTCTTTATGTCAAAGGTGGAAATCTGATAATGGAGGACTCCTGGTTAATGGTAGTAATACTAATAATAATAATAATAATATTAAGTATTATAATACCATCAATAATAATAAGTGGACTTCAGTGAGTTTATTCATGCTCCCATTGACATTGATAAACACAGTGATTTTTTCAAGGAAAATTTTCAAAAGGTACGTAATTATTACAAGCATTGTTGATTTTTGTTTTCTTTGCTTAACAACATGAAGTGGAAAAAAAAAGAAAAGAAAGATTCTTTTGTTATTAACGTGTTGTTCTGATTAATGGCTTAATTATTTTTGATGGGAAACAGGTGATTGACAGACGACTGGAATTGCAAATGATAAATTTGCAATGATCAAGTATTTTAACTTTTCAGAGGAAAGATTATATCTGGC